TACCTAGGGACGGGCAAGCAGGTAGCGGCCGGACGACCGCTCGAAACAGCTGAACTTTACTCGTCGATGAAAAGTAAGAAAATTTGAGAAAATCGAAAAAACAATTACAGCCTGCAAATCTACAGATCAGAAGCTTTCATTTAAAAAAAAAAAAAAAAAAAGGGGGGGTACCTAGGGACGGGCAAGCAGGTAGCGGCCGGACGACCGCTCGAAACAGCTGAACTTTACTCGTCGATGAAAGTAAGAAAATTTGAGGAAATCGAAAAAACAATTACAGCCTGCAAATCTACAGATCAGAAGCTTTCATTTAAAAAAAAAAAAAAAAAAAACACCATGCAAATCGGTCCGGTGGTTCTCTCAAAGTTAATATCCCAAAATTCGGACTTTAGTCTGAATAAATTGGAGAAAATTTGAGCCCAGCTAAACTTCACTCGTCGATAAAAGTGAGAAAATTTGAGAAAATCAAAAAGACGACCACAGCCTGCAAATATACAGATCAGAGGCTTTCATTTAAAACAAAAATCATGCAAATCGGTCCGGTGGTTCTCTCAAAGTTAACGTCCAAAGATTCGGACCTTCGTTTTAATACATTGGAGAACATTTGAGAAAATTATAGGAGAAAATCTGGAAAAATCGAAAAAAAATCACAGTTTGCAAATTTGCAGCTCAGGGGCTTTCATTTAAAAAAAATGATCAGACCAATCGGTCCGGTGGTTCTCTCAAAGTTAACGCCCAAAGATTCGGAACTTTGCATTTTAACATATAGGATGAATGTTTTTATAATTGCAAAATTTTACATCAATTGAAGACTTGGAGAACAAAATGAAGTTGTTCATAGTAGTTAACAGTAGAATATCAAAGACCCATTTTGAGAGGACAAAATAAAATGGTCATAGAAAAATTAATTTAGACGGACTCACTCGGAACTAGGTGCTGCTAAAACTGCTAATTTTCACGTTTAGGAGATAGTAGGTAAGCACTTGTGAAGTCACTTATGAATTTCACGAACGCAAACGGAGCCTTCGAACGCGCGCCTGAAAGTTCACGAAAACCACAGCCGGTGCAATCTGGATTTTAACACATGGTTAACTGATCAGATCGAGAATTCGTTACAGTGAAAATGCCTTTCTCACCAAGATTAATTTCAGCGAGGATTTGCTCACGATACCTTGAAACTTCCATTACAAGAGGAGCAGCACAACCTTAAAGGAAACGTTTTGACGATGGGTGATCCGATTTCAGATTTTCAGCCAACTTACGACCGGACGGACACTACGCTTGGGAGGCGATCACTGAACTAGACTAGCACGTGGCAAAAGCAAAGGAAACTAAGGAAAGAGCGATAGGCCAGGGATTTTGGAGGGGGAGGGTCGCTTGTGTACGCGGGACGGTCTGAAACCACTAGGAATTTCCGTCCAGCGAACTGAAAGACGTTTTCGTGTGTGTGTGGGCCCGGCCCTCTCCCTACCCTCGACGTTTCAGAGACACTTTTCTAGACGAGAGAAACCGACGCGACGCGAGTCTCCTTGTCTCCTTATCTTTCTCTTAAGGTGATTCGATGGACGCCATATTTTGTGTCAGAACGGCATGCGATAAATCGCATCAATTGGTTCCATTTTTTCAGCTACTCGTTAATTTTCTCCAATTTTGAGATCGCAATTCTGTTGTCAGGAGACTAAAGCACTCGCTTACCAATTTTAACAAAGAAATTCAACGTAATAAAGGCGTGGTTTTTTTAGAGAGAAAATATCGCATTCGAAACCGATATCGAAACTGCACTCGAATGCGATATTTTCTCTCTAAAAAAACCACGCCTTTATTACGTTGAATTTCTTTGTTAAAATTGGTAAGCGAGTGCTTTAGTCTCCTGGCAACAGAATTGCGATCTCAAAATTGGAGAAAACTGACGAGTAGCTGAAAAAATGGAACCAATTGATGCGATATATCGCATGCCGTTCTGACACAAATTATGGCGTCCATCGAATCACCTTAGGTGATGGTCTCGAAGTTTCGAGAAAAAAAGGCTACTCCACCTGTCTTTGCGGGCCGCACAGTGGATCGAGTCAACGAGAAAGGTCGCTAACTAAAAAATTTAAAAGCGTGCATCTTTCATTAGTATGAAATTTTGATGTTTTAAAAGTAATTTCATTGGTTTTCTCGTAGAACTTTCTATAAAAAGCACCGCTTAGCATTAAAATTGTAAGGAGATAAACGTAAAATTATACAATTTTTGTCAACGATTTCATGTCCAACTTCTGCCATTGACTCGATTCACCGTGGGCCTGTCCCATTGTCACCCTCTCTGCCTACCCTAGACACAGTCATCTGTCTAGAATTCCTGATAATTAAAACAAGCTGTCTGACTCTGTTTGCATAGTGGCACGACGCAAAGTGCATAGAGTCAATAGGAGAGGTCGGACAAAATTTGGAAACTTTAAACGCTTAAAACTCCGTTTACACAAAAATTTGAGGTTCTAAAAGTGGTTTCATTGGTTTCCTCGTGAAATTTTCCTTCTGGAGCACCCCTTAAATTTCAAAATTTGACGAATTAAACTTCAAAATTTGCAGTTTTAGTCAAAAATTTCTTATCCGACCTCTTCAATTGACTCGATCCACTGTGCGACGATGGACGTGAGGACCTGATTTTTCCAACTGGCCTGCGTTGCAACATTGGGTGGGGGGGAGGGGAAGGGCTGAAGGGAACCTACAGGGAGTCTCTCTCACGGTATGGTTGGCTTTACCCAAGTCTTAAAAAATCCGCAACTCCTGAATCTGATAGCAGGGAAACATATCCGCTAAAATGAAAATCGGCCATTCATTAAACTGAAATATTTTACTTAGTGAATAATCTGTATTTGCACCGAGTTATGGTATAAAACTTACAAAGGTCTGCAGGGGGAAAAATTGTTGGGAATATGTTGGTTGAGTCTTGTGTAATCCTCAACGCTGAACCCAAGAATGATCTCAGCTTTTCTCAATACCCACAAATATCCGGAAAATTGAGATTTTCCCTAAGACAAACTTTTCCGAGAGAAATTCATACTACTTTGCCAGTTTTTGCCGGGTTTTTTTAGAGAGAAAACATAGCATTCGATGCTGATATTGAAACTGCACTCGAATGAGATATTTTCTCTCTGAAAAAACCACGCCTTTATTACGTTGAATTTCTTTGTTAAAATTGGTAATTGAGTGCTTTAGCCTCCTGACAACAGAATTGCGATCTCAAAATTGGAGAAAAATGACGAGTAGCTGAAAAAATGGAACCAAATGATGCGATATATCGCATGCCGTTTTGACACAAAATATAGCGTCCATCGAATCACCTTAAGAAGCTCTTAGGATTCACAAAATCTCGAGAAAATCAAAAGAAACAATCGCCCATCAGGAACAGGGGCTTTCAAATTGCATACCTACTCTACGTGACAGCATTTCGTTCGAAAATAACAAATTTTCAGGAATGAAGGCAAGCGGACTTACCAAATCAACACCGAGAGGTATCTCAATGAGCGAAATGACTTCCAAAACGATTCAAACCGATTATCATGTAACTGAAAAACGGCTACCGCAAACTAATACAATGAAAAGTGATAGAAGTGACAAAATAGTAAAATCATAAGCGCTTACCTTTCCTAACGGGGCGAGGAACCACCGAACTTGACAGAAAAATTATCTCCTCGAAATCACGAACTACTGTATTGGTCTGAACCGTCACCTTCGATTTCACACACTAGAATGCCGCAAATCGCTTCATGTAACGTCTCCGATCAGTCCTTGGTAGGGTGGTAGGGGGCTAGGGCTGCGGTCAGATACGCCGAACATCCGCTCGGCAAAATCTCGGTTTGGCGGCCGAGAAAATTCTCTTCGCGAGACAAGGATGGAGGGAATTGGTAGTGTTAAAAAGAGACGGGGTGTATCTAGTCGAAAAGGAAAGCAGAAAAACCTCCTCCTGCCAAGCGACAATCTTATCTCGGTTTCCGCACGCCTTTTCGCTCGACTATCCAAGGCAGTTTCTTTCTCTCTCCCACAGGGGTCCGGTCAGTTCACCCATCGCATCGTAAGAACCCTTTCCGCATTCTCATTTCATTTCACTTTCCACTCCACAAAAATCTTTTCGGCCGTGCCGCCGGATTATGTAAGCGAAAAGCAATGATGCTGAAACTTCTACACTCCGTTTTGATGGGCTGCAGAAATGTGTATCTTCGTTTGCGGCGTTGTAGACTTCCTGTCATACTTTATTTTCTAGGTGCTCGGAAAACCACTGTCAATTCTTGAAAATTTCGGTGATTCTTCTTACCTCTTTATATACATTTTCGATGAACACTTAAACCCATGATGTATACGTTCAGTCTCCTTTCAAAAAATAAAATGGGAGCGGAAATTTCGAAACGCCGCAACTGAGATATGCATCTTTAGAGTTTCATCATTGATAAAGGGGGGGGGGTGCAGAAATAAAGAAAGGGAGGGAGGAAAAATTCGCTTTCGGGGCATTCGAATTGACTTTGTCTTTTCCGTGGTGTGCCCGTGCCGCCAAAAAATTGCTATCGCACATTGTGCACCGCGAAAATATTTGTCATCCAATTTTTCAGTGGAGTTACTTCGCAATCTGATCCAAATCAACCGAGACCTTCTAAGAAAAATTATCACAGCTCTCTTTAAAAATACGCACTTTTTCGAGAGACATTTGGCAACATTCGAAAGTTCATACGGCGTTTTCGTTAGCACGGCTTTGCGTGGGAATTTTTGAAATGTTTATCTGACTTATTTAAAAACGCGCTATAAATACTTGTATAATGAGGTCAATGAAATAGATCGAGAGGTAAAAAAAATTTGTAAAAATTCAACTTTTTTTACGATGACAATTAAGGCATTTTTCGGTAAAAGGGCGCATGCTACTTCCAGTGCTGCTAAGATTGTGCAATGTAGCTCTCTACATTGAAAACAGTGCTTTCAAGTAAAATGCCGCCCTCCTCTGCCAATTTCTAACCAGAAAATGTGTTTCTTGTGTGTCTAAAACGCAACTACGAAAAAATGCAGATGATAGCACTTACGGCTGTCTTGCCTAAATGTAAGCGCCCCTCCTGTCGTTCGGGGGCCCCTCTAAGAAGGTCCGGGGGCCCTCCCCGGTAAATTTTGAATTGCACACTTTTTAAACACGTAGATATTATTGGAGTTGGATTCTACAGTACTTTGAACTTAAAAATAACCAATTCTCAAGATTCATCGAGGGTCCCTTCATGACAAATAATTTCGGCGACATTCCATATCTCTTAAAGACAAATTTTCAAGGAATTCGGGGCCTTTTAGTGATAAAAAAGGATAAGAAAATCACAACATTACGGGAAAAAAACAATGACTCGAAAAAAATTCGCCGCGGGGGCCCCTTCGGGCCCTCCGCGGCAAATTGTTAGGGGGCCTCCCCGACAAGGCCTATAGACATTTCGCCTAGAAAATCAAGCGGGGACGCTACTTCAATATTAAACTTCCATCGCCTTGCTAAGGCGCAGGGATACAACTATTTGAACACTTCGGAACGCGTGAGGTATCACGCTTTAATTGAAGGCGTTTTCGAATCTTCTGTATTTACAATCCGAAACTTTCCAAGTTTGCATTATATTGTCGATTTGAGTTTCTTTTTTTAATTAATTAAATTATTCCTGCTTCTTAATTTTTAATTATTCTGCAAAAATTATCTGTTTGCGAAATACGATCCTGGCTTTAGGGCCCTTAAACTCCGGCCTTAAGGGTCGAAACTGCAGTAGCGGCACAGGAAAACCGAAAAACAACGCGGGGACGCTACTTCAATATTAAGCTTCCATCGCCTTCCTAAGGCGCAGGGATACAACTATTTGAACTCCCCGGAACGCGTGAGGTATCACGCTTCAATTGAAGGCGTTTACTTGTCTTCTGCGCTCCTTTTATTATTTACTTAAATTACTTCTGCTCTTTAATTTTTAGTTATTCTGCTAAACCATCGACTTATTACGACATACAACCCTGGCTTTAGCGCCCTTATACTCCGCCTTAACGGTCAAAACTACAGTAGCGGCACAGGAAAACCGAAAAACAACGCGGGGACGCTACTTCAATATTAAGCTCTCATCGCCTTGCTAAGGCGCAGGGATACACCTATTTGAACTCCCCGGAACGCGTGAGGTATCACGCTTCAATTGAAGGCGTTTACTTGTCTTCTGCGCTCCTTTTATTATTTACTTAAATTACTTCTGCTCTTTAATTTTTAGTTATTCTGCTAAACTATCGACTTATTACGACGTACAACCCTGGCTTTAGCGCCCTTATACTCCGCCTTAACGGTCAAAACTACAGTAGCGGCACAGGAAAACCGAAAAACAACGCGGGGACGCTACTTCAATATTAGCTCTCATCGCCTTGCTAAGGCGCAGGGATACACCTATTTAAACTCTCCGGAACGCGGGAGGTATGGCGCCTCAATTGAAGGCGTTCACGAATCTACTGTATTTACATGACGAGATTTTCCAAATTGTTTTGCATTATATTGTAGATTTGAGTTCCTCTTATTATTTAGTTAAATTACTCCTGCTGTTTAATTTTTAATTATTCGGCAAACACTATCCATTTCCGAAATACAACCCTAGCTTTAGCGCCCTCAAACTCCGGCCTTAAAGGTCGAAACTGCAGTAGCGGCACAGGAAAGCCAATAAACCAAGCGGGGACGCTGCTTCATCATGAAACTTCCATCGCCTTGCCAAGGCGCAGGGATACAACTATTTGAGCTCTCGGGAACGCGTGAGGTATCACGCTTCAATTGAAGGCGTTTTCGAATCTTCTGTATTTACAAGACGAGATTTTCCAAATTGTTTTGCAATATACTGTAGATTTGAGTTCCGTTTATTATTTAGTTAAATTATTCCTGCTTCTTAATTTTTAATTATTCTGCAAAAATTATCTGTTTGCGAAATACAATCCTGGCTTTAGCGCCCTTAAACTATGGCCTTAACGGTCAAAAGTGCAGTAGCGGCACACAGGGGCGGACTGGTACTGGTAGCCTAAAAGTTAGGAGGAGACCTAAATATGAGGGCCCCTCCTGTCGTTTGGGGGCCCCTCTAGGAAGGTCCGCCCCCCCCCGCCCGGTAAATTTTGAAAATTTCACACTTTTTAAACACGTAAGCATTATTGGAGTTGGATTCTACAGTACTTGAACTTCAAAATAACCCACTCTCAGGATTCATCGGAGGTCCCTTCATCACAATAATGCTTTTTGCGTCCTTCCATGTCTCTTAGAAATAAATTTTCAAGGAATTCGGGGTCTTTTAGTGATTGAAAAGGATGAGAAAATTACAACATTACGGGAAAAAAACGATGACTCGAAAAAAATTCACCGCGGGGGCCTCCCCGACAAGGGGACAAGGCCTATAGACATTTCGCCTAGGAAATTAGCAGCAGCTGTCGATGTTGGGAGGGGTCATGAGGGGAACTATTTTGACACGTAAGAAGTAGGTGAAGGCTGTAGTCGTTATAGTTTTAGCGGCCATTGCATGACGTCGACAAAAACGATGGAGTGAGGTGAGGTGTAGTTCTTCGGATGTAATGTATAGGAAGGGAGGGGGAGGGGCCTGACTTGTGACGTAATTTAAGTACTGAATGAATATGTCAGCTGCGGCCTTTCGTTCTTCCTCCATTCCTCCATATTTGTTATGATTTCCGGGTACTCCATTTCGTCGTTGCTCGTTGTTGTGTTGTCTTTGTCTCTGTGTCAATTCCTCCCCTGCTTATCCACATACCATAATGAATTGTAAGTACCTAATTCATCCAGTTTTCAATTTCAGTCTCATTCCTAATTAGAATTTTTGTAGAAATCAGATCTATCTAACTTTGCCAGAACTACAGGAACATATTTTGCAGTTTCCTCACAATCAGAATACTAACCTTGAGAGATTTGCATATGTACTTCTTAGCAAGTTCTTCTTATCTTGCGACCAAGTTTTATCCAGCAGCGGGTCGATTATTGAAATATTGTGTTTGTCGGGCGGACATGGACGACATAGGTTAAATGGTGGAGCGTAATTGGTGGGCTATGTCTTATCGCTGCTTTGTCGGCCCTTTGTCAAATGGAATGGACGACATACTTACTGTCGGAAACTCAAGAGGTGACTTCAGCTTATTGCAAATTCCTCCTGACAAAGCAGCGATAAGACATGGCCAACCAATCATACACCTCAATTTCAATTACGTCCTCTTGAAGTAAATTTGCGTTTGTTAACTGTTGAAGAGATCTGTAAACAGTTTTTAAAATATGTCATCAAAACAGATTTTTGCTTTCCGGTTGTGATTAAATGGATGTGGCCTAGCCTTTCCCGCCAAATCGCCTGAATTAAGTGCAATTTAATTTAGTCAACAGTTTACAGTTCCGTAAACATGCTCTGGACCTTATTATCAAACCTGTTATCGTCTCTGGTTAGAGAGTGAAACCCACCAACAGTCCTGTAACCAGGCCACCGGGCTCCAATCAGTTGATACAAATACCAACTTTGTCCAAGCGCAGGACTACTGTTTACGGATGTTTTGAACAGTTGACAAACGTAAATTTGCTCTATGTCTACCCGACAAACACAAGATTTAAGTAATCGCCCCCCTGGGTGGCGATCACTCTCACACAGGATTGGAAATTTATCGGGTCTCTTACTGAGAGTAAAAAGGAATCACCTTCACTTAACATTTTTAGTAAGTAAGTCAAGAGTGTGAATAGGGAGGACAGGATTTGAAGTCGGCTGTTGAACTGTGTATCTGCCTATAAATTTAATCAAGGCAGGGGAACAGAGTCAGTTGCATCTCGAGCTAAGCTACAAAGGAGGGGTATTGATAAGGGCCTTTTTTGACCCCCTCATCATCTACTTAACTGAAACTAAATCAGGGTTAAAATGTGTCCTAAAGCCTCCTTGATAACATATCAAAAGCTCGTTTAAGTTAGACGATGTGCTTGGTGTCAAACAGCCTCGGAGTGATAGAAAAATACGCATTTTTCGCCAAAATGCTCCTGCTGACCTGTGTTCAGGCAACCGTTAAATACGTATCCAGTGGCGTATGGACCAAATCATGATTATTTCCCTAAACTACATTGAGTCAACTTGGAAAATCCGCATCAATTTCCAGGTTCAAGGGGGGGGGGGGGCAAGGACAAAAGAGGCCCTCATCGATACCCCTCCTTTAGAGACTACTTACGTGCGAAATGTATGCTCTATGTTGTGATTAGGATGTGCACCATGTTGTGTAATATAAGGAGGTTAGAAGGTGCAACGAACCATGTTCATCTGCTTGCTACCGTTAAATACGTATCCAGTGGCGTATGGACCAAATCATGATTATTTCCCTAAACTACATTGAGTCAACTTGGAAAATCCGCATCAATTTCCAGGTTCAAGGGGGGGGGGGGGGAGGACAAAAGAGGCCCTCATCGATACCCCTCCTTTAGAGACTACTTACGTGCGAAATGTATGCTCTATGTTGTGATTAGGATGTGCACCATGTTGTGTAATATAAGGAGGTTAGAAGGTGCAACGAACCATGTTCATCTGCTTGCTATCTTTTTCACTCAACTTTCTGCAATGTCTTATCAGTTCACTTCTCAGTCTTACCACTTTTAGTAATTGAAGCTTGGGTGTCTTGTTGAAATAATATCCATGCTTTTTAAAATTTTTGAACTTTTAAATTTTAATTTCCTTTTCCATTTTTAGGCGAACAGCAATCATTTGAACATATTCACGCTTGGCTGAATTCCCAATCGGGAGATGGTTCAACATTCGTAAGTATCATGAATTTCTATCTATAATATTTTAAGAAATTGTCCTCAAGTTGACATTTTTGCCCGGTGAAACCTAAGAAAACTTTTCAATTCAGAGTAGTATGTTCTGAAATCAACATTTTAAAATTCCAAGCTGGTTGACTGCCTTCAATACCCTACTGCATCCATTTTTAATATAAGGACTTTGAAACAACTTATAATCATGATCTTAGTTCATTATTATCAGAATTTAGAACTGAAACTAAATTCCTATGCCGAAAATACCATTGGTGTAAGTACTTAGGTCATTTTCCAGGGTCTAGGGGTGGCCTACCCCGAAATTTTTGGAATTTCAACTTTATTTGGACGCATTTTGAGGCTTCCATGATGTAGATTTTCCATTAATCTCTTTGGAAAAATTATGTCAATTTTTTTTCTTTCAGCAAAGAATACTTTCAAATTTTTTTGCATTGAACAGCTCCCGAAAATTTTTGAAACTTCACTCTATTTCAATGCATTTTGAGGCTTAAATGATGAAAATTTGAGGATATACTAAGTGAAAAAAATGGGTGTTTTCAATTTCGATTCTATATTAAGAGGGATGATCATCCTCTACGACGGTCTTTTCCCCTAATCTAGAACTCCCATGGGGGGGGGGGGAAGCAGATGATACTATTTTCAATTCTAGGGGGTACCTCCGCTGCATATATTATAGAGCCTAGGTTCAGTTGTGAATATCTCTGCTTCTTCTCGATAAGTTTGCCTAATTTTTAGGCTCAAAGCCAATGAAGAATCTTATTTTGATCTTTCAAGTTTCATCAAAAGGAATCATGAGCTACTGATTGCCGTAGGTGAGTTGCCGGGTTCTTTACCGGCTCAGTTTGGCTGAAAAAGTACATTTTACTTATTTTACACAAAAAATGAAGAATTTGATGAACTGTCTGTAAAATTCCTACCTACATTTATCGAACATATCGCTTTGTGTGTATCATTCTTGTGACACACAAACTAAAACTGCCGGATCTGTAAGGAGATCTTTACTTTTTCTTCACTAAATTAAGAGAACCGAATGTAGTGTCTAATTAAAACTAATTACTTTACCAGTAACTAATTACCAACTTTAACTAACTTTACTAATTACCAGTAACTTTCCATGTGAAAGAGGGATGTTTCCCCTTCATCTTTGTAGTCTCTATTGACTTGGTTTTTCAGAGTGGTTGGCGAAGGCTTAAGACTTTTTTCAACAGTATACCTAAGTACAAAATAGTGTCCTGATCTGAGTGGTAAAAATGATATTACTGGTTTCAATCCTGGCTGCAACTTAGGCGCCTTCCTTTTTTAAAAAAAATTATCACCTAAATCAAAGTAAAAATCATCCAATTTATTTATTGTTTTTAACTGTTTTCTTTTGTTTTTTTTCAGTCGGAATCATCTACCAACATCCGTGAGTATACAGTCATTATTGATACTGTACTTGAAATTCTTTTGGGCAGTGTTCAGTAGGCTACTGCAAATTAGAGCTTTTTTTTCAAATTTCTAGCTGGGCAATCGGTGACGGCATCTTTTTACACAAATTATACACTAACAATTATCTGTATGAAGCTACAGACCTCATAAATAATCAATACTTGACAAAACAAATCCTTCAAAGCCATTTCCCTCCAACTTGGTAAGTTGGGTAAAGCGGAGATCCATGTGAGTAATATTTTTACACCGTCATAATAGGACATCTGTAAAAAGCTGTAAAGATCTTTTGTGAATATTGGTTACTTTCATCACTTCTCAGACCCTCATGGGGAAGGGGAAGAAGTAAGAGAAGAGCAAATTTATCTTTGTTTTAATTTATACCCCTTTAAATTTTCTTATCGTTCGTTTTTATTCTTATTGTTTGTCTAGATGAAGAGCCGTCATTTATCCTGGGTAGTGATGCTGCCGAAGAAGAGGAAGAAAGAAGGAGACGTAAAACTAAAGTAAGCAGTTTGTTTTCAATCATGAAAAGAGAAGTATTTCACTCTACTACATAATATCCTGCATCATCAGAGATGTGGGAAGGATCAAGATGTTGATAGGTTCTCCAGTTTAGATTCAGACATAGAGAAAGAAAAAGGAGGTGTTTGCATCTTGAGGTTTGTTTACCCTGTGACGTAGGTCGGTACAACCTGGTCAACGAAATCCGGAACTCGAGTATGAAAAAGGACCGCAATGTCCAATTTTTTTGCTTCAATCAACTCATGATATAATTTCAAGCATTTTTACAAGATGACTTTTTTCCAAAAGTTACACCATTTCCAAGAAAATCGATGATAAAACTTGTCGTACCGACCTACGTCATCAAAAAAAGTCCAAGATGCCCAAAATGCAAACACCTCCTTTTTTTTCTCTGTGAGATTCAGGATGCTTTTCCTCTAATAATTAGACTACATTTTGCAATTAGGAACCATAATTACTGACTCAGGTGAAAAACTACCGACGTAGGTACCATTAATTTCCATATAGACTTATATTCTTATGGAAAAGCCAGAAACTGCAGTTCTTGATTACATTGTTTGTGAAGTATTGATTCAGACAATTTATGATGTGGTTGTAGTGTGATGTCATGGTTTGTTTGTATCCAAGTGTCTATTTATTTTAACTTTCAGAATGGGTGGGGTTCAAAAAAAGATGTTCTAAAGGATCTCCAGGTATGCAGTGATTTTACAACAGATGAGCCGCAAGCACATTTATTGGAAAGAACAAAAGAACCAAGTGAGCCTGATTATGAAGAACACAAGGAGTCATGGAATAATTTCGATCATATCCAAAATTTGTTCCAAACCAAAACGGTATGTATAATTTTTATTATATCTTTCGCTTCTTTGGTGTTGCGTAACTTACTTTTTTCAGAGAATTATCAGCGAACTCACCAATTAAGTAGTGTTTATTACAAAAATGAGAAAAAAACAGGACCAAACTGTATATCTCAAAGATAAAGGCTTGGTAGTCCACTTGTGAAACAAAGATGTGTTCGTTCAGCAAGGACAAAGTAAGCTTAAAATTTAGGATAAAAACTCGGAATTCTCTCTTGAGGCTATGATGTAACTTTATAATGAGTCACCTATTGTCAACATAATTTTAATAACAAACTTGATTTTAATTTTAGGCAAAAGCGTGGGCTCAACCAGCCCCACCACCAGCGCGAGGCAGAGCCAGGGGTCGTGGTAGGCTCCTGGAAGACACGCCCGAGCTTCTGGAACAAGTAAGTGCTTTGCAAATGAAAAATTCATTGTTAAATTTAAAAAAATGTGGTTATCTGCCAAGTTAATTCCTGGTATTGTTTAGTTTTTATGAAAATACCTGTCTTCTTTTAATGTATTTAATTTTGCTCATCTTACCTGGACCATTTCTTGTCAAAAAGGAGAGTGTCAGTTGACTTTCTAGCTGGAAGGGCTGTTCTACAAAGACCCTTACTGATAGGTATTGTAAAATTAAAATGATGCTGTCTAATAAGCTAACCTTGGTTCCATTTCATAGAGGATGCCATGGAAGTAGGCCAAAATGACCACAAGTAGCGATTCATGGTACTTGATAGCAAACACAAATATTTCTGCTGGCCAAAAGTTTTTTTTTTTTTTTTTTTTTTTTTTTTTTTTTTTAAATTAGTTGAAGCAAGTAACTTTTATTTTTCTCTTCCTAACACAAATCTCTGGGCAACTTGTAACACAATTTAAAGACACAGTGTGATTATTCTTCGACCTGTGAACTAAATTATTTGCAACATTAATATGTATGCCTGGGTCTGTTTTTCGCAGGATATACGACCATGAAACTAGACTTTCTTCTGGTAAAATTGTATGAAAATCTTGCCAGGCACACCAAAAATGTCTGAAATCCACTCCTTAGTGTGGAATCTGAGTAGTTTGCAACATGGGTGCTCGAATTTACTGCATCTCCTGGCGGTTTTTCATAGTGTCCTGCAGTAAGATTTGTTCAGAGAAAGACTCAAGAAAACCTAACTTAAGTAAACTAACCATCTAGCAAATTATGAAGAGCATTCCTCACTGATTCTGAGTTTTTATTTTTGCAAAACAAAGAAAGGGGAAGGAAAAAAATGCTTGAGAACGGTTGAAATCATATCCTGGAGCAAGTTTGCAAATTGTTTGTTTATTCAGGTCAGGTTTCCTTATTCCTCTGTCTGTGCAAACTTGGCCGCTTGCGACTGAGAATTACTGCCCGTGGATGCAGAAAACTTGTAAAAGCAACTCCTGAAAAATTTAAAAAAAACTCATGCTTTCACTTGGAGATTATTTATTGGACACATTTCGGTGACTACCCGCACCACCGAAACGCGTCCGATAAATAATCTCCAAGTGAAAGCGTGAGTTTTTTAAATTTTCCAAAAGTTTTAATTCAACAGCTTTTACTGTATTATGAAAATTTCAATCATTTTATTGAAATTGTAAAAGCAAGTTGCAAATTATGCAGATTACGTACTATGGAGTGAATTCAGACTTTTTTCATGTGCCCAACAAGAGTTTTGCACAATTTTACTCGCTGAAAATCTAGTTACTTGGCTGTTACTCTTGCATGCAATGTACTCATTGTAGATTTATGTTCGAAACATTAGAACCATTAGAAGTATTTGTGAAAACCAATAAAATGATGAAATCTCCTTTACTCTCATCGGACTACTGCGCCAACAGCCAAGCGGATATTTATGGGAATATTTTGTTGAAAAGGCGTCTTTTATGGAAAATTAAGTGGGCTCAATTCCCTGTGCACATTTTAAAAAAAGAAATAGACTTAAGATGATTCTGTTTACCGGATCATGTAGCTATACAACATTCTTCCGTGCAGTGAACAAAATGTCCTAATATCTTTAGTTTTTATGTGCTTATGATGTAGAAAATTGGTTTAACTGATGAGCTCAGGTGTTACAACAAATGTTGTTATCTTTTTTTCAGATTGGGGCCAAGAAGTTCCAGAACGAAGGGATTGAAAAGTATGTTCGCGCTAATGGTAAGTCGATGCAGAAACATTTTATGGACAATTGTTGATGAGTGTGAGATAATTTAAAAAATGGGAATGAATGGATTAGCCCTGAAATGTAGAGGTTGTCATTGTTCCAACCATTTGGTGCCAGGTAATAGGTGATTTTCTGGGGCCTGTGGACCAAATGGACTGAGTTAAGCAGAAAGGAACCAACCCACATTTGGAAAAAATTGAGTTACAAATGGTTTTGAACTCAACCACTGCTCTACTATCTTTCGCCAAAAATTCAACGTTTTTGTTGGAGAAAATTTTGCAGAAATTGAACTGGAAGTTTATCTTTTACACTGAGTCTTATGGAGGAGCCAAACTTTAAACCTCTTTTTCTCGGTTCGATCCCGGTGTGGCTTGGTTCCTTTCTGTTTAACTCCGTCCAAATTGACTCTAGCTTCTTTGACAGCACTCGATGACTCCACTCAATCGTTTGAAATAAAAAATTAGTGTAAACATATGCATTTCGTTTGATGGTTGAAATCAGCAGGTTCCCAAATTCTCATTTTAACCAATTAGCAGTCAGAAAACAAGTTAAAATCCCAAGATGCCTTCGACCCATCAATTTAAAAAAAAAAAAAAAAAAAAAAAAATGTGGCTCTTAATGTTTTAAACTTGAGATTAGGCAAAGAGATTTCAAATTTAACCGGTCTCTATTTCTCTAAATTCTTTCAATTTGGAAGAAGTGAAAAGGACAAGAAAATGTCACATTTTTTGAATACTTTTTGTGTCTAAACTAATGTCTTGATTTTCATTTCTTTCTTTTCTCCTTTTTTCTGTGCAGTGGGTATAAATTCAGTCCCATTTTGATTCTCTTTCATCCAAAACACAGGAGACATGACATGAAATGAGCCAAATAAAGTGGGTTTTGGTGGGTCAAGAGGGGGATAGGGGAATTTCAGTGTACCAAAAGTCCCCCAATCGTAGCTTTAGAATATCTTTGATGACTACTACCTATGGCCTCAGATGGTGGAAGTAATAATTCACGAGCAGGGGCATTGGGGCATACTGTCCCTATGATACCTTTTATTGTAGGCATACTCATGTAATCATACGTCACCATCTAGTTTCTATTAAACTGGAGGTAGAGCCAAAAAGAACCATCGAAGGCTCAATTTAATTTCAGAGCCATTTCTTTGTATTTAATACTCCCATGATTATGTCTTGTTTTCTGAATGCGATTCCTGCGCTTATACTATATAGCAACATGGACTTACATGCAAAAATGCCAAGCCAAATTTTCTCTCCCCCAAAGGTTATGTTATCTGAATGTTATGCTCGGTTTTCAACTTACCAAAGGACTTGAGCATAGAATCCTCCCAAACCCAACCTTAACCCCACTAAATTGAAGTAGAATTCATTTCTTAAATTAAACAATAAAAAAAATCCAAGAAACAGGCCGGAACTGTATATAACAAGGTGGTTAGATAGTGCTGAGTCCACACTATTTTGTGGGGAAACCAAGATCACTAAAGTTTAAAAATGTCAAATTTCTATCAGAGTCAAAGTTTTGAGCTCAAATGAGCATCAGCACTAGACTAAGGGAGAAGAGTGTTCAGCTTGGGCAGATGCGTTGGCATATTAAGCTGAGGTCATGTGGAGAGATCTATGACGTTTGGGGTCTTTTTAGACCTCTTCAGTAGATGACATTTGTCAGTGAGCCTAGCTTAGCATCCCTCAAAATCCGAGACAGCCTGAAACCGCCGTCAAAATTATGACGCAAGGTATGACATTAAAGTTCGATCCTCGCGCCACCTGCTGTCGTAAATAATTTTTTTTGGTTTTCCTTGATTTATCTTGAGAGATGTTCAGCAGCGATGGTAGAAGGCCCAAGGATCGGACTTTCGTGTCATGCCTTGCATTATAATCATGACGTAGTTTCGATGCCGTCATGGATTTTGCTGGATGCAAAACTGGGCTCACAGACAAGTGTAATCTACTGATTAAGCCTTAAAAGAGCCTCAACGTTACAGATCTCTCAACCTAACCTCAGCTTAATATTCCAGTGTGTTGGCCTAAGCTGACCACTCTTCCCCTCAGCCTTGATCTGACACTCATTAGAGCTAAAAATTGTTGACTCTACGTAACATTTTTTAACTTTTTTGGTCTTGTTTTCCTCTCAAAATAGTGTGGACCCAGCACTGTCTTTCCACATTGGCTCTTAAATTAATCAATTCTTCAAAAAAGGTCTTTGTAGGCATGTCCTGTTTGTCTACTTCTGTCAAGTTTAGTATCAAAAGTAATGGGTTGATGCACCCTCGTTAGTTCTATTAGAAGGGCTCTTTTTATGGCCAAATTTCCAAATTTCACCTCTCAGTTTAAATATCCTGTACAGTAGTTCTCACAGAAGACTCGTAGGAGTCTTGATTTGTAAGGTCAGTTTGGAATTAAGCGCATTTTCCTCTTGACTTTAACATTCTTTTTTCTCTTTTCTTTTACAGAAAAAGTAATTGAATCAGACTCTTCCTCAATAGAATCAAATGATTATGAAGATGCTGAGGATCCAGATGATCCAGCACCCTCCAAAGTTGGGGATGGAATATCTTCGAAAGGTAAATCCATTCCTGGGAAAGCCAGGGTACTTAAAGGTCAAGCAGCTGCTGGCCTAGTCGCAAAGCCAAAATCCTCGAAACCGGCCAAGAAGCAAGATAATGTTTATGTTCCTCCGCACAAGAGAATCCCTGAAGATCCAACCCCCTCGGTTAGAGAAAAAATGGCTTCGGAAGAACCATCAAAAACTATCATAACAACTGAACAGAAGAATAAATTATTTAACATTACATCAAAATCAAAACCCATCTCAGTCGTGGCTAGGCGCAATCCATTAGTCCTTAATTTGGTAAAAAAATGTAAAGACCAAGGAGATGTGTCTGATGAAGATCAAGAGGAAAAATCGGTTGAGGAAGAATTATCACCCCCGAATACCCTTACCAAGAAATTGCTTGATGATGTAACGAAAAAGGATCCATACTTCAACAATAGACACCTGGATGTAGATGTGTTATGTTCAAAGCTCACAGATCTTAAAAAAGCAGAGAATAACTCTCCCGATAGTTGCTTGAATTTTTCAAGTAGTTCTGAAGCTGAACTTGCCATGGACGAATACTCCAGTGGTTTTAGCGATAATGATTACACTTATCAAAACACCCGGGCTTCAAATGCTCTGAAGGTAACGACGATAACAGCTGAGGAAGATGAAGAGGAAGACTCCTGTGCCCTTGGAGTCAGGTCGGCATACAAACCCAGCGATTATGGGGTTGATGGGTATCGCTACACAACAGCAAGAAAGGCAAAGACTCCACCGAGGACTTTCATCATGAAGCAAGAAGACTTCCCCTCTTTATAATAGTGATGACCGTAATCTACATTTGGGTTCCACTGGATTTTTTTAATTATTGAGCTTATATATCATATACTTACGAGCTTTATAGTTGTTTCAGGTTGTTTTAAACCAGGCTACATTTGGAAATCATGAACTATAAGTGCTGACATTTTTTACTGTCCTCAGGAAGTCCTTTTACATGTTTTACTACTTTTATATCCTCTTATATTAACTTTTTGATCATGCACTTGAGATATTTTCCTCTTTTATCTGAACATTTCTCAAGCTCAAATCATTTTTAATAATTTTGGAATTATTTCACCATTCCAAACGTTTATACTCTTAGATTTTACCTAGTTTAGACTCATTGAGCCTTAAAAACTGACTAACTGTGATAAATTTCAACCTAACAAACCCCCTGTACAATGACAGTATTTTGAACAAAAAAATTCCAACAATTCCTAGCAGGATTGAATAAACCTTATCAGTTTCAGCCAATGGGTCAATTCTGCTCAGTGTTCGAAATTCACCCTTAAGTTTTAGAAGCCATTTGGCGCATCAAGCCCGATTTTTAGGCGCCATTCAAGATTTTTTAGGGGCCAACTTGACTTTTTGCCTATATATTACGGCACATTTAGAGAAAAGTTAGACGCAAGATGTTTTCGTAACAGAACTAGTAAGTAGCTGTAACTTTGGAAAGACAAAAGCACTAAGAATGAAATCATGAAGAATAGAAAAAGCATGCTTTCACTTGTGGTGCTGAAAATTCCGAGTTTTTTTTTATTCAAATAGATTTGTTTTTCTTTCTTTATGTGACTTCCTGTGAAAATCCAAATTTTCAGGAGGCGATTTTTAGGAGCCACGTTGGCGCAGAGCCTTCATGTTTTAGGCGCCATGGGCAATTTTTTAGGCGCATTTGGCGCGTTGGCGCCTGTGAGTTTCGAGCACTGATTCTGCTCGTCACAAAATCAAATGTTGATAGGTGTAGCTTGTAAAACATAGAGCGGTACATGTTTCTATATCTAATTTGGTGATTATCCTCTTCCAAAATGAGGCTCTTGACATCATCCACTACAATGATGCAGACCTTAGTTTTTCACCATTGACTCAAAATTTACAGGCACAGTATGTAGTAGTTGTCCATGTACATTACTGATAAAACAAGGCTGGAAGGAACAACGTTCTGCAACATTGTGATGGATAGTCTCCTGTTTCTATAAAAAGGCGTTACCCGCACTAATATTAATGTCAAAACTTTTTGTTTGGATAGATTATTAGTTTGTGCTAATCTTTAAGCTACCCCTGCTTTAACATGACGCTGAAACTCGTGCTATGAATTTATCCCTCAATCCAGATCATGTATACTTGCTTAATATTGCTCTCATAAAAATCGTGCAGAAAAAAGACGTTACTGTACTCTGATAACCAAGTTTTGAATAGAAATGAATAATGTCAGGTGGCCTTTACTATCTCCATTTAACTGTTAAAATTTCTAAAATGAGTCGTTCATATTTTTCTCCGCCAATTATCAAGGCCTGCAACTGATTGTGCAAAACAAGATGCTCTCTTTGACTTTTAACATGCATGCCTCTCTAACTCAAGTTTCCAACTCTGATAGATGGCTCGAAAGCCTAAGATATCCATTTGAGATTTTTCTAGTTTTTGCCCAAATCCTACTCTCTTTTAAGTCATGAGATTAGAGGTATTATCTTTTAGCCTCCCTTTTGTTTACTTCTCAAGGCATTCAGCAGAGAATAAGCTTGAATTGTCGGGACAAAATATATGAAGTACAAATGGAAAAAGATCTTTTTATAATACTTTTTAAAAATCCAGTGAAAGAACCCAAATGCTGAAAGCAATTCACTTCTCTTCAGTTGTTTTCATCCGCAGAAGGAAACTCTCCACTTTTCCACGACCTACCTGCTTAGCGTTCTTCGAAACTTTGAAGTGAAATTGTGCGCGAGTGATGAACTCAGTGAATAGTGATCCGTGTTGTGCTCAGCTCGGAATGTGCAAAAACTATCGAGTGTCGCTCGTCGTTGACCCATTCTTAATTCAAGTGATAACCTATTTGTAAGGTTATAGTGCGCGACCTAGCTGTAAGATGTAAATATTAGTAACTGATGCACTGTGGTTATTGGGGCTGATCCTAAGGGTGTCCTTCTGGCATGTTCCATAGGTTTGACAGCATGAGATTTCCTACAACACAGTCTTTCTTGATTGGCTGCGGTCTATTCAGTCTTGAATAGACTTCACTTTCTTGGAATTCATTTATTTTAGTCATCATACATTTATTATTCTGATTTTAAAACCTCAGACTGTTCCATACTTATCACATAAATAATTTATTGCATGATAATAGTTAACCTACATCCCTACCAGATGTGTTGTCTTGATCGAAATCTCACAAAGCATGACATCAAAAATATGGATCCTCCTGTGGAAATACCTTTTCAGTGAACAGCTGCAATCAGTAGTTGAAAATCAATTATTGTGGAAATAAATGACCATGAATGCAAAGTTGCATGATGTGAGGAACGCACTATGTAAATGTAGGAACAACTAGCAACATGCCAGAATGCTCCTCCCATTCTTCTTACTTAACAATGGTGGAAAAAGAACTTTATAATATGCAACAACATTCATCAAAGCTGAAAAAATTTCCTGCTCTCAATGGCAAGACCAATAGTTTTTTTTTATGATTTTCTTGATAGCGCAGCTGGCTTGTCAAATTTAAGGGTTGGCATGGAGATATTGGAGGAGCTCAATAGTCAAATTCTATCAGACATGAGTTTTGCCTTTTCTTTCCAGAAAGGTGACGTAAGAAATTTGATCATTAAGATTATTATAGTGAAGTCAATGATTATATTTTGTGGAGTCTTCGTCATCTCAATTTCTACCCCCTTAGCTTTAGTTGTCGAAGATAGTTAAAAGTCGGTTGACTGAGCATATCTTTTCCATTCGCTCCATCAAATTAGGACTTGTTGCAAGGTTCTTTTTCTACCTAGTCCCACCTCCTTGAGATGGCAGCCCTAATTCCCAACATGTTTGTACATATTTATTACTTTAATCAATCATGTTTCAATCCAATCGATAGATTTTAATCAATTATGCATCTGTATGTAATTGTGTGTGCCTAAAATTGTGTGGCGTTTGTACCTGGTCATAAGTGCGCCTTATTTTAATCCTGTTGAAAAATTGAGTTGCACCAGGTGGAAATCGATTCAATGTATGAAAATGACAATTTAAGTCTCAGAGCGTATTCGAAAATCACGGAGAACAGCCGTTTTAGCCCTTTGGCTTGGAGCTATATTTGGATCACATTTTGCAACAAGGAACTACAATATTTGGCTGTTTGTAAAAGTAACATATTTGCCATTTATTTCTTAATGCAGACAGGTACTTTCATGGATGGGTGAGAAATTTTAGTTCAATATTGCAGAATGACGTCCATTTGACCCTTTGCATGCTTGCTGAAATCACTCAAGCCTGGAACGGAGTCTGCTTATATTATTTTGAGCCATCAAGTGATCTCTGAGGGTTAAATATGAGCTTAAAAAACTCACACATTTAAAAAGCTCTTAAGGGTTGAAAAAACTCTTGCTCATTATTTTCTATAAAGCTGTTAAACACTTATGCCTCCTCATTTTGGAAAATCCTGTTTGAGTGAGATGAGACTCAAAGTAGGATAATTTTGTCGCGCCATGACCTCACACTCCAATCTACAGGTGAAAGTCGAATTTTCTCCCGCACAACAGGCCATTAGATGCATTCTTCATAGATTATATAGTTTTCTAATTTTGGGTTTACTCTACTTCATGGCCAGAAATTGAATTTCTGCTGATTTAAACCAATGTAATGTTTTGTCAAAATTTCAATCACTCGAAGGTTATCTGAATATGCTTCAAATCAGATCAAACCTTGAATAACTAATAATCCTAGAAATAGAATCGATAACTACATCGGATTCAATTTTCCAACATGACTGATATTAGCCGCACTTTTAGGACTAAATATTTTATCATCATATTATATTTCGTATGAAAACTATTTTAGCATATTTTGTATAAAATGAATGAGTAATTTACTTTGAATATGTTTAACCCATGTAGTCTTCATTTACATTAATAAACCTACATATTAATGTTATAAATTATTGAGGTAAATTGTTTTTGGATTCCTTTAAATAATTACACTGAATAAGTATTTCAGGATAAATTGTTTGAATCCTTTACTTTCGAAAAGTTTTCTTGCATTAAGCCATGTATTGCTGATTGCTGTTCCTGTATATTCAAAAGGGTCTATAAAAGTCCCAATATCTAGTGAGGAAGGTCCATGGGCTTTTTTTCTACAAAATCTAAAAATAGCTTGTTTTCCCATCATATATCTTTTTCAGGAAAATTGCAACTCTTACAAAATCCTTTTTACCATCTTTCCCAATCGAAATTCATTTGGCCCAATTCTCTGAAGTTCACCCGTATGGTGTTCAATGAAGGTTTTATTTAGATTCATCGTTAAGAAGTTTATGAAATGCATTCATCCTATCCTGGAGTATTTATGATGCCTACCCCTTTACTAAAAGATAATTTATTTTTTAAAACACGTTTCGTATGAAGTAAAGAGCCATGATCTCTGTTTAAGTATCCTGAATAGGTTTTCTGCTCTAGTTTCCACGAGAGCTCATTGCTTGAGCACGAAGAGGATTTAGAGTGAAGTGAGCTATTTTTTTTTTAATTAATTGGGAAAATATTTCTACTGAATCTTAAAATCCGTTGCAAACAATTTTATTCAAAAAACACGCTTTTCTCAGGGAAAGCAGGGTTTGAAAACTGGAGCATGCTGTAAAAGATGAAATCATCTCCACACAGTGGCGTGCGGTCCGGATAAGCAAGGCAAGCACTGCTTGCCCAAAGATTTCAAAAGAAAGAAGAAAATTACACCTATTAAATGTTTTACATTTTAGCAAATATAATTTATAAAATGTGTTCAGTAAGTAAATTGCATTAAAAATAGAAAGAGAGGGAAACAGAAATACGTAAAGAGCCACCAAAGTAGGAAAGCGGCAGAGCGGCTGGAGGTGNCTCCACATAATGTGACCAAGAACTTAAAGAGGACTATTGATTTCAGCCACTTCTCCTTATCCCTTTCAATTCTTCTTTTTTGCTCTGATTAAGACAAGAGCCATAGTCTTTATTCAGTAGAACTTATTCCAAAAGTCAACAGAAGAGAATGAAAAGTAGCTCTGTGCCCATCTCTAAGGCAGTCATCTAGGTTGCCTCCAGCTTTGAGGTCGTAGAATCATACAAAGCTGATTCATCCTTCCAATGTGCTCAACAACATTTTGCTTGACATCTTCGTCCATTTAGTCATATCTTAAACTTGGCACTAATTGCTGAGTAACTCAATTGATTGTCAACCGGTGCCTTAACAAAATTCCTGCTTATATATTTCGGGTTTTCATTTCCACAGCCCAGAACTTTCAGCAGCAGAAAAGTGGATTTTCTAAAGTTCCTTCTGCTGAAGAGACTAAAAAATAATGATGATGAATTTTAATTTGTCACAGTATTTTATTTACATTACAAAAAACAAATCATAGAATTGCATATGTAACTCGCAAGGACCCTTTGATCTATACATAAATGAAATATTGAATACATAGACATGTGAAAGGTTATAATTTCTGCTTGACGCAAAATAAACATTGAGGCGCCAAGTGCCTTTATTCTGATACAAACAAGTTGCCAAGTGAAATAAAAACATCCAAACAGAGCCATAAAATCGAGAGTCCAATTTTTCTCTTCGTTATTGTAAGGGCATAACATCACCTTTAAATAGGTGCTCTGCTAAAATGACCGTAATTTGAGTCCCTCGTGTGCAGAAATAGCAAAAAAAAAAAATGTTTCCCTCTACAACTGAATCAATTCTGCCAGATGAGGTTGAAACGTATCTGAGTGAATCTGAGAGGGATGGACGGGATTGGACAATTTTCCCCTCTTATGAAATGATTTGGAATCAAACAATAAGCATTAATTGGAATAGGGGGTGTTGTTGAATTATTGGTATTGTACCAAATTTTGGTGTAAGAACAAGCACACTTTAGATAGCGGGAGGGAAACATACAGATTTTGATGGGAGGAACTCGAAATTAAATTTTTATTGTAAAAGTAACAAATTTAAATAAACTCACATTGATACACTAAAAATATGGTTTCAGACCAACTTTTCCAGGAAGTGAGAAAAAATTTGGCAGGTTTTCCTTTTTACTATCACTGTCAATACCCTTACTGACCACAGTTGCAACTTAGACGTAAGTAAGGTCAGATGTTGAATAGGTTACAGTCGTTAGTCGTATAGGGTGGAAGAATAATACTTCTGAGAGCAAGTTAAACGTCTGAATTAAATTTGTTTCTTCGGCACGCACATACAAGTGTATTAGCGTCAAAAACCCAAAATCTGATTGCCATCGTTTTAGCAGAGCACCACTCACACATAAATGAGACCATATTTCGTTCAATCTTAGATAGAACCGAATTTGAATAGAAATTTGAGTTTTGGAATGAGTTAAAAATTCACTATCAGAAATAATTTACTGATTACTTAAAAGAGGCATACCACTTGTTCTTCAGTATTCCCTTGAGATTTCCATTGGAATTGCACAATATCGCGCGCAGAGGTCTCTAACAATTCTAAGAGTTCAAACCAGAATTACCAATGATGAATGTAAGAATACAAACTATTTGGAATTGTAACATAAGCTTTTTACCTTATTCTTACGAGACAAATCAAAAGCAGGAATCATATTTTTTTTTTGTTCTTTTTGTTTTTTTTTTGCCAGCAACATATCAACTTAGTAGCTAGCAAATTAGAAGTGTCATTTCTTAAAAATAAAAAAAAAATAAAGTTTCCCTAATTGCCAAATTTACTTTCGGCAAATATTTACCAGTTGAAAGTCTACAGAATTTTACGAACAATTGGCGGACCTTTTGAGGAGCAGGCTTTGGCTTTTCACAGAACTTGGTTCATGCAGGTCCGAGAATCAAACATTTAAGTAATATCAAGTAGTATTTTCCCTACTATCGTTCAGTGGCACATTTTATAATTAATTACACTGTGAGACTTTTTTTATGTTTATCTACACACAACACAAAAAAAAAAGAAAAAAAAAGGTAAGAATTTTCACAATATTTTTTTAAAATTTCAAATCATTTATCACAAGTGCACCTTCTAAGCAGTGAGCAACAGATAGCATTTCTCACAATTTCAGTGAATTTAGCTACATTCTGCGACTGAGCTGATGACCAAAAACTTGAAACTCATAGAGCCAGCTGATTATTTAAAAACACAATTCTTAGGAAGATTTCATCTAATCTCAAGAAATTTTAGGTTTGTTGAAGTATATTTTTTCAATGCTTCAGAGTCAAAGTACATTAAAGATTTTGAGAGTAGCACTTTCCTCAGTATCTGCACAAACCATGCGGTTAGTATATCCTAAGATATTAGTTTTGTCAAATTAATTCTTGCAAGAATTTATCACATGGTATTCTGTTTCAGTGCACAGATAATTTAGAATCTTTCAAACACGAGGAATTAGAAGGAAAAAAAAATGGCAAAAAGAGAGAATAAAGGAAAATTGAATGGACACTATTATGCTAAAACGAGCTGTAAGCAAATTACTTAAATCAAAAGAATCTATGAGTGATGAAATTCCTGTTCATGTTGTTCTTCTAGATTTAATTCACATTTACCCAGTTCCTTCTGGCATAAATACGCCCAAATAGGTGTAGTATTCCAAGGAACATATTGTCTATGGTATGAGAAAGCTGCATTCAAAGCAGTTCCCGATTTTTTCATTACTGGACAAAGAAATTTAAGCTCCGGCTTTTACCACAAATGAGGTTATGAAGCATTTGGTCCCGTAAAGACCAGGCGTAGCAACTTAATTATTTCACGAAGTTTAGCAAATCTTGTGACTTGTGCCTGATCTACGTATCTGGAAATTTTTTAAACCTAAAAAATTCAGATAAAACAGTGTAAAATTAAAATTCTCTTCGATGATATTTGTCCGGGTCGAAATAGGATGTGACTACAACTCTGTTGTTGAATTTACGACCTGTGAGGGCTTGTTGACCTTTTTGACAGTCAACTACAGAATTAAATTCCACAAACACCTGAAAATAAAAAGTATTGTGGTTAGAAACAAGACAAGAGATAGGTAACTTTATACTTGGAAAGATGACTAATTTTACACCAGCCAAAAAATCGGTCTTTTTCATCGCCCACTGAAAAAATTCTGACAAGGTTCCCTCGTTTTGTCAAGTTTGACAGGGGCTTTCCCAAAATGTTCCCGCTTTCTCAGGAATTTCTCCACTTTCAGCTACTTGTCCTGGCGCTGTGTCACGAAATATTTGTACCCCTGTTAAGTTACGTAAAAAGCAAAGATGCTGTTTGGAGTAGAGTCCAAAAAATCTAGGATATAATGCTTCTCTGTTTTTTTGCTTTGGTAACATGTTTTTGCTTCGGAATGTTACGTAAAAAAACGATTTACACAATGGAAAGTCAGAAAATCAACTCCTAAGCAAGATATAAAAATGTGTGAATACAATCAACATTGGTTACAAATACAGTCATTTGTATTATCAACTACCATTTAATTTTTGGTAGAATGATTATTAAAGTCTTTCTCAGGATTTTACTTTCAAACTTCCTCTTGTGTAAATTGCTTTTTAAAACGGATTTTGAAGAGAAAATATGTGCCGTTTCTTCCTAGTTCAGATCTTGTTTAGTAGCCCATTCAATTTTGAATGCGGCATGGTCCTTGCACTGCAATTAAACCTTCCCTTGGAATTAGGGCTCCTAAGATCTGAAGACATTTTACATATGGACTTACTTTGTTTTGAACACTTACATTACCGATTCTCTGATAAGTTTTTTATTAAATTCGAATTTTTCAAAGTAATGAACATTCTTTTCTTAGCTGCGAGTTAAATTTTTTTAGAGAGGCTCAACATTCTTTCTTTAAGGTGGAATTGTGGAGAAGGTCAAAGCCAAACCTGCCACTAGGGCTGTTCTATCGGTTGTCGGTAAGCTACCGAAACAGTTCCGTTAAGAAAAAGTTACGATAAGAGCGCTCTTGCCGATAGCGATCAGAGTTTTCGGTGCTGGCGAAAATAAGCTGTTGCCATTTGTACATCTATTACAGGCGCCGCCGCGCCAGGCAATTTGATAAACCGACACACAGGGCAACAATGCATTGAGTGCGAGCTCTCAAAAATCCGATAAGACCGGCTGTTGGCGATATCATCGCCACTGTCGGTACTGCCGCCAGTTTCAATAAGAGACGATGTCGATAGTGTTCCGGCAAGAATTCGTTTGAACACCCCTACCTGCCACATGGTGTCAGCAGGAAATAACTGAGGACTCCACTTAGTACTTTGGATACTCTTTGCACTACTGATATCACTGTGTACTTTAAAGTATTAAAAGTACTCATTCTCGCCTCGCCACTGCAGAAAACGTCAAATTATAATTGAGGAGTTCTTGAAACAGCTATAAACTAAAGACGAATATATTTTACTTCACACTGTATACGTATGTTCGTTATTTTATTCTCTCTTACCTTGCCACAGCCTGGAACATCCACACCGTCAATTGGACGCGGAATTTCTACAGAGCGAACAATACCATACTTCCCACACTCCTCTTTGATATCTTCGAGAATATCTTCATACTCATCGTCATCCCTCAATTCGTCAGGTGTCACCATATTCAACAGACACAATACCTGAAAAAAAAAAAAGATGATGAAAGTGTGTCACCATGAAGTTAAACTTTTTGCTCTTGGGAGCTGAATCTTGGCTTTTCCACTTGATGGATCTTTTGAGCAGTTATCAGTTATGAATCAAAGGACAAAAGAAGGCCGAAAGTTGACCTGCAACGAGTCAGCTTCAAAACGAGATAATAGCTAATCTATCAAGATATAACATAATATTACTAGGCCAGGATGGCAATCATTATCTTGGAAAGACTTTATAGACTTATGAGAGAATACCCACACTTATGAGCACAGGATCTTACAAACAAAAAAATCATGTAGAGTTAAAAGATCTTGATTTTTAGATTTTACGTTTTAATTCAACTTCTAAATGTTGATCGAATGCACGAATTTTCTACAAAATTGACTTTTACATGATTTGCGATAAATTATTTATTTATTTATTTATTTATTTATTAAAACTTTTGTACATGGGAGCCCCATTATTAGGGCTATGGCACAGGTCAAGAAACACTATACAATAATTAAAAATATAAATTACAACTGTAGATTAGTTGGTGGTTAGAACGTTACACAATTAGGACTTCTTAATATATTTAAAATCCTCCATCAAAATATACTGATCTACAAGGTGAAGAAATGGTGCTGGGTCCACACCATTTCGTGGGGAAGACAAAGCCAAGAAGTTCCAAAAATTAAAATTAGAGTCAAAAATAATTTTTTGAACTCTAATGCGCACCAGTACGAAACTGAGGAGGGAGAGTGTTCAGCTCAGGCAGTTTGCAATGGAAGATTAAGTTGGAGTCACGTCGAGAGATCTATACCGGTTTGGGCCTTTTTAGACCTCATCAGTAGATCACACTCGGCAGTGAACCCAACTTAACATGCCGCAAAATCCAAGACGGCATTAAAACGCCGTCATGGATATGACCCGAGGAGTCGACCAATTTTTTTGGAACTTCTTGGCTTTGTTTTCCCCACGAAATGGTGTGGACCCAGCACCATTTATCCACCTTGTTACATACAGGTTTCGGGCCACTTCTTAGTGTTTTTTTCCTTCATTTATACTGATCTACTCTACACTGCTACCAAGCTATGCTGGTCAATGTGTGCTGTCTCTATGTGATTTTTAAAATAAAAACCAAAATCAATTCTTGGAAGCTACGCACTTCCTTTTAACTTACAAGACTGGAAAACTGTAAAACATAACTGGAGGTTTTAATTAAAAAAGACTCTTAGATTAAGGAGAAGAGTTTCACTTACTTCCGTAGGAGGTCCAGCCGCTCCAACATTGACAAGACCTGGTACTTGAAGTGTGACTGGAACTTGTGAACCAAGACCAGGATTTTTGGCTCCTACACTTGCTCGTTGCACTATCAGTTTTTTGTCTCCAAACTGCATACCGTTCAGACCAGCAATTGCCTAGGCAGAACAATCATGAGATTAAGTACATTTTTAGAAACTATTTTTTTCCAGCAGAAATAAAGAATCATTTTTGATTTTTGAAGGTTTAATCATTGGAGAAATATCATGAATGAGATAAATAAATGATATTCTCTAGAGATATTGAGATTTAAGTTATTCCATATAGACATTTTTAGGGAGTAAATATATGCCTTGTTAAAAGATTAGTTCCTAGAGCTCACTTTTGCATAAATGCCTCAAATTCTTTTGTCATAATCTTTCACACAATTTCTTATCTCCCGACGGATTTGCTCAAATCGCCAAGATATCATAAAACTCTTACTATCTCAGTTATCTCTCATTAAGTAGTTTTACTGTCAGAAGCAGAGTAAGGAGAGGCGCAAGATGATCCATTTTGAAGGGATGAAACAAAGAGATTTACTTTGGCCAGAGTTCCTCCAGAAACTTGACCCTAACCTTAATCACCAACTTCTCTAAATTAAGGCTGTTGCACAATTTTTCATTCATTTTTTTCGTGAAGGAACGTAAAAAATGAGAAGGCCTAACAATTTTTAGCTTTTCATTTGATGAAATTTACTCCAAGTGAACAATTTAAAAGTCACCAAAAATGCAACCCCACTTTGACCAGCAAATTGCGCCAACTGATTTCATACACATGAAGAAACACCATGTAGTCTTTCATCCTTGTTTTGTTAAGCGCAATTACAACTAGACGTTAAGTATCCTAACCATGCTCAGGATATCACTGCTGTCGAAGGTGAATATTCCTCAGATAAGCGTAAGTCGGATGCAATTTCAACATGAACACAGGTACGGATAATACAGTGGCCCTGTTGGATTCAGTGATTAAAATCATGGTTTATCGCTCGGTATAACATCAAAAGCTTCAGGCCAATGAGAAACATTGTTCATATTATGCAGTACTGATTAAAACTTCATTTCTCTAGTGATTAAAGCTGTTTTGAGCTTGTCTAAGCTTGGAAACCTGATTTTTATCCAACTTTCCCACAGAGGCACCTACATTCAGTGAAATTACTGAATTATGTAATGGCCTAATTTCACATGGTCATTCCATCACACAGAAGTTTTGATGTGTTTAATTTTAAATTTTATTTCACTTTCTAGTATTTTCATTTAGTTATCTAGAGGTTTTTATTGCTTCACAAACATCGAGATTTTTGGTAAGTATTTAAACTTTAGAATTGTATGGGGGAAAAAACAAAATTAGGGACCATACCTGATCAGTTATAACTACATCAGCATATTCACAAAAGGCATAGCCTTTGCTGAGACCTGTAGCGGAGTCCTTTACCAGATTGAATGCTCGCAGGGGTCCGAAGGATTGCAGCAATTCCTTGACCTAATTGAAAGAATAATTATTTGTATGAGACAGAATCACAACAAAGAATGCCTAAAGACTCTAAAAAACACAGGGTCCCAAAAAAATTATGATAATGGAAAAAAAATAATAATTGATAAAAACTAAAATAGAAAAATTGAAATCCTTTAACTCTATGACTCTGTGACCCACTTGACTCTTCTGTATTTCTACTGAAAAATTATCTGTTATCCCTGCTATTTTGCTAGTTTTACTAAGATATTCAAGAGTGAATTACATCAATACATGAGAAATTTTCTTTTCCTCAATTTTTCCCTCAGAAGGAAAAAAGAATTATTCAAAATGGTAAGCTAGAAAATGAATAGTCTTATCTTCTTATCAGAAAACTGATCCTTCGAAAGTATTTCAGGAAAAGTTATTCAAACTCAAGGGTTGTTGAGAAAAACAAATAATTGAGAAATCACTGCCTTTTCTTGTTGGATTTTACACTAAACCCTAATAACATCAAATCTGAGTTTTACGAGAAGTTTGGAATGAAAATTTGGCTTTAGTTAAGAAAAGTTGTTCTTGGCATGGACAGGCAGCTAAACAATTTAATTTGATTCTTAAAAAATTGGGTTAAATTTTTAATTAATTTGATTCATTCCATGAAAGAAACTAGGGGGCACCACTACAGCCAAATTTGGAGGAGAGAAGTTGGTTTGGGGGAGTGAAATTTTTTTGGCAGGATGAAACTAAAAAGATGCACTGGCATTACCAAAAATTGCCTCAAAGATAGTGTCAAATGCTACCCCCAACGTTCCTTAAGTGGCTCCCCTAAAAATCATTATGAAAAGTGCTCCATTTGGCAAGTAAAGACATTGAGCACAAAGTAATTGACAAAAACCAGGAATTAAAGAATAGAAATACCGCTATGATGGGNGGGGGGGGGGCAATGATATAACATGATATTGTGTAGAGGATGCGGAATTTTCCCTCTTAGGTCATTTCCAATTGTGTCAAAAGTGAGGAGGGGAATCAAAAAGGAAGCTGAGGAATGTCAGGATTTTATCAAAAGAATTCTGAAGTATAAAGTTTGGGTTCATTCTGGAAAAACTTTGTGAGTGCATCAATAAAACCATTGTACAGATGACAAGAGAGATGAGTAAAAGAAGAAAAAGGAAAAAACATCATTTTAAAGAACAATGAAAGGAAGGAAGGGAGAAACAGAAGATGTGGAACCACATCCTGCCAATGAATCTCAGCCAAAGTAAAGGAGAGAGATAGGCTTGGCAGAGATCCATGATGGACGGGTAGGGTAGATTCTGGTATTTTTGGTGTTAACTTTGATGAGAGAACATTTTTTGTAACTGTTAAGGGAAAAATTTGACATTCAACAATATGGTCTTTAGTGTTTTTGTTTTTATTTATTTTTTTTTTTTTAATCAACCATACTAAAGATACCGCGGGGAGAAGATAATTTGATCATTTAAAATTTTGTCATGATCATTTTTTCTTCAACTGAAACCGATTATCATCCACAATTAATTTCGCAGGGGTCTGAGATTATCATCCACAATTAAATTCGCAGGGGTCTGAAAATAGTTTTGCATTCGTGTCGAAGGGTCCTTAGATATGATATACTTGGATAAAATTAACACTTTAAGTGTAAAACAAGAAAGAAGAAACCTGCCACTAAAACACAAAGGGTTTTCCCTTCTTAATCAAACAAACCTGCTCACCAATGTGAGGTTGATATTTAGTTTTCTTATCAACTCGTCATATAGAATAAGGGTCCTTAGCAGATATTGCAACCCTCATTTGTAAAATGAGCGAAAAATTATGATACCAGGTATATCCTGGGGTGTATATTAATGCACTGACAAGGAGATTTCCAAGGCAGCACCTTATAACTCTCTTCTCGGAGGTGAGAAGATGGGTGATAACTGCTTATACTATGATGCAACTTCCACAAAACTTTTTTCCTGTTTCTTAAATACAGCATTCCAATTTATGTAAGGCTATGCACCATTCCATCCAAATGAGTTTGTTAATTTAGCTTTACAATAAAACAAGCTTTGGTAAAAATATGAAATTCAGCCAGAGAAATTATAACAAAAGCTGCACAACTATCAAACTAATGATTCACTCTCTACTGTAAAAAACATGATACAGAAAAGAGATTACCTTCCCTTTGATTTTTAACAAGAAAACCAAACGTATTCCAAAAGACAAAAGCAAAATCTGACTGGTTGTGATAATAGAAACAAAATAATAATACTTTGCCAGCTAGAAAAACAGTTGGTTAATATTAAAATGCTGACGACATTGTCCTACATAGAAAGGAAAAGAAAGACCTTTAAAGTTTTGTGAGACGGCCTTTTACATCGAAGCAAATAATTTTAAATAAAAATAATAAAGGGAAAGACAAAGGCTTGGTAAAAAGACCCGATTTTGGATCAAGCTACAATGAGCCTGATGCAAACTTCATCTAGAGCAAAAAGAAAAGTTTTTCCTCAGAGAAAATGGCTCAAAAATCACAATGAGCGCAATAGGAAAGTCTGAAATACGCTCCCAATTTCACAATCAGCTTAGGAAATATGAGTTTTTTCAAGCTTCCCGCTCTAAAAAGTATACTAAGGCATGGGTAAACATTTTGTGAGAGGATTTGTTCCATCTAACTTTTGCGCACTAGGATGCTAAGTCTCGGAATTGATGATTAAGATTTTGTCAATAATATAACATTTGGAGATACTTCTTGAATTTCCCCCATCACTCAAACTTAATACCATTGGACAGAACAGTGCATTGCTCTTCAAACATAAGCTCACCATGGAAGTAAGAAAAACTTGCCCCAATGCTGCAAAAAGTGATTTTGATTTCATTATCATAAATACGTTTGGAAATTCAAAGAAACTTGCCTTTCAGTCGACAACACACGAGAATAGAATCCACTTGATGATAAAAATAAACGACTGACAGGGTCAGGGTGTATTCAATTTTACCCGCAATTACGATACCTTAGCTAAGGCAAATAAAAAAAGGGGAGGAAAGAAAAAAAAAGAGCAGAGGCACAGATAAGTATCCATCACAACAAAATATCTATAACTATTTTATCAACTATTGAGTAAAATATTTCAGTTCGTTACCTTGGGTAACTTTTGCTCCTCATGACATTCCATTTGTGGACCTGAAAGAACCCTAAAAATTCACTTCGCAAACTTTCAGCTGATGGTCACTCTTTAAAAAGAAAAAAGATAAACGGAGCGGGGGGATGCGCGAGAGCTGATTGAAGGTTTTTGAGGTAGGCGGAGAGAGGTTTGGCATTTTGCCTTCTTGCGCCTCACAGAGTTCTAAGACGACAGTATAAATTTGAGGGTATGTCATCTCCGATGGTAGGGGTTGAATCATTGATTGATGAAAAACGGTTTGTATTGCGCAATCCAGCATTCCACAGGCAAACTTTTCAATAATTGTGTTTGGCACCCTTGGACCTTCACTGCACACTTTCTGCCCTTCACTGGGTAAATTATTGTACTTAAAATGATTTTACATCTTTTCTAAAATTAAACACGTTATGAGGATCTTATAACCACAGAGGGAAGGTGTTTGATTGGTCAGTAAATTGCAGCATCTTTTAAAAATCGATTTGTTACAGGTGTAAAAAATGGAATGAAAGTTGTCAGAAATGCTAATCAGTCATTGGGGGACTGGGATTTTCCAAAAACATCTGGCAAGTAACCGATGGTGCATTTGAGGGGTTTAAATTTGTAAGAAATTTTAGGGCTTGTTTGAGCCTGGGGTCTTTAATTTAGCATGTATTCCGAGGCTCTCGCTACATGAGCTTCATTCGTATTTTTTTCAAATATTTTTTTGTTAATGTTAACTTAGGAATAATTTTACTCCTTCCAACCATTCTACTCTATTAATTTTCTTGTGTGGCTGGCTTTATAGATTTTGCCACAGCTCTCTTTAAATTTCAATGCTTAGGTATTTTGCTGCTGCTATCATTTTCATCTGCTGTTATTGGCTGAAGACTTCTATAAGACGTACTCTGGCTCTTTTTGTTCTGAGCCCTTCACCTGTTGTTTTTTGGGTGGGTCTATCTCATAATAAGCAATTAAAATCTATTTTTGCCAACAAAAAAATACTCTCCAAATTTTAAATTAATCTGTGCAGCAGAATGAATGGACTGATTTGAAAGCTAGATGAGACTAATTGTGAAACTGAAGCATAATAAATTTTAAAACTCACAGTGCTCCATTTTGAGGATTCAAAACAAAACTGGGAAATGTTTATAAAATTTCTGGCGATTTAAAAAAAGAAAAAAAACGAAAAAAAGGAGAAATGACCACCATGAATAGTTTGAAAAATGTGCTTGAGACTGAAATTTTTTGAAGGAGCAGGCTAAATAAAATTTACCAAGATCAACCTAAATATAACCTGAAAAAATGCAGATTTGAACCAAATTACTGATAATTTACTGGGATAGTACTTCTTCCCATCATTTATTACGTATTTGGATACTTTGGTTTTTGTTTGTTTGTTTTTTTTTGTCAACAGACCAATAAGGCTGAAATGAAAAAAGCTGAAAAACTGAAAACAATCAATGCAAAGGTGGACTAAGAAAATTGTGAGGAGTGTTGATACTAGTGCTGAAAAAACAAGGCCGTTGACTGAAAAGAAGGCAAAATAACGTCAGCAAAAAAACGAATTGATTACGTCCGAGAAGCTGAAAAAATTGGAATAGAATGTTGCTTGGATGATGGATAGCGAGAATAATTACACTGAGCTCAAAAACAAGTCAGAAGCAGGAGTGAAATCAAATATAAAAGGTCCTTTCCCAGATGAATTATTTTTTTTTTAATATAAATCATCTACTAGAGGTACCTTGAGGACTGGAGGGAAAAACACATTTTTAAAACTTAAAACAGCACCTTCAGAGGGTAGTCAAAACCTCAATCTCTTAACAACTACTAACTCCTGCTGAATTGAGTTTTTGAGCTCAGGAAAAGATCTGATGGCTCAAGAAGAAAAAAAATTAAGATACTGATTGCAAAATATTGATCTGGCCTCTGCTGGGCATTAGAAAAGTGGAGTCATCTGAAAGTAGTTTCCAAACCTAACCTATGAAAAAAGGACACAAAAAAGAAAGCACACAACCAAAGAAAACGCAAGAGCTGCAATCTGAATTACAGGCCGCATGACACCCTCGACTTTGTGGGCAAAGAAGAGACTTGTCTTTGATTGACTGACAGTTCCCTCCAAAACCAGTCAGCTGGTGCTAAAATTTTTGGCTTTCATAAGAAACAACATACATTTTTTTATCGTTGTGAGATAACTAGAAAAGTATGAGGAATTTATGTCCGAATTTTCTGCGAAGCGGACCAGTGACAAGTCTCACTTTTTTTCATCACATGTGAGAAAAGTGATTGCGCTAGGGATTGATTGTAAGGAGTGATGGCAAATATAAAGAGGCTTCCTACTCATCATTCTCTTCAGAAAATATCCAAAAATTGATTTTTGAGGTTTCCTATGTATTAATTTTTCTAAGTTTTCGGGTTGTTTCCTTGCTAGAAAGAAAAAAAAAAAAAAAAAAAAAAAAAAAAAAAAAAAAAACCCACCTTATTTCCAACAAGAGCTAAAGTTTTTAGGACAAACAAAGCAGAAAATTATGAGGAGCTGTCTGCCCAGCAGAGACGATTAGCCTCATTGCCTTTAAAGAAGAGAAAGTCACACCGCCTGTAATTAGAGTTGCAGACCCTGTTTTCTCTCTGCACACGGCAGCAACTTAATGGGGGAAAATTTTCTTTGAAATCCATTCATAAACCTGAATAGATCTAGGGACTAGTTTTGACCTGAATTAAATCTTTGAAATATGCTTAGGGTTGATGAAAAGAGAATCACTTCCTGCATCTAAAAAGCCCAAAATGCTCGAGATCGAATGATTAGGGAGAGGAAAAGGAAGCTCAAACGTAAAAAAGTCTCTTCAAAGATATATCACAGTGAGATAATCTGCTAAAGCCGAATGTATTCTTTAGATTTTGAGACCAAGTTTTTCTCTCTGGGACAAACCATTAAAGAGATGTGTTCTTCGTCAATTCAAATTTTCTCCAACTCTCTTTGCCTTAATAATGAGCTTTAAAACATTTGGGGAGTTTTGGACTCAGGAGATAGTTCTCTATTATCAACCCTCAGCATATTTTGAAGAACAGGCTCAAATTAGAAGTGCTCAATTTTGGCAAATTTCCTTTACGGATGAACATTCCTGAGGAGGTAAACTAAAGTCCTGATGATTTACAAATTGGAATAACAGTGAATTACTAAGCTTAAATTTTGCTCCTGGAGGATAAAAGTAATAGAGAAGAGATTAATCTGTGTTAAGAGAAATTAAATTAATGGAATAATTATCTATCTTTCCTGGAAAATATTTCCTTATATAAAATGAGTAAAGCTCTTTTTTGAATGATGGTGTGCACATCTATTTCTCTACTAAAATAAATAAAGTAATTTCAACTGAAAATTTATACTAAAGGCTGAAAGAAAGATTGTGCTTAGTATGCATTGAAAAGTTAGATGTGGAGGGAACATGACATTAAATATTAAAAAAGAACTTTTGATAAATAAAGAGCTCATGAGTTGAAAACGAGCTTTTATCAACAAGAGCCGGTGATTGCTTGAACTAGCTATGATTTGAATCGGTGCATTATAAATTAAATAGAGAACAGAGAGGGGGAAGAGGGAGAGGCAAATTTGTCAAGTGATTTGTATGATTTGAGTGAGATATCTACAGGTGGATGTATCCATGGGCAATTTTTCTCATTGAAATTTTTCCCTAGTACTTAGTTGTTCTATCTGCAAAAATGAGTTTTTGAAAGAAGCAACCGAAGACAAGAGGAAAACGAAGACCACATGAAATGGAGAAACTGTCGGGTGCAAAATGAAATTCTACACCAAAAACTAAAAGACTGGAGAGTGAAATTTGGATAAGATTTGAATGACGTACCTGATCTTCGTTCAAATAATTTGGTAATCCACCGATGAATATTTTGTGAGGAGAATCAGGAACAACAGTGCTAATCACCCCTGCCACTGAAATTCATAAAAAGCAAAGAAGGGAAATCAGAGACGAGAGGCCAATTATAATTTTTTTTTCAATTTTGAGGCTTTTTACTAGCTAATATATTGACAAAAAATAAACTTAGAACAAAAATAATTCAAGATGAGATTAAAGACAGTTGGCAAAGATATTACAGTATGACTTCATTGAAATTACTTACTGCAAACCGGCTTAATTTGTCAATACTTGTTTTTAAGGCTCCAAAATCTACCCTGCAATGTAATTCCCCCTCAACAGATCAAGAGGGCAAATGTAGGTAGTTTAGTTAGCTTCACTCTAAATGACTGTTTCAAAATATTGCAGGAGTCTGTCATTCTAGTCATCAAGGCTTCACCTTAATTGATAAGTACAACAAGCGATCCCTTGATCACAACAGCTTTAACTCCCTTTAAAAAACCTTGCTGCGTACCTAAATCACGAATCTTCGAGCATTATTCAGCCATTTCTACAAAAACTGCCTCATTCAACCAACTATAATCTAATAATTCAAAATGATTTGATGCAGCATTTGTTACTCAACTTCCTTACATCGATTTAGGGTGTGAAACATGGTGAGTTCCCTGCATGTTAGAAACATTTATTTTTTCTTCTTTTTACTTGGGAAATCAATTGGGGGAATTCAATAAAATATGACAATTTTCTAGGACACGAGAAAAAAAAGCTGTCACTAAAGTCTATGATAGTTTTTTTTGGATACAAATTTTCTTGGAATTGGCACACAGTAAGTCCTGGATATAGCCCTGGCTGTGCTCAAAAAAAGAGGTGTGGCTTTCTTTGCGATACCGGACAGCCGGATAGAAAAGGATCGATTATTAGGGTGTTTCAACCGACACTTTAATAATCAATTCTTTATCATAGCTTAAAATGGAAAAATATCAAAAGTCGCTGATCCACAATTCCCCATTGCTCAGAAATTGTGAAGAACTCCACAAAAAGGATTTAAAGGATTAGCCCTTGTGGGCTATTTGAAGAAGCCAAAAAAAAAAAAAAAAAAAAAAAAAATCATGCAAGAGACAAATTTTTTGCAAAATGTGGAAGATTTTTCATGTCATAAATAATCAAATTTGCTTTTTACCTGGTGCGAATGTTGAAGGTGGCAGCAATGAATCATACCCTGAAAATTTCAAATAAAATTTCTCATTAAATTTAGAACTGTCATACAATTTACTTTGTGCCTTTTTAAAACTTCACCTGAAGTACAGAGAAAATTAAACATATTTTGATCAGAGATTTGGACACGTAATCGAGTTAATTTTTCTTTGGCCGAGGGTCTTCAGATATCATGATTATACTCTAGAGTCTAGAGTTATCTCTTTGTTTACTCTAGAGTAGTATTTCAGACTCAGGTCATAGCCAGAGATGTTAATTATCTTAGAGGATGGAGTCTGTGCAAAGATGGTAAGTGAAATATCACATTTAGAAATTTCAGGGGTCCTAATAAATAACACAAAAGGTTGAATAAGTTGATATTTTTCAATATTAATACTATTAAACCTCAATTATCCTGCTTCTAAAGACAGCTTGTTGCGTAGATAGGTAAATTTTACTGTTTTATACTTGATAAGAAGAATTCATTTCTCCCGCTTATCATAAAATTACTGCATGTGATAAAGTTCAAATCGAATCCAGGAAATTGGGTATTAGCTGTCACAACATGGCATCAAGCTGCATCAGACAGACTCAGTTATCTCGGAGAGGCGCAGGCTGTGCGGTTGCCGCACAGAACTCAACATTTACGCAAAAACCGCTTGTATCAGAAACCCCATTATAACGTAACATTTAACCGATTCTGGTGTATTCCGTTACACGCAGTTTCTACTGTATATTACAAGACAATATTAAAAATAGAAACAGAGATTAAAAAAAAAGAAGCAAAAAGTTCATTCCGACAATGTGGAGAAGGGACTTGCAAAGGAGACTGAAAAATTTTAAGTTAGGTATGATGGCAGTTAGATAATAAATTGATACAGCTGGTATTTGGTAAAATCAACAGTTCTTCAGACTTACCAGAGAGGGCATTCGATCCACTGTCACTCATTCCTGGCGTGGGCTGGTAATCATGAGGCCTACGTATTTTTAAACTTTGTCCTTTAAAGTTGATACCATCAAATGCCATGGCTTGCGTTGTTTCATCGATGGATCGGAACTGGAAACATTTATTTGAATTGAAGCGAGTATATGTATGTGAAAAACCATGAGCAATTTTATGTTAATGTTTCATACTGATGTTCTGAGAATTCTCATTTCAGTTTTGAAAATATTTGGAAGAGTCTAACAATAATTATGATTTATGAATAATCGAAGCGACTGGCAACAAAACAGATCAAATGTATAATCAAAACTTCCAATTAGTAGCATTGAGGCATTAAGAAAAGAAAACAATCATAGAGTTTTTAAATAACAAATCACCATAGACCTATCAAAACTAGACACAACAAACCGATATTTGAGGACGGTTGTACCTGGTGCTTCCCTAAAGAGGAAAGTATGTGGGCAGAAAATCATTACTATAGGCTGTCTGACCTCTTAAATTTTCTTTTGTCCACTGGGCTAATTTCTATGAGTTTGGTGGCAATAGATAGGCAATAATCCCCAGGTGAGCTGGCTGTATTTAAATTTTAAAAATATGACCTAGGTTTTTATATAATACAAGATGAAGTTGTGAATTCTCCCTTCAATAATGTGCCCTCTGGTATTCATTTATCCACTAACATAATTACTAGATGATTTCACCTAGCTAGTGTTGGCAAGCCAGCCCCCCATGCTTGAATCTACTCAAAATGAGAAAGTTAAGTAAGCTTATAAGTAATTTAGAGGCACCTTAAGATACGGACGTTGATGAGCTATAGAACGGAAAGAGAGTTATGTGGTAGTAGGTATGTACTTACCTCTAGAAAAGCAAAATTCTTATCTAGATTAATCTGACAAGCTAATACAGGGTTGCCTGCTGCTTGCGCAAGGCCAGACAAGTGCATCTGCTGATTGAAAAATTCCATCATTTCATCCTGCAAACAAATAAAATAAGTATAGGTAAGGTTGTAATAAAATATAATTTTTTATTGGCTGTACTTAACTTTTTGACGTTAAACTAACACACTGCCCTGACTTTTCCTTCTCTCTCTCTCTTTTTCACGCTGGTCCATGGGGACCGGTTTACGTAGGTCATAGTTCGGTAGCTTCCAGAGCACTGCTAGCGCTATCTGTTGGCTTGCTGTAACCCTGAAGGTTGGATCCTTAAGCAAATTTTATTTGGAGGCTCAGTACTACTTTTGCGCCTGATTTTGGTACCACCTTGCAAGGTGGCTCATAAAAAGGTTCGACCAATCGAAAACCAACGGATCTGATTGGTTGAATCTGGTCACAATGATGTCCACTGGTGTTGGTGATTGTGAGGCAAATCAGGACAGAACTACCCAAAGAGGTTTGGAACTTTAAATAAAATTCGCTTTATCGATGTCTTACATGGAGAATAACTGTTGTCCTGCTATGATTTTTACAAATCTTGCCAGTTTTTCGTAGGTTTTAACTTACCACTTCTGTCATTTTTTTCTGTGACCTCATAGGACCCGTCGGTCACTGCTGCTAGTGTCTATAGGTTGGCATTTGGCATGACAGTTGAGATATAGGTATTTCTTAAACTTGACTAAGGCTTGTTTATTGTCTCTCATTCGAGCTTGAACTTGACCTTCAAGTCGAGCTTAAATATCAAGTGCTCGCACAGCACTAATTCCTCTACTGTTCTGTGTTCTTACATGGGATCTTCCATTTTATGGGACCTGGCTAGTTGCATGATTGGGAAGTTTCTGCACTCCTGTATTTTTGGGAATCTAAAGATTTGACAGGACTCGTAATGGCAGGAAGGGCCACCTTTAAGGGAATAACCTACGACCAATTTAAAAGATACCAAGTGGATAAATGCTTCTTCCCATATGCGATCATAAAAAGTACATTAGCCTAAATGGAGGAAACAGGAAAAGAGAACCATACCTCTGTGACTCCGAACGGAATATTCCCGACATACAAACGTCTGGCTTGTCTTGTAATAGTGGAGCCTACAACAGGAACAGCAGCAGCGGGGGTGTCAGCCACAACATTTGCAGGTATTTGGCCGGCCGCTGAAAAATAAAAAAATATTTGAAGTAGTAAAAAAATGCTTACTTGTGCTTCTTGAATTCCAGAATGCAACTTAAGAAGAACACATTATCTTCAATCCTTCTCATTTAGCCTCTAGGCTATTTGATTCCATACAGTATAACTGTAGGTACCTCAAGCAGATAGATAACAAAAAAAGAAAAAAAACTACACCTAGCTACTCTTTGCATACAGCTTCGAAAAAGTGATGGCCCATTGGCAACATGTCAAAGTACTCTTTACATTTCTTTTGCATGGTAAATTTTGTAAATCTGTACAGTAAATGGCAAAACTGTGGATAGAAAAGATTCAGACAAAAGTCACATCTGAAAATGATATCATTCAACAATGTGCTAACCAATGGGCCAACTGATATTTGATGCACACAGGTTGATGCGAGTTTTGTCTAATCTTTTCTTACCCCAGTTGTACAACCTATCATGCACTGACATTAGAGGTCATTTTTTGGTTTGAATGCTAATTTTTTTCTTGGATTTCCGTCAAGAATAGTGTGGATTCAGCACTTTTATGACATCCGGTTACTCACAATACTACCTCACATTTTTATTTTTTTTTTTTATTTTTTCTTCATCATTTTTCTATACTTAAGTACCTAATAAAAAATGCTGTACCTTCAAAGTATATATACCTAACAGTGGCGTGGCGTAAATAATTGATTATCAATATTTTTCCATTTGACGCTATTATAAAGAAACGATTATTGAGGTGTTCGCTGCGAACACCCTGTTTATCGATCCTTTCCCATAGGTTTAAATTGCAGATTAATCTATAAATCGCAAAGCACGCCACGCATACCCATTAGCAGTAAGTAATTGATGTAAATCATCGTTAGAAGTGTTACAAAGGTTGACATTTTACTTAATTTCTCTCTCTTATTGTTACGCTTACGATGCAATACCTTTTTCAATTAATTTTCCATGGTCAAACCATAAAAATGACAATTCTCTGATAGTTTATACTCTAACTCTCTATGATTCAATCTTCATCGTGACATAAGTTAAGTCACGGTGAAGATTGACATGTCAGGTGTTGACAGGTTATGTCACACAACATGCACAGGTAAAGATAATGATTTACTAGTAAAAATGTTTCAGGTAATTTAAACAGCTTATCATGAGTTACTGCCAGCTCTGGATTGAAAACTCACTAACCTTGCATGGCTTTGTACTGTAGAGGTGTGATGTGCTCGAATCCTGGTGGAGGGACATCCCAGTAAAGGGAAGGCTTCCTTCTCCGAGATTTGCCATCTTTACCTGTCTTCCTTTCTTTTGACCTACTCCTGTCTTTTTTCCTATCTCTCGAGCGAGATCGTCTGTCGCGGCTCCGGGAGCGCCTTTTCCTGTCACGGTCTCTATCGCGAGATCTTGATCTGCGTCTGCGATCTCTGTCACGTTCTTTATCTCGGTCACGATCTGAAACAATAATCAAATGATTAGGCATGACTAGATTGCTTAAAATATCTTTAATTACATCAATCAGTCAAAACTAATGACTGCAGTGTCACACTCGAACGGTCTTTGGGTTCACACCTTCACTCAAATTTGACATTTGTCAGCTCATTTAGAACGAAAACTGTTTCAACTTTGCTTCATCTTTTTACTATTGAAGTAATGGTAATTTGATATTACTAGCTGTCAACTACAGATTCGATTTTTCCATTCAATCACCGAAGGTGACATCTACATAGATTGTGATTTCCTAGATCTGGTTGCATAACGGTAATTCAACACTAAAATTCAAATCTGGTTGCGCCTAAAGATACCAAAATTGATGGAATCTGCGCTGCCTACGCTCTAAATTCCTTAAGTGTCCAACTGAATCGTCATAAGAAGGGACACTTAATACTTGCCCTAGCTAAAAGCTGCATTGTTGAAGTACTGTTTGGGACAACTTACAAACGGAAGGCATTGTTGGACTCCGTTTGAATTACCCGACGACTTGTGTTTACATATGATTGCCCAACGTTTCTAAAACACGCTCAACAATCAAGAGAGGTTGATGGCGACCATTGGGTTGCGTTGTCAAACAGAGGAACCAAACGAAATTGGATGAATTTACTTTAAGAATGCAGCTTAAGTAAAGGGTTAACTGATCGGGAAAAGATCTTATTCCCAGGCTGAAATAAACTTCACTCGGTGCCTCCTAGACTGACAATAGAGATGTTCCTTGGGATCAATAGGTGGGGTAGATGATGTTACAGCAGATTAAGATAAAAGAGGTCAACAAAATTAATTAGTCCGTAAAAGGTGATGAGACCTTGTATAATTTGACGGGTAAAAAAATTAGAGATTTCGGGAAAAATCAATGAAGCCGAGCCGGTGGGGGCGTTAATGTAGGAGAAATAACGAATCTGCAGCAGAGGAAAACGAGGGTGGCGGGGATAATTTGACAATTTCACTGACCTTTATCATCTCTTTCGCCCATAATTAGTGACCGATGGTAGAGGAAAAATTTGAAATCCTCACTAGAAACTCACGCGTTTTCAGATACTTCGCAAAAATGGCTGACAGGAAACTAATGGAGATGCCAAGATGCACATTATAGAGGTTATAATAGTGACGTAGATATGTATACAGACCTGTTAGCCAATGAGAGTAAAGCTACAGAGAGGCGCAGATGCAGATACGCAGTCAAATTTCTAATTTTCAAGTGTCAATAATCGGCAACCTTGCATTGCTTTTCCTCCTTCATCCCCTCTCTCTATCCGGATAATTGTTGTCAATTGTTATTCGTCAATCCGTCGTCTTTTCTAATCACTTCGTGGACCATTTCGTGTTATCAAGTTTCCGGGAAATCGTTAGACGATGATATCTGATTTGGAATTTGAAATCCTAATACTTACCTGAAAGAAAAAGTAATTATCCTGTCCATACATAGGTGCATCTGTTATCATACCTAATCATCAGTCATTGAATTCGAAATTAGTGTTCAGACTTGCAAGGTTACATGGGTGTTTCCATCCTTCTTCACACTTGAATCTTCGTCGCACATTTTTATCTGATAGCTCTAATATCTGTAATGATCAAGTTTTACTTATTAAATGAGTGGTAACCACTGTTTGAACTGAATTACAAATGTTGCTGGTCACCCGAAAGATTGCTGCAACAACTTTAGAGGTTAGCCAATCAATTTAAACATATTTATGAACTTTTTTGATTCTACAATTCGCGTCATACTAATCATTTTTGCCTTCTCAGTCTAATCAATTTGTCGCGCTATTCTAATCATAATTTTGCAACTATCGCTCAACCATAACCTGCCCTGACTAATGTGGGCTCAAGTGATGACACTGGCAGAGCAGTTCCGTTTCTCAGAAATGAAGTGAATTTCACTCCCATGGGAAGAAACAAACCTTCTATGGTTTGTTTTCATTACTCTGTTAACCCATTCTGGTCCAATCATAACAACATACGGAGTTACTCAACATTTCAGAAACTGTTGCAACGCACGTTTGTTCATTAACCGTACTTACTCTGGATATGTCTGACTCGATAAATCAGCTATCTTTTTCTTAAGACTGAAGTAATATCATTCCTGGAACTGAATAGTAATTTATCAGAATATTGGCTCTCTCTGAAGGACTCCATCTGGATACGGTTACTCAAATATTAACATTTGTGCACATACCGTGACAACCAGTAGGTTTCTAACTGTGAATGGATATTTTCCTTGTCCTTGGCACTCTTCTGAGCCTTCTCCTATCATCAGTCTAAATACATTTATTACAGTTTCTAATTTAGCAGCTACTATTGCTCCAGAAAGAAAATAGTCATTTCCATGCCCAAATCTGTGGCTGAAGAAATTAGAGGCAGTTGCTTTTACAGTGAGCACGCTATACTTATGCTGTGTTATCAAAGTTAAGAAAATTTAACGGATCAAAGATTAGTAAAGGAATGGTGTATCTGATGTAGCACGGATCTAAGATTAGTTAAAACTCGATATCTAAGCAGACTTCTATAATGGTGGGTCTACTTAGATGAGAACTCATTGTCTGTAGAGTCCACGACAAATGAGTTTACGCACTTCTAGAACATTTATTTTATTTATTTACTTATACACGGATGATAACCAAATAATAGAACACCACAGAAGATACGTCATCTTGATTCTTGCTTACTTTATTTGTTAAAGTGATGTCAGATGATCTTCTGTTGCAGTCTAAAAGTGCGCTAACTTGTTTGGCGTAGGCTCTATCAACATGCAACTTACCCTTTTTTAGTTATACCCTTCAAGTGTTCCAATTTTAGGAGCCATCTTGGCTTGCAAGCATGATTTCTAGAGCCATCTATAATTTTTTAAGGGGCAAAAAGTACTTTTTGCATGTATAACCTTTCATGTCACGTGAAACTTTGCGAGGGCTGCAAACCAATTTTTGAAATGTGTAATGCGATTGCTGCCTCGAAAATTCCAATAAGGTGAGGTTGGGTAACTGGGCGGTGGGGTAACTGGGCAGTACCCTCTGTATTTCTACCAGATTAGTGCAAAAATTGTTTTCACTGTTGGCATGCCTTCATTATGACGTAAACCATCTAGAACATGTAAACATAACTTCAAAAAAAAAATTTATGGTGAATGGTGAAGTGCCGAAAATTGTACAGCTTTTTTTTCAAAACAACGCCAGAGGTGGTCCCGAAAAGAGCCTCATATCTCACTCCCAGCAAGTATTTTATTCAACTTTGACAATTCTTCTTCATGTATGATGTATTTGTGTAATGCGTGAGTAATTACAACGTAATTGGATGAAAATACTGGCTGCAAAGGGTTGATGCCCAGTTACCTTGAAAATTTTCCCTTTGTGGGGTAACTGGGCACCCACCCCAAGGTAACTGGGCAGGTGGCAGTGGTGGCACCTGCCCAGTTACCCATTGCAAGGTTGCTGTGCTTCGGTGTTTGTTTACTTCTGAAAATTTCAAAACTAATTGACTATTGTGGACTTTTAAGTGCCAAAGACCAATAATCAGGGTTCCCAGCACACTAAACTTCTAACTTAAGTCAATTATAGCATAACTTAAGCATTACTTAATTACATTTTTGCCGCTAACTGTTACGACATCACTTTTAACGACTTGAACATGGTTATATAAATTCAAATGAAATTCTCTGAAACCCTCATGAGAAGGACATTCTTTTCTGGCCAATGAGAATTACAAATAATGCCCCCCTTAAAAATTAAGGGAACTTTTTGGCGCCTGACTCTATCCCAGATCAGCCTTGCGGCTTAATTTTTTTTCATTTTTTAAAAATGTATCATGCTTAATCTCACTAAAAGTGGCCAAACAGTGTCCTGGTATACAATACTACTTTATAAGTAGTAATAAAGAAAGTTCTAAGCATTTATCTACAAGGAAACAATTTTTTTTTACCGTTATTCAATTCTCAGATTTGAGAGTTTTTTTGCCGCTAACTGTCACGACATCATTCTTAACCACTTAAACATGTTTATATACATTCAAATGACATTTTCTTAAACCTTCATGAGCAGGACATCACCTTCTGGCCAATGAGAATTAAAAATAATGCCCCCCTCAAAAATTAAGGGGGGGTAGTCCAGTTACCCCATGAAAGATGAAATTCGACTTTTGACTCTTCCTACATTTAGACAAGGTGTTGTACTTACTAAAAAAAATTTAAAAGTAGCCTCCACTGTCAATATAATGATGGGAAAAAAATCATGAAGTTGAAATTTTGACATTTTTCTCCGAACTCCTGCCCAGTTACCCAACCTCACCTTATTCAAAATGTGTGTTGTATTAGCTTAAAAAAGTGATAATGTAAAAATAAACCAAAAACTTTATCACCATCTGTTTGATACGAGGTAGGAACATGTAGGTACCCCATATCCCTTTACAAGAGAAAATTTGTTTGTTTGTTTCAGAAATCACGAAGTAAAACCTGAACAAGAAAATGTATACCCAAGATCTCATCCCTGTGCAATGTTTGAGGTTTCCATAAAGCATTTGAAACCAAGTTGTAGTCAAAATACTACCACAGCAGCCAGAAACTAGAATCTTATTGCAATCAACTTTTCATCTATGAAATGAGCAATAAGTACCAACACTATATTGCACGAAAAAGTAAAAGTAACAATATTAATTCCGAACCTGAAAACCATACCAACGCCAACCGAAGTCTGATAACACGAAATAAATGGGACGATGGGGACACCAACAAGAACCCACACTTAAAGAAGACGAACAACATTAATTCAGAAGTAACTTCACTACCTATTGTTAACAGTAGCACTGTATCAATTAAGTACAGGACTGGTCAAATTTCAAACATTTCTGAGCAGAAGCGGCGTAATTTGAAGGCATCATCCGTCAGTCCTGCCAGGAGTAACAGGTCAGAACTTTTTATTATTTATTTTCTATCTTATTTCCTTTACAAAATGTAATACCCAGAATTTTTGCAACTTGTAGTCTCATCTGATCGTGTTTTCGACATCAAAAAAGGTATATTTAAGCATTCTAATTATACTTAGTGTCAGCACTTGGACCTTAGGTCATTTGCACAAAAAAGCAAAAAGAGATTACAGCATAACTTTGATTAAAATGGTACTTTCATAACCAGCATCAATATGTATTTACTTCACATGATTTATGAAAAAAAATCATCCAGAAGAAATTGAGAAGTGAATGCCAAAAATGACCCAAATCCTTTTTAAAAGAGAAAAATTCCTCACTTTGTTTCAAAAATATTTAGTCTTTTGCATCATTCTAGTTCTATTAATCTGTCTCCCATACATTGAATACATTGTCAAAGTCCCAATCATTTGTTTTGCAATGTTTAGGCAAAGCTCTCCCAGGAAAGTGAATCAAGACGGAGACTTACTGAATAGGAAGTCACGATCAGTTCAACCTTCCAGTAAAACGGGGACAGGAAACTCTGGCCTCGGGCAATCCTCATCCTCTTCCAATCAAAGGGTGAATAACTCACTAACTGAGAAGCTAAATTTATTTTATTGTGTGGTATTTATTTTTAATGGTCATTTGGCGTACTAAGCCACATAGAATTTATTTTTAGGGCTTTAACCTTCTATGGTGTAGCGTTACAAATACACAACAACGTATTGTTTGTGTTTTAAAAATTTAATCTTCCTCTGGCATGATTTTGCAAATTTTCATTAATTTTTTCTCTTTTTGAATAAATTCCCTAAAATTTAAAGTTCTAAAAAAATTTGGTACTCAATGTTTTTATGCAAGCTACAATAGATTAGTGTCCTCCAGAATCTGAGATCCAAAATTAATTTTTGCCATAACATGAGTTAACCTGTGCCAATTGCAATCACTGTACTTACAAACACAAGGCTTCAAAGCTTTACAAAAATAATACAAGAGTTTTAGCGAGCCACATAATGAGCTAACATACTGAGCTACTAGGCAAGGTCTGAACAAAGAAAAAAGCCGTATGCTTTTTGTATAAAACCCTTGGTAGAAAACCATTCGCACACAAAGAAGTTTGGAAATCAACTCCTAAATGAGTCATCAACGAGTATTTTTAACACAAATCAAATCAGAGGTAGAATATTTAAATGCTGTCTTGCGTATTTTTCCTCATCACTTGGCTACGCTTCTCATTACCATGCATACTCCAAAGCGATATTCTAATTGCTTTCAGTATAATTTTTGGAACAGTATTAGTGTACTTGAAAATAAAAAATCATTTCCTATTGCTCAGGGGAAGCAGTGCTTCCCTATTATACATGCAGACATTGCCATTGAGCATTTTGTCGCTATTGAGTGGTCTGTATTTGAAGAGTATTCTCTAACTTTGCAAGATACCAACAGTACCTTTTAAATGGTTCTGCTTCAATATATTCAATGGTTTACAGCTTTCATGCACTGCTAATTCAGCATCAACCAATGGTGATGGACTGCGCCGAATTTCACGGTCATCCGTGCACCAACACTCACTTGACTCATCACCATCCCCAGTGCGCAGCAATTCTTCCAGAAATAGTCTCACCTCTACCAGTCATATTCCTCTATCAACAGCCAAGAAAGAATCATTACATGATGCCTCACTGGAAAGCACTCAACTTCACCACCTCCCTGGTGCTTCAATAAAGAAACGATCCCCTGTCCCTGTCAAAGGTATCTTTCTTGAATTTTGCTCAGTATATTATTACCTGAAAAATCTTTGAAAGACTGTACTTTACAGTTTTCTAGGTAATTCAAGCTTATTCTGCTTCTTGATATTCTGGTTTTAATCACCTTTGTGTGCTTCTATTTCTTTCTCTCCGCATATTTTACTTTTTCTCATCATTGCTAATTAGAAATCTTTAAATTAATCTAATGTTACAAATTTTGGAGAAAAACTATGCATTTTGATTAATTACAGGGTTATCACAGTCAGTGAATACTGGAAAATTTCAGGGATTGAGGGAAAAATTGTTAAGCCCACTTTATTTGTTTTCTAGAATGGGTTTGACGTTTCGAACAACAAATTCTGCTCGAATACTGTTTTAAATTATGTCTTTTAAACTGTTTGCATATCTTCAGTCATCAGGAAATTTTACCAAAATTTGTCCAGGTAATCAGGGAAATGTCAGGAAATTTCATTCTCTAAGTTCTGCAGCAACCCTAAAATCAAGCGAAATGAAAGGACATTTTTCTGATAGTATGGGTCAAATTTCAAGTACACAGTTTATTTTTTAAAGAGCAGATAAAATCATCCATGAATGTGCCATTATCAATGCAAAGACAGCCATATCTTTTTGAAACCCTGCTTAAAAGTGAACCTTCCGAAGAACTTCTGGGATGTTCCAATTGATTTTTATTTATTTCTCTGCTTATAGGTTTTAAAAAAGATCTACCTAGAAGAAAAGATTTCAAATCAAACAATGCTGTTGACAAAACTCAAGTTATGACAGAAACCAAGGAAAAAAGAGGCTCTACAGAGGGTAGGGATGTACCTGTAGAAACACCAGATGCCAAGAACCAGTCAGAGAATAATGACCCAGATGTAAGGGCTGATTTGAATCTGGGAGACAGTCAAGATGAGCCAGGAGTTTATCCTCTCTTACCAGCTACAGAAATCCCGCCGGAAATAAAGGAGTTCTGCCACGAGTTTAATAAAAATAATGCCTTGAACAACTTTGATTTTCGGGAAACATCGACCCCTGAAATCAAGCAGGTAATAGAGGAGGCTGGTGCGGTGATTCCTGAACCAGCATTCATCGATGATGATGAAAAAGCAATTGGTGTTTCACCGGATGGAAGGTAAATTTTTCTAGTTTCAAGCTCATTTATTGCTGTTCTTTTTTCTTCAAAAAGTTTAGAGGTAGACAATAAATCCTACCATTGATTTTGATTTTATCTGATAGGAAGAGTCTAAATGTGAGAGAAGAGAACAGATTTTCGAGACAAAAATTTAAAATTACCCTATGTCACAGGAACAGAATAAAAATATCCAGTAGTGACCTCCATGAGTCATGCTAATGGTAATCCAGATTTTGGGTGGATTTTTATCATTCTAATTTTGTCCATGAAGCTATGAGGCAAACTCTTTTAGAAGGAGGTTGAACGTTCAAAGTGATTTTATTCCATCCACACAATCATAGGACGACTCCAAATGAATGTATGAATGTCAAAAACTCAACAAAATCAATGGGCCACTAAACCTCGTTTATTTTATTGAATATTCTGAAAGTACCATGTGAGGAGATAACGTGGTAATTTTTCCACATTTTCATGGAGCCAAAATCGCGGAGAAACCCGCTTTTGAAAAATCTAAAAACTGCAAGACATTTCAAACGCATCCGAACGGCGGGAAACTGACACGGTTGATGTACTGCGGTAGTCATATTGCAATTTTCTCTCATTTTCCTCTGATGTATGTCAAAATAAAACGTATTTCAATGTGGAGTTGTTGTTTGTTTATTACAGCTAACATATGAATGAGATTCTAGTCTTGAATTCAAAAGATATAATTTCGACTTTAGTATTGATCTCATATATGAAGAGTAGATAGACATTTGACGGACGTCGTGGAAACCCGTGCCCGCCTCTGATTGGTGCCGGATGACATCATTCGATGCGGCGCGAAACCGGGGCGTTTTAAATTTGCGTTTAAGTTGAACGATTTGAACTGCGCATTTCTCGGTAATTGAGATACTTGTTCGCATTTTTAATGTTCGCATCGTGTTATACGCGTCATTTTCTTTCAATGCAGTGCACTTCAATGCTGTCTATCTTGTTATTTGGCAACAATGGATGTGTGACGCTGTTCATGGTTTTCAGAACTACTTCAGAACCGTATGGATAAACAACACTTAATTTTTTTTTGTAAGGTTTTACTTCAAGTTTAATTCTGATCGGATGGAATTTTCTTTTCACTTGTATGTCTGTATTTGCTTTTAGGTTTTTGAAGTTTGAAGAAGAAATTGGGAGAGGTAGTTTTAAAACTGTGTATCGAGGTTTGGATACTCAAACAGGTGTTGCTGTAGCTTGGTGTGAGTTACAGGTATGTGTTTTGTACTACTTATTTGTTATTTTTTAAATCTAGCAATGAAATAAAAACTAAGTCCTGAAATCGAAAAATAAAGAAATTGTGGAAACCCTGTAAGTGGCATTGTTGGTCTTTCTTCACCCACCCTGCTGTAGAGGTGTCAAAACAAATCCAGCAATCAGGAACCAAAAGCATTCCAGTTTCTCTGAGACTGTGCTACTTTTTTACGTTGCAAATATAAACTAATCATCTAAACAAGTTTTATCCTTACTCTCACTGAACTATAAATTTAAGACGAAAATTTCCTTTGCAGATTTAATTTTTTGCTTGATTTTATTAATTTTATTGCAAAGAATGTAAGTTGCATAATCCTAGAAACATTGGAATGCGCTTGGTTCCTTTTTGCAAAATGCAATCCAATTGATGCTCATCCTGGAGAGTGAAATAGTAACACTCATGAGATTGATGGACCGGCCAATGTCTCTGCTTAAAAGGTGTTTGTTTTATAGCGGGAGCAAAAAAGCTACGAACTAATAGGTAATAGGAACTAATACGAACTTTCATCGGTCTCTCGTAGAATTCTGGCCAGTCTAGGAAAAAATGCAACATTCTGCCAAAAAAATTATTTTGCGAAATATTATAACACTTTGTAACTGTGCCTGGATAAAAAGTAACAAATTGCCCTGTTTTTTCTGAAAGCCTGCACCAATCATTATTTTCTAATTTTGATGCTATTCTCAATTTTCAGGAGAAAAAACTAAATAAAACAGAAAGACTGAGATTTCGAGAGGAGGCTGAGATGTTGAAGGGTCTTCAACATCCAAACATCGTCAGGTTCTACGATTACTGGGAAGTAACTCAGACAAAAAGAAAATACATTGTGCTAGTGACTGAACTTATGACCTCAGGCACCCTGAAAACGTGAGTTAATTTTTTTTCATTTTGTCTCCGAGATTAAACCATTTTTACAGCGAGGCGTGATAATGAGTTGAGTTATTATTAGGCAAGAAAAATTATTCTATCAATTGAAGAGGAAAAAGCTGTGTTCAGATCTCTTCAGATAAGAAATAAATTTAAGCATTGTAATGTATGTTTTCTCATGAAAATTTCTTGTACACCACAATGTGTGCAACAAAAATGATCGAAAGTGACCTCTGACTAAGACATTAGTGTCTCTTGATGCATAAATTTAAACTTCCGGCTTGAAAAAAAAAATCAAAATCCATCAGAGTTAAATTGCACAATAAATGTAACCACAACAGTCCTCACTTTGGTAACTTTAATGTTGGCACTTTGGTTCAGCTTTTGCACATTGTTTACACTTTTAACGACACAGGACTGGAAATGTTCTTCAGTGGAAGTTACAGAAACTGCTTGCCAGATATTGTTCCAATTGAAATAAAGTTGAATTTTGAGGGACTTGGAGAGTAATTTTCTCATCTAAAATTTGATCAAATGAGAAATATGTGTCTTCCTATGTTTTCAGCCTTTTCAGGAATTGAATGTAAAAAAGAAAGGGTAATACGAAGTGCAACTACCCCATTAAACATAATTTTTGTGTCTTTAATCTCTCTTGCAGATATCTGAGACGTTTCAAGAAGATAAATCCCAAAGTATTAAAGTCTTGGTGCCGGCAAATCCTAAAGGGTCTCAGCTTCTTACATTCTCGCACTCCACCTATCATTCACAGGGATTTGAAATGTGATAATATTTTTATAACTGGTACTACGGGTAGTGTCAAGATAGGAGATCTTGGTCTTGCAACTCTAAAAAATCGCTCTTTTGCTAAGTCTGTGATAGGTAAGTCATGTTTTGATCAGATTATTTCCATTTACAGATTCCTTTTAAGTTAAATCCACCGTTATAATTTACCTTACTCTCCCCCTTCCTCTAATTAATATCTTTTACCCTCATTGAACAAAAAGGACTGAAGACGCAATTTTGGACCCAGCTAGAATAAAAATCACAGAAGGTCCCTGCTTGTTAGTCTTTTTGAAAGGAGTAATAGACCAGCAGGGAGTCAGAAAACGAACTATCTATGCAATGCATTTGGGGGTCATTTCATGAGAAGTCACGAGAACTGGAAAATCCATGTTTTCTTTTTCTCTCCAAAATCCAAAACCTTAAAGTATGCAACATTTAAAATAACAAGATTCACTTTTTTGGAGGTACCATTTTATGTACAGTAGAGCTACAAAAACATGTTTCTTGATTGCAATGGTGTAATATTCTCTCATTTCTTATTTATTTTATCATTGAATTCTCTCTCTCAAGAGAAAATGACTTTTTATTTTTGCGTATTTTTGGGAATCTATACTATAAGCTCCTAGACCTCCTAATTTTGCAAAACTGGTGACGCTTAGTTCCAGCGTTCTACCGGGCCGATTGTCATGATTTTTGCGGCTATCGACAGGCAATTGTCTCTAGATAAGCCAACTCTTTTCAGATTTTCAAAATATGGCCCAGGTTTTTTTATATTACGTGGTAAAGTTGCGAATTCTCCCATTTAAACAATGTAAATTTAGACTTTTTGTCATAGTTCGTTTGAGCGTGCTACCGGGCCGATTTCTATGATTTTTACGTAAATCGACAGGTAATAGGCCCTAGATGAGCCCGCTGTTATCAGATTTTGGAAAAAGGACCCAGTTTTTTTTAAAATCACGTTATAAAAGTGAGTGAGTTTACAGAATGCTCCGGGACTGCTACCGCTATGCGCGGGAGGATGCGCAGTGGTTGAGGAGGTTGCGCAGTAGCTGTGTAGCCTGCGCATCAGCTCTACACTTATCTACACAAGATTCGCCCCCATATCCTCATCAGGAGCGGTGGCTGAGTCGTCTAAGACGTCGAATGCGTCCTTTATGATCTCGGTGTGGGTTCGATCCCAGACCCCTGATTAATAACTGATCATCATGGATCGTTGTTTTACTGCAATATTTCATCAAGCAGTCATTCCAAAACGCGTCCTTTTGACTTCCAAAATGTTTTTTCTTTATTCATCAAAACCAAAAATTATTTCATTCTAAAAGTGAAGTATACCTCATATTGTAATTTTTTTGGGGAAAAATAAAACTATCACTGATGGTAGAGTAAAAATAGGGCCGCGAAGCGGCCCATTGATGGCGCGGAGCGCCCTCAGGGGGTTGGCCCGCGTAGCGGCCAGGGGGCGTAGCGGCCAGGGGGCGTNTTTTTCTGTCCTTAGAGTGAACACGATTTTGCTCTGTTTTAGCAAGTAGAATTTGTATGCATTATTTTTTATTGCAGGGACGCCAGAATTTATGGCCCCAGAAATGTATGAAGAGCATTACGATGAAAGTGTAGATGTATATGCATTTGGAATGTGCATGCTAGAAATGGCCACTTCAGAATATCCGTATACAGAATGTTCTGGACCAGCTCAAATTTATAAGAAAGTCGTTAGTGTAAGTAGCCCACCATTCAGTGTACACCTAGATAGTAAGCAGCGAAGAATCGAAGCATAATTTTGTTTGCCAGTTGCACCACTAGGCTCCTCACAGAGATAGATACTATTTTTTTTTTTTAGTGTCAATGGGAGGCTGAACCTCTGGCTGCTTTGCAGCCTCCCCATTCAGCAGTTGTGTAAATGTCATGAAAGTTTATTGTCAATTTTACAATCTTTAAATGTAATGAAGATTAAAGTCATTCACTGAAGGCCCCAACTCAAAATTAAAGTTCAATATTTATCAGCGAATGAAAGAGTGTGATTCCTCAAAGGGAATGGAAAAATTGTCATTGCCAAGCTGCGAATGCACTGATGGCTATCAGACTGTGCTTCAAGACATGTTGCATTGAGGCATAAACAACATAAATTGTGTAAAATCGAAATAATGAACTCAAACTCTCAAAGAACACGAAATTAAAAAGTTTTTTTTATTTTATTTTCGTTCTTATTGTGAGTTTGAGTATTTTATCTCACATCTGTACAATTAATGTTGTTCTTATCTCAGTTTTGATACTCGCAGTTTGTCACCTCGTTTTTTCAGTTTTTCTTTCTTGTTTTATCTTGTTAAATGTTGCATTAACCAATTAAACCGCTTCAATGCAAGGTTGCATAGAACTAAGAATCAGGGCACCTTGCTTTAGCATTTTATTAATAGGTCAATTTAACTTAACATTTTTAATCATGAAATCAGTATTATAATCCAATGTTGAAGTATCAATTACAAGGCTACAATAAAAACGTAGTAAAAGCGTAGGTACTGCACAAGATAATAAGAAAATATATACATGTATGATTAACAATTCACTTGCATTTTAGCCTAAGAAGCTGAATGTCTCTAATAAAATTAACTACAGTAGAAATTGCATATAACAGAACGCATCGGGATCGGCCGAATATTACGTTATAAGCAGGATTCTGGTACAAGCGGTTTTCGGGTAAATATTGAGTTTTATGCAGCAACAGCGCGGCCTGCGCCTCTCCCCGATCAATGGGTCCGTGTTCAAGCTGCCTAATGCGCATCGTGACAGCTAAATACCCGATTTCTTGGGATCTTTTGAATTTATCACAAGCAGTACTTAATTTTATGATAAGCGGAAGAAATAAATTTGTTCTTATCAAGTACAAAACAGTAAAGCTAATCCATGTAACAAGCTGTCATTTTTTTTAAAACTGACGTGAAATAATGTTAATAAATTTTGGGTGAATACTGCAACAATGGAAGGTTAAAATCTCTCAGGGGTCATCGGCATTGTTTACATCCTGTGCCTAGGAAGCAGGGCCGGCGTCTGCAATTTCACAAGTGACGTTAACACAATAGCCAATCAAACAACAATGCACCTGCTATGTCATCACATATCAACAGATGATTGATGCGCTGGCCCATTAACCATGCATTGCTGCCTCATAACATAACCTTTGACCTTCTGCTTATCTGATAAGATTGAAGTTTGCGATTAACTTGTGTTTTTTATTCTTTCCGAAACTCCGCACAGACATTTTTTGGGAAAATCTCGTTTTTATCGGAATTTTTCCACTCTGGGATCAAAATTCTTTCTGTTACAAGCGGGTCTCTGATATAAGCATTTCTGATGTACGCAGGATTATTTTACATTGTTTTTATGGGCGAAAAAACGGGACCGCGCGAAAATTACGATATAAGCGGAATTCTGTTATAAACGTGTGTCGTTATAAGTGGTTTCTACTGTACTTAACTATTAACTATTTAACCAATCATTTAAAAGAACTTTTCTGGGCTTTTTTTGAGCTGGTAGCCCTTCCACAATGATAAACGCGACTGAGTCGCGTTGGAATCACGTTTATCACTGGAGATGGGCATTGGGTAATGTTCTGGAAACCTCACAATATACCAATTCAGTCCTGTGAGTGCGAATTATCAATATACAAATTCGAGCATTTTGATCTTTTTGGTCAGGGAAAACCTGGTCCCCATTAGTTTCTTTTTTAATTATAACTTAATTTTTTTATATTTTGTGTTAATTTTGATGACTATTTATTCAGGGTGTGAAGCCTTTAAGTTACGAAAGGGTGGAAAACCCGGAAGTTCGTGATATTATAGAGCGATGCATCAGACTTCGGAGGGATGAAAGGTGAGTTTATGAAGTTTACTCGTTCAGCTTTTACATCTATATTATAAGCTCTGAGACCTCCTAAATGTGCATACCCGGTAACGCTTAGTTCCAGCGTGCTACCGGGCCGATTTTTGTGATTTCTGTGGCTACTGACAGGCAGTTGTCTGTACATGAGCCCTCTCTATTCAGATGTTGAAAATATAACCCAGGTTTATATATTACGTGGCACAGTTGCGAATTCTCCCATTTAAACATTGTAAAATTTTATTTTCTGTCTCAGTTTCTTTGAGCGTTCTTCTAGGTCGATTCCCAAGATTTTTGCGGTTGTCAACAGGCGATAGTTCTAGATAAGCCCGCTGTAATCAGAATTTGAAAATAGGACCCAGATTTTTTAAATAAGATTAAACCAGAGAGCTTAGAAAGGGGGGCAAAATTTTACTAAGCGGAAAATGTTGAATCTTGGTCTGTTAGTAAAGTAAGTGAATTGAAGGTATGCTCTTTTGCTACAGACTATCCAAAAGGGACGAAACGCTTCGTTCCGTTTTGTACCAGTCTTGGCGTGAAGTTTGAAATTAATGCAGATTATTTCATTCGATTCTTACTGGTCCAATAGCTCCCGGCCAGAGGGAAATTAGATAAATGAGAGTCGGGTATGAAAATCTTTGCATTTTTTTAGGTTGTTCTTTTGTCAACGCGGGCCTAAGAGAGCGCAAAGCGGCCTCTGGGGATTGAGCCTCGTAGCGGCCAGGGGGCATAGCCCCCTAGTACCTTATTAATCTTGACCAAGCATTCTGTAACAACCATTTATCCAAAATCACACAAGAGAAAAAAAAAAATTGATGAAATCCATCATGTACTTGTTGTAGTGTAAAGGATTTGCTTCTCTTCTGCAATATTTGCTGTCTGTCACACAGTCAGTCAAGAATAAAAGTGTATAGGAGACGAAATAGTTTAAAAAATGTCTAAATAGAACCACCTGCTTCTTACTCTCTTTCTCTTTTTTGCTCCCTGAGTTGTTTTGTTAATATTAGAATGTGTCACACTCCTCAGTCATTTCTGCAGATGACTACACAAGATTAGATGGTCGTTTGTATCCAGCTGAATGTTTGGACAATTTATGGGCAGTCAAGAAGCTGAAGCATATTTCCTAATGTAAGAAATCACCCAGGCTGTTTGAGTAGGATTGTGACAAAAGAAAACGTTTTGTCTAACTCTAATTTTACTGTAATATTTTTCTCTCTCAGTGTATATGATAGGATGACAGCACCTCTTTTTTTTGGCCTCCCTAATTATCGTTGGTGCAGGGTGGTTTTTACATTTTGGTCCTCAATTGCTTGGTTCTGCTGAAAATATCTGTTCATAACTGAGGAACAAATGAGTGAAACTTTTTGTAAAAGCACTAAAATTTGTTTCCTAGGGCTCTTGGCTATTTTACTTCAAGCGTAGACATGACAAAAAGTTTTTATCAGGGATCTTACATTTTACCTTACATCTGTACTAGCTCCTGATATTAAATTGGTTTATGTTCCAGACCGGGTGTCAAAGAACTGTTAAGTCTAGAATTTTTTGCAGAAGATATTGGTTTGAAAGTAGAGTTGGTTTCCCGGGATGAAGCTGTCAAATCAGATGCCACAAAAGTGGAGTTCCGCTTGCGTGTCATTGATCCTAAGAAGCGCAGCAATAAACACAAGGAAAATGAAGCAATCCAGTTTGAATTTGACATGGCCTCAGATAACGCAGACGAGGTCGCCGCTGAAATGGTAAGTAACACTTCTGGAAGAGCAAAAAAAATGAACATTGACTAGGTATTTTGGGTCAGTTCATGCTATTATTAGGGAATTTAAATGTTTTAAATGCAGGTTGCTTTTTAATAGAGTTTCTCTCCTTTTTGAAGTTCATCAAATTTGACTCATCGAATGGATACTTAGCTCAGAATGTCAAATGGTTCACCCAGTTCATTATTATTCAATTTAACCCTACTGCATCTAGAATTAGTATTTAAATATGCAAAAATAATTAATTTCGAATCTTCATAAGTAATCCTCAACTCATTTCCTGAGGTTAAAAATAAAAATTCTAAGCATTTATAATTGGTTCTTTGAGGAAGAATGAAGAAAATTCAATTACAATCCTTCTATATTCTTGATTTATTGTTTTGAAAATCAGAAAAGTAGCAAAATGAGCAAAAATCAGGAATATTTGAGGTTAGTATTACAAAAATACTGCGACTAAGCAATAAATTACTGCAAAACATGAGCTTAAAATTGGTTGTACTATGTATATAAATATTGACAAGGAATTAGTTTATAATAGAATCACTAATATATCATAAACATTGCCAAGTCAATTAATGGCTCAGAGTCATCACTTTTAGTCAGTGGGTTAACGAGTAGTCAGTGGACTGCAAGGACCAAGCATACTGGGACAGGGCTTTGTCTTACCTTGCAAAATCCACTCTCGCCTGTACAGACCTGAAGTGAATTCACTTGTTTTGTGGGATTTCGATGGATGCTGGTTTTAAATTTTACTTTCTCACTCTACCATTTTCATATTATTCCTTGTTTTCTAAACATTTTAAGCATTAAAATGTATTTAAAAATATGTAAACATATATAAGGGCTATCTCCCAAACAAGGAGCTTTGAATTATTTGTAGTTTTTTCTGTCAGCTGCCTTTTATGACTTAAACAACTAAGTAATAAAAGTTGTCTGTAACTCTTGTTTCTCAATGAATCAAGATGTTTTATCCAAAATGAACAAAGCAAGGAAATTAGTAGAGATGTGTTTTATTCATTTCTGTGTAAAGCGTATTTTCTTCAAAAAATTGAAATTGAATGTTTCTTTATTTAGGCAAAATCAGGACTGATCATGGAAGATGATGCACGCTCTGTTTCAAAGTTGCTGATTGCTCAGATTGGTGCGTTAAAACGAGAGAGAGAAGAAAAGAAAAATGCCGACTTAGCTTCCACAGTCAAAGAAGAAGCCCTGTGTATGTCTTAGTTATATATCTACTAGTATATGTATTTTTGCAAGAAATAAATTTAAATTTATGATCATGTATGTATCAAGACTGTAACGGAACTGCCATTTTTTTGCATTTGAAAAACTTTATAGGCTTTGTGCACCAGAAGTCAAAAAGTTTCTTGAAAACAAATGAATATGATTGGTATGGGGAAACACTTTTTTTTATTCTTAGGTCTTTAATTTTTCATTGTGCAATGCTTGTCAATGTACAGAAGATGCTAAAATTATCAATATTTAATTATGTCATCTTCATAAAACTTTTTAGGTATCGTACAATGGCAGTGGAAGTCCTAAAATTTGTTAACAGAAGGTTATCTTTCAGGCTAAGTTAAACTTTGCAAACTTGCTTATCTACATGGCGAAAGGCCCAGAACTTGGTTGTTATCACAATTAAGCCTCCTTTTTTATGTTTTTTCTGTGCACATGGACATCTAAGCAAGTTGCTGCAACTTATCTTTGTTTCTAATATTTTGTTCAGTGACAAATTTTTTCTAAAAATCGCTTAAATCTTATTTGAGCTCTTTTTTCCTCTTTTTCAGCCACTCATCAAGTAGAATCTCAAGTAACTGATCCACAATTGGTGAATGCTCTAGTGGTAGACTCAGCAATCCTGCAAGAAGTAAGTGCCCTCTGATACATGCTGTGCTAGGCTTAATAGTTATTAAGGTAGCAGTTTTTTTTATCAATTTCACCAGGATATTCATCAGTATTCAGAGGTCCGTAGAAATTTGGAGTTTTAATTTGGAGTAAATAATATTTATGATCAAGGCCTCACCAAAACTAATGATGAAAATATCTGTCAAATTCTTCTGTGAACAAGGCATGCTGCAATTTGTCTAAAGCTGTGTTCTACCCCCAAAAATTATTTCACGTCATCTCTTACGGCACTTTTTCTCAACAGAACTCATACATCCAGGCAGCTAGTTTTAATCTTTTAGTGGGCCAAAAATTACAGAAATAACTTTTGTATCTAAAATTCAATTTTTTTCACATGATGTTTCAAAAGTGAATTTTACTCAGGTGTATCATGAAATGCTGTTTTACTGATTCGTTTAAAATTGAACTTCAAATCTCTTGCTTTGTCTAATAATAGCAACAAATAGGAGTGCAGCAGCAGCAAGTTCAACAGCAACAACAACAGCAGCAGCAACAACAACAGCAGCAACAACAACAGCAGCAACAACAACAACAACAACAACAACAACAACAACAACAACAACAACAACAACAGCAGCAGCAGCTGCAGCAACAACAACAACACCAGCCTCAAAATCCACAACAACAGTATTACCCAGCAAATGTTTCTACCTCTAACGCTCCTGTAAATACCTTCTCTAACGCCGATGCCTCAATGCAGTCATACTCTCAAGTGAGTATGATATCTTTACAACAACTTTCAATTAACATCCATCTGAAGTAAGTTAAGTGAAATGGAAGTATGCTACAATACTGCGTGTATTCTGCAATTTGGCCCATCATAAATACTTCACTCTTTCATATCATTACAGCCTCAATCACCCTCGCCTCCTTCTACCCTTTTGATTTTTTCCCGTCTGAATCTATGGATTTTCCATTGCTCCGCTTTAACAGGATATGTTGAGGCACCCAGATGCTGGACTTATCTTAGACCACCAAACATCCATTTTTATCATTCCCTACTACATGTTTTTCTTATTTTTTTTCTAATAATTATAAGTTGGGTATCAATGAGCTCAAATAGAATGTTCAACTATTCCATCTTTTAAACATGGTTCGATATTGTATAAATTTTGAATTTTCTGTATTTTGGAAAATTTTATGTATATTTGTAAAATCACACTCTTATAGCTGCTATACTAAACAAAAATCCAACAAATTATAGTACTCAAATTTTAAGAAAGATTAGCATCCCTCTCTACCCAGTATTTACTGCCCTCTCCCTCTTCTCCTGTTAGAGTCAAGTTAGCAGCCCAGTGTATTGTTTAAGGGTGGCTTGGCAAGCCTGCCTGAGCACTTTGAATGAGCCAATGACCTGCATTTTAACCCGTGTACAATACTCCAAGCTAGTCATTGACTCAGCCACTTCTCGTTGTGTCAACTATGACAAAGATTTTACATTAAACAAGGAGTCAAGTTTTCCCACAGTGACTTTAAAGGTTTTGAAAAACATGTGTTTCTGAAATATGTTTTCTTCAGTTCACTGTGTAGAGAAAAGAAAAACTATCGAAAGTAAGAAAATAACCCTAAAATTTGTTTCTTTTTTTAGCCAGCAGAATCTCTCACCAGCAGTGTCCCTCTAATAAACATTATGCCAGGCTTTACGAATGTCGAGAACCCTAATTTGGTTTCCTACCAAAATTACTCTCAACAGCAACAACACACCCAACAGCCAATTCAAGTGCAGCAAGTACCCTGTGAAATATCAGACAAGGACTTAGTTGTGCAGAATCAGAACCCAACTCAAAACCAACAATATGTTAGTATCATAAATGTATCTAAGTGCATGCTTGCTTGAATCCTTCTAAACAGTAATCAATCTCAAACTTTCTACATAATTTTCATTCAACTATTGGGAGAATATATCAGCTAGTGGTGGGTATAATTGAAAAAACCAAGTTAATTGATAATTTAGTAGAGAAAAGTCAATCAAAATGTTCAGTATATTCCATAAAAATCTGGAGGTGAAAGTAGTCCTAAAAAAGTAGAGTTTTAAATAACCCTCTGGATTTTTTTTTCTTCTTTTTACTAGGTTTAGGCTTGATTGTGTTAAATGAGGGTCCTTTTTTATGTGCTCTATTATTCTGGAAATGTCTAGAAGTAATGAATATGATCACTTCAAAGTTGTCAGTGATCTGGAAGAGCTCAGTGGTATATGTCAAATTTAGGCACTAAACATGCTGCTTTTGTGGCCGTTAATTTTGCNGTTATGAGTGCATTTCAGACTTTGCCGATGCGCTCATCGTGATTTTTGAGGCATTATCTACAAGAAACAACTCTTATTTTTGCTCTAGCAAAAGTTTGCAACAGGCCCATTTAGTAGAAAAAAGTCAATCAAAATGTTCAGTATATTCCGTAAAAATCTGGAGGTGAAAGTAGTCTTAAAAAAGTAGAATTTTAAATAACCCTCTGGATTTTTTTCCTCTTTTTACTAGGTTTAGGCTTGATTGTGTTAAATGAGAGTCCTCTTTTATGTGCTCTATTATTCTGGAAATGTCTAGAAGTAATGAACATGATCACTTCAAAGTTGTCAGTGATCTGGAAGAGCTCAGTGGTATATGTCAAATTTAGGCACTAAACATGCTGCTTTTGTGGCCGTTAATTTTGCTCTGATCGCAATTGTAATAGTTCTTTATTTAGCCGCTAATAATTCTCTTCTCGTTGATGACAATTTGTTACAAAAAGTGCTTGCAAGCAAAAATTTTGGAGAAAAGTTATCTTACCAGATATTGGTCCATGTGAGTCCGTAATAAAGCTTTCTAACATTGGATTTCATGTCCGCTATTGCATTGCCTAGTATTTAAGAAAACTGGAAAAGTGGGTCAATGTTATAATTTAAGGTAATGGTTTCACAAAATTTTCGTTGGTTAAACAAGTTAACATGACTAAACTTTCACTATTCTGATCAAAATGAGCACTGCAAACCGTTTTAAGCTCATGAGTAACAGTAGTTTTTGCTTTACAAAATGATTGTGGTACTGATTTAATGTTCAAACTTAAATGGGGTGCCTTTTGTCTAATACGTTCTCTATGTTCAGTTTCAGACACACACAGTTAATCAACAATTTTCTAATATTGACCAACAGCTAGCTGATAGGATGCCACAAACATCAGTTCCCCAGAGCCTGAGTCAAGAAGATTACCAGCGAAAAATATCGACAATATCAAATGTATCAAACTTGAGTACCCAGAGTGAAGAATATCACCGAAAAATCTCCACCATATCCAACATTTCCTCCCTTTCTATGGATTCCTCAATCACGTCTGATTCTAGTAATATGTTCCCTGGTTTGCAACAAGTGCATGTTCATGCCTCAGATAGTCCAGGGGAATTTGTTTCCTCGCAATATCAGCAAAATGTGGCACAGGCCTCTTTTCAACGACCAGGAGAGCAGCAATATCAGCAATCTGCCCCATTAGCTGACTATTCTCGATTGGATGAGCAACAATATCAACAATTGGTTCCTCAAACCACTTATTCGCAGCCAGATGAGCAGCAATATGTATCTAGTGTTCCACAAGCTACTTATTCTCGAGCAGATGAACAATTTCAGCAAAATATTACAGCAGCCTCTTTCAATCGGCCAGATGAACAGCAGTTTCAGCAAGCTGCCTTACAGACTACTTACCAAAAGTCAGATGACATCCAATACCAACAAACCATTCCAAAAGCTTCTTACTCCCAACCCGAAGACCAACAATATCAGCAAAGCATTCCACATATTCCATATTCTCGTCAAGAAGAAGGCTCTGTATCATATTTTTCAAATCAACCATCTGACGACTCTCGACAAAATTCTTTTGCTGCCAGTATTACAAGTTCCACCCCAATGCAGGTACAAAATCAGCCAGAACTTTACACCGCAAATTACATGAACCAAGGAAATGTCCAACCGATGTTGCCTCAGCAAGTGCAGCAGTTGCAACACCAGGAAAAACAGCAGATTCAACATAATCCGGAGCACCAGCAAGTTATACATCAACAGGAACATCAGCAAATTCAGTTGATGCAACAAGATTATCAACACATTCATCATCAAGAACTTCAACAGATGCCACAAATTCAGCAGTATGTAGAACATCAGCAGTTGCAGCATCAGCAAGATCATCAGCAGTTGTTGCAAATGCCACTTCACCAAGAACATCTACAACAAGTGCACCATCAAGGAGATCATCCACAAAAACAGCATCAGCAAGAACAACAACAGTTGCAACAGGTGCAAGAACACCATCAAATACAGCATCAGCAAGAACACCAACAGATGCAGCATCAGCAAGAACACCAACAGATGCAGCATCAGCAAGAACACCAACAGATGCAGCACCAGCAAGAACACCAACAGATGCAGCATCAGCAAGAACATCAACAGATGCAGCGTCAGCAAGAACACCAACAGATGCAGCATCAGCAAGAACACCAACAGATGCAACAGATGCAAAACCTGCAAGAACATCAGTCAACTCAACGTATTCAATTGAACCAAGAGCAACAACAAATGTGTCAGAGGCAGCAGCCGCAACAAGATTTGCATCAGATTCAGCAGGATTATCAACAAATACCGAAGAGCAACTATCAACCTGAGCATCAGCAGTTATACCATCAACAATCTGACTTACAAGCACTTCAAGTACAACAAGAGCATCAGCTGATGCCCCAAATTCATTCTGAGCATCAGCAAATACAACAAATTCACCAAGTTCCGCAAACTCAAAAACTTGAATATGAGCGAGCCTTGCAAGAACAAGCATACACCCAGCAAACTCATCACCAGCAGATGCTGCAAGGAAACTTTCAGCCACTCATGACTCATCAAGCCATGCCTGATTATGGACATCATACTCAACAAAATGTTCCTGATTCTAGATCTTATGTACAGCAAATCCCCCCAGACTCTAGCCAACTTGTGCAGCAAACTGTCTCCGACACTATCTCGGCCAGCCAACAGAATGCACCTGATGTAAGTCAATATTCTCATCACAATGCTCAACTTGACTCCAATGAAAATTTACCAAACACCATACAATACATGAAAACTGCTCAACCAATCCCTACAGATCCCAGCTTACCCCCTGGGATGAACAATCAGTCCTCCTCTCTGCAGTATCAGCAAAATGCTTTGAATTTCCAGGCAGGAAGTAATCAACAAGCAAGCATAAACCAACAGTATTATACTTCAGTTGCTAATCAAGGAAATCTAGAATATCATGTGACAACTGATGGAACTTTTTCGTCTGGTCAAGAGCTAATCCAACAGTCAGTAGATAATAGAAACCTAGGCTACAATCAGCTGTCTCCAGATGTAGGCCAAAATACTGAGCAGCCATCTCAATCTGTTTACACTATAACAGAAAAGCAGCATCCAATAACACCTACCTATTCGATGATGTCTGAAGAACAGCAACAGAAAATATCTTCGGTTCCAATGATGTCAGAGGAACAACAAAGGAAAATATCCTCTGTTTCCATGATATCATCAATCTCTTCTCTCTCTTCTGACAGTGGTGTTACTTGTGACTTGAGTGCTGCAAATCGTTTGCCGGTAGCACCTCAACTCGGAATGAACCAAAACAATCAGACACAGCCTCACATAGTTGGATTTATACCTGATGCTGCTGCACCCCCTGAGTCTATGGGTCAAGAAGCTATAAATCAGAATACGAATGCAATGGCGCCAAATGTTTTTCAATCCGAGATTGAGATGCAAGCTCTCACACAGCAGCTAAATCAGGCCAATCTTGGTACTAGGATGGACCAACCAAATATGTTGCAAAATCAATCATTTCCTCCACCTGTTATGCAAAATACTCAGTTTCAACAGGTTCAAAATTCTGTTGATGAGATGAACTCGCCTCATTTGCTCACAGATATTTCTACAAAAATTCCATCTACCCAGGGTCCTGATACAAACGCTGCGACTTTAAATCCTCAGTATGTCAGTTCAGTTGCAAAAACTGAAATTGGTGAAACTTCTGATGTACCCACCGAAAATTTATCGCAGTTTTCCTCTGTTACTGAAGAGAGTTTTAGCACCCCAAACATTATGAATTCGACGAACATTCAAATCCCTCATCCAGTCATTGCTACAGAAACTCCAATAGATCAGTACATCACTCCTCCTGTTGAAATTATGAGTGCCCATCTTCCAACCCTCCCAATTGAACCTCCTTATGTTCAATATTCAAATTCTCCAGCTGCTCCAGATAGTAGCCAGCATGTTGCTATCCCTGGAGGAACAGAGTGTAGGAAATATTCCGTAGAAACGTATGGCAGTCAACTAACCAAAATCCCTGCAGAAATTATGACTAGTAAACATTCTAATTCGGTTCCGTCCACTCCCACCCAGACTTTGGTCCATCAGTTTATGGTATCCGAGCATCAGCCTATTTCAGACTGTACTTGTTTGCCAGGGAACAACGAAAATCAGACTTTACAGAATCAGAGTGCTCTTATGGAATCAGGGCCTGCAACAGGCCTCAAATACAATGTGTCTAATGAAATTATGCCTGACCAAACTACTAACCTTGTATCAACACTCGGTGATGGCCTAGACATGCATGATTCTGGGGCTCAAAGTTTACCCAACAAATTGGGATTGCAAGGAAAAGTTACTGACCTAACTGAAACTGGTTCAGAAAATCAGGTATTTATTTTCATACAGTTTTTGTAGTGTTCTTTTACGTGTATTTGGTTGTTTGAGTTAGAGAAGTGTCTGTCTCATATTTAACTTTTTCCCTAGGTTCGTAGTAACAGTGGTTGGTTGCGGTTGCTTGGCTAACCAATCAGTTCGATTAACCCCTCAATTAATGTTTTTGATGTGTTACCCTGTTTTCTTCATTTCAGATCTAAAATATTTTTGAAAGAAACGGGGGATAAATATGACCGAAACCTTAAAAAATTACTAATGGTGTCTGAGTGAAAATTGCGAATGAATTATTTTGACAATCATAGAAAGAACTTTATAAGGAGAAAATGACTATAAAGTTAAAACTTGAAACTAATACTACAGTAATTTTTACTTTTTTAGTTATTTAATTATTTTTTTGTGCCATTATCTTTTTATTTGTGAAATGTTTTTGTTTCATTTTGCTCCTGCTGTCCATTGAATCTCTTCTCCAGTTTTTTCCTTTCTTTATTTCTCTCTATGCCTTGCTTGTCGCTAAAAATCACTTGCAGTTGTGTGATTGTTTTAAAAGCTGTGCTTTGCGCAGTTTTTTGTCTGGGTAGGAGGGGCTGACTTACACTAGATCTCAGGCATTCTTGAAATGTGACTATTACAACACTTTTCGATGGTAGAGACTCTTGGTATAAAAACTCGAAAGTTCATTCCATCATTTCATCTTAAATTTTATTTTTGAGATCATTCTCTAACAGTCATGTTTCTTGGAAAATTGGTTTTTTCTTTCTTTGTTTTTGAAAGATCCTCTCCAGAAATATTTAGACGGAATTTTTCCTCGGAGAGCTGATTAAAAAATAAATTTTAGGAAGAGTTACTGACTTCTCAGGATGATTTCAGTACTTCCAGTATAAAAAGTCTGTTGAAATTTCAGCATTAATTGCAGGGTTGACACTGATAGACATCGTGGAGGTATCAATGCAGTGTATGATGTAGGAATTTTACGTCATTTTCATCAATTATCTGAGATTGTCTGAGAATTTCATACTTGCATGACAACCTTTGATTTTGAAGTTGAAAACTTTGATGAAATATTTAGTAGAATGTACATTTTTCAAGATGCTTCTCGTACTCTCTCAATGAAAAAATCCATTACAGGTAATCAGTTCCCAAGTAATATTTTATAGCAATAAAAAGTGAAACATCTTTGTTTAAGGTTCAACTTTCCAAATGTTTTATTTATAAAATTATGTGAATAGTAGTTTACATCCTGTTAAAGGAGTCTTATTTGTTGATTAGGTGTTCAGCTATTATGTTCTAGTGAAACATTTTTACTAATCATATTTATTTTACATTCCACAGCTCATGGTAGAGAATCATACACCAGAAACTTCCACCAATGATAAGTAAGTAGCATCAAAAGCTTCTTAATTTTGTATATCATATATTGTACAAGGGGGCTACGCCCACTGACCGCGTTGCACTTAAACCTACCAAAGCACTTAGCGCCCCAGGCATTATGCATCAAGCATTACTCCTATGATTTTATATCATACAGTAAAATGGGTCAGTTATGCTGGTCACAGAATAGTGTTTTGATGCTTGATTCTTGTAGAATGGATAAAAATAATTAGATCTGTCTGAACCGCAACTTTCTATGTCAATATTATCCGAGATATTGGCCTTTGAAAAGTCGGGTTTTTGATGTCATCCACCGCTGTAGAGACACCCTTGGTTCTGCCACCTTGTTTTCATCAATCAGTGTGATTCTTATTTGTACTGGTTGTCTAAAGTGAAACTTGGATAGAAGCAAGGTGGAAGAAACCAAGGGTGTCACTACCACGATGGATTATGTCAAAAACTGGACTTTTCAAAAGGCGATATCTTTGTTAGTATGGGAACGTAGAAAGTTGCGGTTTGTACGGATCTTATTATCTTTAGCCAGTCTATAAGAATTAAGCATCAAAACATGATTCTGTGACAAGCGCAACTGACCCATTCAGCCTTATGGTTCATCTTAAAAAAAGCTCAACAGAAATAGCATAAGGTACCATTCACCGAAGCAAAATTTTAAGGAGAGGGATTTTTGTGGAAGTGGTATGAAAAATTTAATTTGAAGGTTTTAACATGAAACCCTTGTGTCTGAAAGATAAAGTTTTAAGCAGTCTAGTTTTTTTGTCCCAATATTAAGCATCAAGTTCCATCATAAACTGGCAGTGGCAGTCTCTAAACATGGTAGTTACGAATTTCAAACAGCTTCTCCTCTAAATAATTTTTTTCGAGCTGCATACTTTAAACCACCATAACTCTGCCTACATGTAACACTTCGCGACATTTTTGTCCTAAACTTTTCGTAGGCCACTCTTTTATGCTTGAGTGTCATTAACTCAACCTGGAGCCTTCGTAAGCAAAGTTCCTTTTTCTTGTGACTGATTTTGTACTGAGAATTATTTTGCAGTTGTCTGAGAGCTGAATCTTTTTCCAGTCCCGGGTACTTAATGGTTTAGTTGCACTGGCCACAAAATTGTGTCATAATGCTTGATTCTTGTAGGTTAGCTGAAAATAATAAGGTCTGTCGCAACAGCAACATTCTCCATTCAATGTTAACGGAGATATCGCGCTTTGAAACATTCGGTTTATGATGTCATCCACTGCGATAGTGACTCCCTTGATCTCTTCCACCTTGCTTCCATCCGAGTTTCACGTTTAGTAACCAGTAAAAATGTGTGTCTCCCTGACAAATGAAAGCAAGCTGGTAGTGATACACTTGTGTCACTGCTGACATACTTGTGTCACTGCTGACATCATCGAACAAATTTTTCAAAGCACGATATCTTGGTTTATATTAAACGTAGAGAGTTGCTAATTGGACAGATCTTATTTTTTTTAGCTGATCTCCTAAGAATCAAACATCAAAATCCAATTCTGTGCCCAGTGCAACTGACTCATTCATTTTTACCAGTATATCATAGCCAGTCAAAGACTTTGTTTTTTAGTCTCCACCCTCAAAAACTTATAATGTAATATTTTCTTCAGGAGCAGTAGTACTTTTTGGCTCATGTTTTCCTGTTTTCCTAGTTCTATTGAAAAGGCCGAGGCTGTTGCCTTAGACACTGGGAGTAAAGGCAAGAAAGGAGCACCTGCCAAACGTCGGAGTCGACCCTCGGGCCCAAAACTTGTGGTGCTCTCTGTGGAAAACCAAGAAGTCGAATGTCAGCTGGAGACAAGCAAACAGAAAACTGTGACTTTCAAGTTCAATATCGGAGACATGGTAGCTGCAGACATTGCTAATAATTTAGTAAGTTGATCAATTCACTATTTCTGCAAGAGTCAAAACAAGCTGACTTGGTTTTGTGCCATAAAGTTTCATAGAAGTGGTAAGACTCTAAAATTCATCGTCAAAGGGATCAACCATTTAAAAAGTCCGTCACCTATTCATATCAGTGATTTTAAAAATATCTTGCCTTGTGTATCTATTGAACTGTTGATGTCCTGTCAAAGGAGGCTAAATTTTGAGCTAAGTGTGAAATTTGTCTATTGAAGATGCAAACGAATTCTAAAAAAGTAACCTCTTCTCCGTGAATTCCTCCAAGTCAACATTCCATAGACTTGAACTCCGGTGCCTATTTTCTCGGTTTTACAATTATGTTCTGAATCGCCATTTTTTCCTCAAAATGTTCAGTTTACTATTTTTATAAAGTAGGATTTGTGTTCAATAAGAAGTTTTTCATGCTCAATTTTGATTGAAAAAAACATCTCGGAATCCAAATTCTAATTTGACATCTGTGTTCCAAAGAATATGATGGAACTTATTCAGAATCGGACGTATTTCTATCAAACAGAACTATGTTCATTATGACGTGAGCCCTGTTATGTATATTCTTATGGGTCTCAGGGCTCATGTCTTAATGCACATAGTTCCGTTTGACAGAAATACGTCCAATTTGTGAAAGAGGCTTCCTCCATCTTGTTCATTTGGGTAAGAGTAGGGATTCCTTCAAGAGAGTTCCCACATCCCAAGGATTTTTCTGATCCTGACAGATGTAAAACAAACTTGCTGCTCACACACATGTTTCCAATCAATAATGTTTCCATAAATTTTCAGGTGAGCGAGAAGTTGTTACCTCAGTCGCATGCAGAGCTGTTAGTTGAACTTCTGAAAGAATTGAAGCGGCAGTTAGAGGAACAGCCTGATCGTCTGCCAATTCTGGAGACAGCCTCGTCTAGTCCTGTTCGAAAACCCAAGGTAAGAGTGGTGAACTCCAAAATTTATGTTACATCTTCTTCTCAATGAAGTAGGCTCTTTATCGTTTGGAAAAAGAATGCATATAATTTTATTGTAACCTTAACTATCAAGCTTGCTCATGTAACAAACTCGGATTCCATGAAATTCCATGAAATTCATTCAAATACCAGTTTGGATGAGTAATGCCCTTGCTTGAAAAATAACAGAGCTTACAAAAGCATTGTTTCATGATGAGATTCCTTGTCAGCTTGTATTTGTCCTATAAAGGCTGTGACGAATATACTTGTCATTGTAAGGCCACGGGTTAGTACTCAGAAACTAATGTTTTCTTTCAACTTGAAAAGTAAAGTCAGCAATGTAAGGGTTTGTTGGGTAAAGGCTTTTTTTCTTATATGTATTGTTGCTCTATTCTTAGTATTACCTATAGTTCTCTTTAAATGATTTATTGTAATATCTTGTGTTTTAAATTCTATATTTGTTTGCTCTTAATTTGCGTGAATTTTGAGAATGCTCATGGATGCTACATGTGAAGCACATTCTATCTGCATGTTTAACTACACCTACAAGTGAATTTGCCCCCTAAATTTTCTGCGTCTTTCATTTCTACAAAAATAAAACAAATAAAATAATAAAATACGAGTCTGTGCGTTGGCAGATGGCTTCAAAGTGGTTAGCATTGTGAAGGAAGATTATCAAGGTTATCTGGAAAGGAGCAACATCATCTTTTCTTCTCTGCTCTAATACATCAAAGAAAAAAGTTCTCTGCACCATTTTTACTATTCTTCCCGACTATAATGGTGGAGTGGTCACTCTTATCTCCTTTTTCTTCCGTGCTCCTTTGTTCTTGTCCTGTTTATTCATTATTCCTATTTTGGATCTCCTATACTCTAACTACTTTCTTCTCCTTCTCTTGCATTTTCGTTTTGTTGCAAAACTCTACTCTATTTTTCTCTCCTATCCCTCTATAATTAGGTAAACACACGACACACTTCGCTCACTCGCCACACATCGCGTCAGATGCTTAAGTTCCATCGTCGCCACCGTTCGGTAAGTTGTGAGGCCTTGTCAAAAGTAAAGCATACTTGTCTGTGATTTTCTTAGTTTTTGGAAAATTGTTCACTTTGCACTTTAGTTATCAGAAGATATACTTTTACTGTAAATCTGACGGTGATTGGTGTTTCTTTTTTGAGATTTAAATTGGTTCATTTACCTTAAATAGTTCTGAAAAATCTAAATCTGTTGATATTTTGAAGTTTTATATCATGCAATCTTTTACAGTTTAGCAGTGTTGTACAATCTGGGATTACCTCCCATTTTGCAAGCATCTAATCTTTTTATCTAACATATATCACTAATCCTAAATTATTGCATAAATGTTGTTTTTCAAAACTCCCAATACAGATGTGTTTCATTTCATCATATGCGTTTAAATGATTGCCCTTTAAAATTAATACAACTTTTTAGTCAGAGGATTAGATCATGATTTTTTCAGTTTAGGCTTGTTTTGTAGCCCTTAGCTCTTATACAGAGTCAAAGTGTAAAATCGTCAATTTTTACTGTTTTTTTGTAGATATTTTGGCGCAGAAACACTGAGACCAAAACTGCTTTTTTTTATTTCAATTCTGCACAGAATGTATGTCCTTAGAAATGCTGGTCAAAACCTAGGAAGTATTTTTTAGCCATGAATTATTATAGCTCTCTGCAATCGGTAATGTTAGAATATCAACTTTATGCCAATTTTTCCAAAGTGTTTGGGGCGAGTGGACCAATGTATATAAAAAATAGCATTTTATCTTCTCTTCAAAAAAAATGCTCTAAAATACCAACCATCTTCTTATCACAAATAAAGTTTTGCGATACCTCCTGAAGATTTATTCATTACATCCCTGTCTCTATAGATGTGTGCACAAACTGCACACTAGTTGAGTATGTTCCTACTGCTGAATCTCTGCCTCATGTTGTAAATGTAGTCCTTTGCTGTTTGTACTTTCTTGCGTTTGCTTTATTGGCTCAGGAGGTATTGTAGTGGTTTTCCTCTGAATCATTAATAGTCTGCAATAGGGTGTCATTTTAAGCCATAGTTAGAAGTCAAGTTTTTCTCATCATGTAGCAGCCAATCTTAAATTTTGCGCCGTCATACTTCCATCATTCGTATCGTCATTGGGCTTTGCGTGCACTTTTTTCTCTTCAATTGCATTTTCTTCTAATTTTTTAAGATTTGATATACTGCAGTTAAATTACTCTGAGGAGAGTGATTTTTTCATCCTAGGCTACCGTTGAAGTTTTTTGTTTGTCAGCACCGATTTTGTGTGGAAACTCCAAAAATAACCAGAAAATATAAACAGCAGAAAGTGGAAAAAGTCAAATAGAAGAAAAAAGGAAGAAATAAAAATCAAACACGGCTGGTATGAAATAAATTTTAAAATTACTTGTAAGAGGTCCAAAGAAAAGTTTCCAAGAGTCAGAAGGGTTGCAGATGGAATGTAAGAGTCAAAATTCCTTGAAACTCAGCTTTAGGCTGCTTTTAATAACGTTCAGTGGTTAGAAAAAAAATCTGTGAAACAGGAAATTTTTGCATGTTCTTTCCAGGAAATAGTGCGACATAGTAAGAGAACGATGTCGCAAATTACATTGCGAGTTTTGAAGTCGCTTTACTGAAGCGGAATGCATGTCCTATTCTTGTTAATTGCCTTTGCTCCATAAAAGTTGAAGCTGAATAACTTGTTTGTACTAATTTTGTAAGTGATATATCGAATTTTATGTTTACAGAGGGATGATGCAAGCTCTCCTGTTTTCCTGGATGCTGGTTCAACATCGAGTGGTGCACCCTCAGTCATTGAGGCAACTTCATCCCAGGATGTTGTTCCTCCTGCCAGAGAAACAGAGGTAATCCGCCATGTAGAGGATACAGTCCCTCTTGATCCTGCAGAAAAAGAATCCACCTCAAAATCAGCTACCTCACTTTCTATCGCTGATCTACCGAAAAAACCAGTAAGTGAATTTGTTTATTTTAAAGGTATTTTCCAAAGGAAAAACACGGTCGAGATTCTCAGACATCAGATCTGAGGCAGGAACCTCTAAGGATAATTTAGGGCATAGTTTACAACAAATCTTAGTGGCTTAGATTCTTCCTCTACTCACGCAGATAACTTCTTTGTGACATCAATAGTAACAGCAGCTCAATTTTTTAAATAGAAATGAGGAGCTTGACAAACAAGGCGCATAATGACAGTTTTTGCTATTTCGAGAAGTATGTGCCTGAAGTTTCGAAATTGCATGGGTCCTTATAGCGGAGAGAAAGTTAAAACTGACTTTTCGATGCTTAAAAATTCGAATTTGGAGTGAATTTTTCCCAGTATATGCATTAGTTGTATTTGAAATCGTTAATACCTCCATTTTTCAAAAACAGCACTTATGCGCCTTGTCCTCCAAGCCCCTCAAATAATCTCTAAAATCTATTTTTGTGCATGAGAAAGCAAAAACTGAAACTATGGCCCCAGCACTGTTTCAACAGAATGCTAGAACAGTGTGGCTCCCTAAACAAAGCAGAAAAAGTATTCAAATAAAATTTAAGTTTCACATTGAGCGTTCATATTTATCAGAACCAATACAAAGGGGGAGGCACAATGTTCAGTGGATACACGTGCATTGAAGTGCTCGTCCGATTTTAGTCTACCAAGGAAATGTTTTTGATTTCAATTACTATTTAATTTTAATTTTACACACATTTAAAAATCAGCCAATGAAGAGAAGCTGGATTTTATGAGGTAATTATTCGTGAATGTCATTATTGTGTTTGGTGTTTCAGCAAAGGAAAATATCACGGTTCTTGGTCAGTCCTGTCATTGAAGGATCCACTGCGGTAAGTCTTTTTTATACAAACTCAAAAACAGTGTAGTATTGGGGAGTATTCTGATGTGTCTTTATAAGAGAGGTGGATTATTACCGTTTAATGTAGATCTGAGCTATGCAATACATAAAAGTTTACAAATGAGAACTGAACATCTGTATTCTTAATGCTCAAAATTTAAATAGTTCTCTGGGATAACATTATTTTATCAGTGGCTTTAAGGAGTTAGGGGATTTAAGAAAAAGTATTATTAAGTGTCACTATCCCAAAGTTTTAAAGCATTTGTGCTTGAAAACTTTTTTAAAATTGTATCAATATTTGGAAGAACTGTAATTTCCAAAAGTACGGTAAGTATTATATTCAGGGTTTATTAAGGAGTTCCCTCTATTTGTAGGTATTCAGAGTTGAATTTTTACTTTTTTCATACCCCCAGGCATCATCAGAAATTCAACCAACTGTCTCTGTTCCTGGATCAGCTGCAACTCCGGCCCAAGAGCAGTCAGAAACAGAATTAGCATCCTGCAGTCTGGATTCACCGAGTGATCAGACAACATCATCAACCCGTCATAGTGACTTTGGTAAAAATTCAACTGTATTTCACCGTATCATTTTGCAACTCAAACATTTCAATTTGGCTAGCTGCTTTTTGTCAAATTATACAGGTCCATCCGCCGAATTTTGTAGAGTATTTGCCTCCTTGAATATGTTGCCATCGACTTGATGCAATTTCAGCCTCATTTAATGGAACCTGCATCCCAGCTGCTTTCTCTGAATCCTCTCTACAATGTCCCCTCACGCAGGACCACAAATTTTTCCCTTTTTTCGAAATTTTCAAGGATGGAGTTTATTTATATTAATGGATGACAGGAGTAGAGAATCATCTATCAATCCAATTCTACCTTGTAAGATGTATCAATTGGACAGTAAAAGTTGAAAAATGCTTATTTCCGTCGCAATGTTTCAAAATCTCCGATTCTATTCAATTTTCTAACAAAGATCAAAACAACACTGTGGCTTTAAATTTTCTCAGAATATACTTTTCATAGAAAAGAAAAATCACCGAAGTTTTTAAGCAATGATGTTTTTTAGTTTAACATGTGGAAAATGAAGTATGACAGGAAATCTGCAACACTGCAAACTGAGATAGGCAATTCTGCAGCTCCTTCATCGAAGTTCACTCTTGGGCTTGTGATAAGTGCCTAAATTTTTCCCTTCGTAAAAATAGTACTTCCACTAAAAATTCAACAATCTTGTTTCCAAAACCACTAGTTCGATTGATATTTTGAACTAAATAATTCGACACTAAATTTTTCTAAAAAAAATAAAAGTTAGTTTAGAATTACATGGTGTATTATTAAAATTTTGTTCTATTGGGTTTTATTTTATTCATCTCATTTAGCGCTCTCATTCCTTTAGTTTATTTATCTAATTTATCGCTTCCATTTTACCAATCAATTCACCTAACATGTCTCTTATTATGCAAAGTCATCATCAAGTCATTGCATAGTCATTTATTCAGAATTTCAAATCTATTATTTTCTTTATATAGTAATTTCTTAACTTATACTTACAGGTACAAGCGGTAATGAATTCATGAGTGAAAGTAGCACTGTCTCATCACCAATGACTCAGCTCTCTCCAGAGTCAACATTGCACAGTAATTTATTGGGTAAAATTGTCCACCAAAATTCAAATGATAGCAGGTAATTGTTTTCTCTCTCAGTTTTATGAGCTAAGTCATTCTGTAAGTTTTTAAAACTTTGAAGTATGTAGACAATAACAGTTAGTCCAGAGGGATGGAGAAGTAGCTTGAAATCTTCCAATTCTTCCATTTTGAGGATTCTTGCAAGCCTTCTTTTTTTAAATCAATTTTGATTTCCCTGAAATTTTTTATCCATATTGACCGCGCAAGTCCGCAATCACATATCTTGTTTGCGGTGTCTGAAAATCTCCGCCTCTGTGTTTATTTTCAAAGGAAAACAAAATGAAATCATTCCTTGAAGTTTATGCAGAATTTTCTTCGCACTGAGAAGAAAAATTACGGCAGTTTTAAAGAATTATGCTTGAGTAGTTTTCCGTTTAAAAAATAAAGGAATACAAGGAGTCTGTAACGTCGCAAACTGAGTTATTTGATTGCCGACTTACACCGTCAATATGCCGTCCTGAAGGACAGTGAATAATGATAAATTTTTGTTATTTTTTCCTCAAACTATTGTTTTTACTTTATGAAATGCATTTTTCTTGTTTTTGTTTGGATTCTGCCACCTACCAAACTTTTTTCTTCCTTGTTTTATTTTCTGCATGGTTTTGCATCAAATGAACTTGATTCCTCTTAACTTATACCGGTTCATAAGTTTTGGCAGAATTTTCACAAACTTAAAATTTCTTTTATTTCAGTGGACTCGGAGGTCCACAGACCATTGCTGACCTACAACAGAAGCTACATCAGTTGACATCGCAGCCATCAGAATTGTCATTGAGTGGCACTCCACCATCGCATCCGGCAACGCCTCACAATCACTTACAGTCGCAGAACCATGCAACATCCATTCAGACCCTTCATGAAAAGCTTACCTCTATCTCCATGACAAATTCACAACCCCTGGTATGAAGATAAAAGTTTTGCGTTTCAGGATTGAGGCCATCAATCTTTTTAATCTTTAACAATTAATTACGTTTGTCCCCTAAAAAGTAAAATTTGGCTTTCAAGTAATTTAAGAGACTACAATCTCTACAGTCAGTCAAAATAGTCAACTAAATATTGAGACTATAAGAAGAATTCATTTTGAGTAAATGAGGGTAACAATTTTTTTAGGAAGTTACAGCAGTTCACGAAAAATATTTTCATTCCCTAGTATCATAGCTTTACCTAAAAATGAGCTTGCCTTAGTCTTAATCGAAAGAAAATCAAGTGACACTCTAATGTTTTTTTCTTCTCTCTTTTTTTAACAAATCTTTCTTCTAAATTATAGTACTGAAGGTGTGAAAATTCTACATTCAACTTGTGTATTAGTTCATTGAAAATTATTCCTAATGCCTTTTCAAACTTTCAGGGTCCTTTATCACCACAAAGCACGCTTCACTGCATTCCCTCAAGTCATCCTCCTCTAACAGCAGCTATCGAAGTATATCAGAATGCCATTTTATCAGAGGGCATTGCTGTTATGCAACAACCCTATCTAGTCCATTCTGTTGCCCCTACCTCGGACTCACAGCCGGTCACAAGTCAAAGTCAGCAACAGTACACGGTTCAAACGACCATCGCTCCCGTCTTCGTTCAGCCTCTTCCGAGTAATTTCCAATCGGCTGAACTACCGCAGTATGCTCAGTCCACGCCCATGCTGTTTCAGCCGATTCCAGCCGATAGAAGTCAACTAACTCCGAAGGAATCTCAAGAATCTACTCAGCATGCAACGCCTATCTTGCTTCGCCCAATCACCGCTAGTGAGGGCGGTTCTAGTCAGCTATTTATGTCGCCAGCAACATCTGAATCAGAGAAAAAGTCTCCTATTCAGCATGTTCTTGTCCAGAAACTTTCAACATCAGAGTCACCACAATACATTTATCAACCTGTCATGCAGCAGCCAATCATTCCAGGTATTTTTTCTGCATTCTCATATCTCGAAGTAGTAAAATCATGGAAACGCTTGTTTCATGATCTTGTTATCTCCCTTTTGTAAACTTTCTCATTAAAGAGTTTTACTCAACCTTTGGAAGTTGAGAAACTTTGCTGCTGAACCTTGAATTTACTCTGCAATTGTTCTTGTCTCTCCTAACTTTTGGAATCAATACTTTGATCAATCTCTCGTAAAAGGTTCATGTTTTAAACATACAATTCAGCGTGAAAGTAAGGAGAAAAAAAAAGCAAATTCTCTTTCTTTGATGAATTTTTTACATTTTAAAACGAGCATGTGCTCATTATGATCCATTTTTTTTCTTTCTTAAAATTTTGAGCAATTTAGTGAAAAAAATTTCTCGTCCGAAGCCTGCTTACTCTCCTTACCGACAAAAAGCCAGGAAAAAGTGAAGTCTAGTACATATCAGTGATGGTAAAATTGGGTCAGAACAAAAGCGGTTAATTTTATATCGTCTTTCATTTATATAAAAGTGACTCCTGATGAATTTTTTTCAGGTCGATTCATGATGGCAACCACACCGGTGGCTCAATCCTCTGGCAACCCTGACCTCAAGAATCCATTAACTCAAGTAACAGTCCAACCAGTCGTCGTCCATGAAACTCCTCTAGTCATGCAGTCGGTTTCTCTACCAAGTGAACATGGAAACTCTGCTTTGGGTGAATCATCAACTGCTGTCCATCCTGAAAAATCAGTCATCCAGCCAATGTCTATAATCACAAACCCAAGTGTCATCACAAGAACACCTGTACGTTTATTTTAATGCTATATTTCAGGTTCGATGGTAAGCCTCAAGCATACTGAATGATGAATAAGCCGTTTGAAATGATTGCCACTTTTGCTCCATGACAACCGGTTCTCCTTATCGTTTTTTTCATTCTGTGTGAAGGGCGATTCCTCAGCACAGTTATCGAAAATTTCAGGTTACAAACATGATTTTTGTCCGAAAATCATCATTCCGCCCCCTGATTTAGAAACTACCGAGAGTAACTCGCTCCTATTGTTCTATTTCTCTTTCCTAATTGTTATATTGATAAATGGTGGCAAATTTTTTTTTTTTTTTTTCAAAATCTTCAAATGAGCTGGAATTACCTACTGAAAAGTTTCCAAAAAAAATAAAATGCCAAGTACGAGAAAGCATTACAAGTAAAATACTCTCATGTTCATCAGGTTGGTTCAAAAAACAAATTTATTTGTGACAACTTCTGAATGGTTGAAGATGAAGCTTTAATTTTGGTTAAATTTGAAAATAAATCCTAAAATACATCAAGATTCTTGTGTGGTTTTTTGAGCCATTTTTCCGAGGGCAAAAAAAGTAAACGGAAAAGTGAAGTACTTTTGTGTTCCAACCAAAACTATTCCACCTAAACAATCACCTTCCAAATAGTCAATAAGTTGCTTTTTTCACCATAACCATTTATTGATTGAAGATTGAGGTTTGATTTCGGTCATTGCAAGACTTCGCTTTTATTTGTTACAGGGATCCCACGCAGATGACATTCATGAAGAAAAGAAATTGAATAAAACGCTGGCAGATTTACATTATCTAGAAATTGTAAGATTTCACTGAACTTTCTATTTAGCATTCATCTCCTGAACAGAAAGAAAGAAAAAAAAAATTATTACCTTCTTTTGCTGTTATCACTTCTAGACTAGAAGAGAAGGGGATATTGGAATAGATTTTCAGAACAGAGACCCATGTTATGTACCCGGCAAGAATTGGTTATCAGGTGTTTTTCTAAAATTATTTACTGGAAATCAGATAGTAAGTTTTATCACCCCAGATTTTGAATGGTTACATGCCCATATTCATTTCTAAAAATAATCGAAAACACAGGAAAATGCGGAAACAAGGCTAAAATTAAAAATACGCAGGCAGGACGTTTCGGTACTTTACAGCACCATTAGCAACTGCTAAAATAGAACTAAAAATAAAAAAGAAATTAAAATACAAATCCAGCAAACGGCTTTACATGGTGAAATTGGTATTGGAATGAGACTGCAGTGATAACCGAATAAACAACAAGGCACGAAGTACAACAAACATCGGAAAACGAGAGGAAACTGATCACTGATGATTAAGAAAGTAAATTGCTTAAGCATTTATCCACATTTATATATCCCGCCAGGTGGCACTAGTGGCAGCAGTATATGGCGCGTGAAACAAGCCGAAATAGATCGAGCTCAGACGATTACTAAAAATATGATGCACAGTACTGTGCCCATGTATGAGCGTTGCCCTCAATTTAGGTGAAAAAGGTGATGGAATCGGAAGAAAAAATCACTCTTAAGTGGTGTCACTCAGCGCTTGACCACCTTTTCCTAGACTATAATGTCCTTTATAGACGATCCTCTATCTAATTTTGTAGTTCTGTAAAAATTATCAATGAAACTAAAAATAGAGATGGAAGAAAAATGAATGTCAAACTCAAGTTTCCCTTTTGCACTTAACAAATACACTATAATACACTATATTATTTAGTGCGAACAAATTTTAGAATGAAAGGAAAGATTTTTGTGTGAATGAAAAGAAAACATTTCAGATAATTTCACATAGTGAACCTATTTCCTAATTTAATTGTTTTTTATTTTCTAATTGTTTTTTATTTTCTAATTGTTTTTTAATTTTCTTATTGTTTTTTAGGAATTAAACAAAATTCATGGTCCTGGATCAGAAAAAAGTCGGCATCGTAAAGATGGTCACAGCACAGGTCAATCGACACCAGTAACTTCATCAAGCACACCAGCAACCTCCAGTTTTCAGGTAGAATCTGATTTTTTTTTCTTTATGGAACCCTAGAGGAGGTACGAATTTAAGCATTCTTTTTTATGTCTTTTCTTCGAAATTTCATTTAGAAAGACGATTTGTGCAAAAAGTTACTGAATCCCAGCCCTACCAAGATATTTTTGTTTTTATTTAGCACTAGTCACGGAAAATTTGAATTTCCCGCTCACGAAAAAAAACCAGAGTTTACGAGAGTCAAATCCCGTGCTATAATGGTTTTGGTAAGTTTATTCATCCAGCAGTGTTCCTTCCCTGCCCTGTATTATTCAAAATGTTGCTATATTTTCATCCCGCTTTGACTGTTGTGGCTACGTTTAGTGTGTAATTTAGTTCTAGTAGATAATTCATTTTATATGAGCATGAAGTTGGAATTCGTGCATCAAAAAACGTTTACCTATATCTTGGTTACGAGGTACTTTCACTACTTTTTGTCTCACAAATCGTATTTTACTCAAAATTTTGATGAGAATACACACATTTTAAAGCTTGAATTTTACACTTTTCCTGGTGGTTCACTCACCCAGCAACTGACTATCCTTTTCACACTCACCCATAGAGTAGGAAAGAAGTTGAGGTTAAATATTTGCAACTGAGTTTAGGCAGACTGCTAGCTTCTTAAATTCTTGAAAAATAATTATTTTCTTTATTTATTTGAACCGTAGTTGCATATTACTTACCAGACCACAGATGGTTATGGTACAGGCCAAATTTATTATTTTATCATTTATTCAATATATCATCAATAAAATTATTTTTGTTTTAAAATATTAGGTCAGTGTTTTGAGAACTGAACTTAAAATAAACATGTGTTTAGATTTTTTTTTTCTAGTTTTTTTTTGCAGTTTTCTGTTTTACATTTGTTTCTTTTAGAAAAACTGTCTGTTGCCCCTAATTTCTTGTTCTGCTGAACAAGGCAAGCAAAAGAATACCAGTACGCCAATGGATTAATCAAATTGAAATAAAATGATAGAAAAATTCGTTTGGGTGGTTTGTTTGGGGTCACATTCTTGTGCTGAAGAGTTAAAATGACATGCTTTTCTACTTATACATCTGCATCTTTCCACATCTTGCCTCTCACTTTCTTTTATCTGTGGCCCTCTTTTTGTCCTTATATCAAAATTTTAGTGTTAATCTCTTGGAGACTAACGATTTTAAGAAATTGTTCTAAGAATCACAAAGGATAGAGCCGTACACAAATTCAAACACGGCACCATGAAAAATTTGAAAGTTTTGCATGACTTTATTTGTATCTTAACCAACATTCATTTGATTTCAGGGAGAAATCATGCAGGAAATAGATGCATCTAAAGAGAGGCTTGACAGTCACCAATCAGAAAGTAAAGTTGGTAGCCAATCAGAAGATGAAAGTAAGTCAGCAATCGTTTAATTGAATCCTTTAAAGTCTGATCTTCAGTTTATTATGAAACTGAGCATTTACATGCCAAACATACTGCTGCGCTAAGAAAGAGCGCAGTATTTGTTGAATTCTTGAGTTTGGAATTGTTTCAAGAATCAAAGTAATTTGCATTGGAGAATCTGATAGAACTTATCACAATTGCCAACAAGTTGTAATGAACAAGACAAGAACAATCTCTATCGTTTGTAGAGAAATGAAGATTTTGCATAAGGTTGAACAGCAAGAGAGCTTCTGAACGGAGATTGCAGGCGCTGAGATTTTTAGAATGATCGATCCTCTTTGTTAAAACATTATGGAAAGCTAGTGAGTGTAAAAGGAACTTCCCTCTAATATTGCTCCAATTTTTGTCATCTAAGCTCATTTATAGAAATAGGTCAGTTGTGCTGGTCACAAAATCGTGTTTTGATGCTTGATTCGTGTAGCCTAGCTAAAAATAAGAAGGTCTGTCCAAATGGCAACTTTCTATGTTTAATGTTCACCGAGATATCACACTTTGAAAAATTCGGTTTATGACATCATCCACCGCGGTAGTGATACCCTTAGTTTCTTCCACTTTGCTTTCATCGGAGTTTCTTGTTGAGCAACCAGTGCAAATGTGTGTATGACTGACTGATAAAAGCAAGGTGGAAGAAACCAAGGGTGTCTTCACTGTGGGAGATGACGTCAAGAACCTGACTTCTCAAAGGGCAATACCTCTGTTAATATTGGACGTAGAAAGTTGCTGTTTGGACAGATCTTTTTATTTTTAGCTAATCTACAAGAATCAAGCATCAAAACACGATTCTGTGTACAGCGCAACTGACCCATTATCATTCACGGAATCATAATATGAGGCTGACAGGTATTTGTCAGGGTCGAAGGCTGAGGCTGACTCAAAGTTAATTTACTAAAAATCTTGGGTTTCAAGCCTGCAGTCACTATGCTGTTTCTTGTTTATGTATAATTATCAGAAACTTCAACAACACTGGTTCGTTTGAATTTTCAGCATCGCAGCGAGAAATCAGACGAGGACGCTTTAGTGTTGTGGTGCGACCAGATTCCCTCATTCAAAACAATTATGGTTCAGACCAGAGCAGCCAAGTTAATACCAGGGATGACACTACGACAAGTAATAGTGAAAGCAATAATCAGGTTAGCTATGGACTATTCAATGTACTCAGTTGTTGTTTTTGCTTTTAGGAGTGTGTAAACAAACATTATGTGCTGATGTTTTTAGTTTTGCTGACGAGTAATCCTTACTGTAGTATGGTTTGTTTGCCAGTCAAGTGCCTAATGATAAAATGATTTACTCTTTATGAATGACTCTTTGCATTGTTTTTTTCCCCCTTCATTTTCTAAGATTATGTAGAGCATTTTATTTTTGTCAGATTTTTATCAATTTTCCACAGAATTTTTCTGTTGGATCTATGAAAATTTCAATGTTTCTCAAAAGTTAGATCTCACAAGTATTTCGATACGGCACACCAATAAAAAACACAGGAAGGCAGGTCAAATTACTAGAAAAAAGACTCCATCCCGATTCAAAATAAACTGTGCAAGCAGAGTTTTCTCATCTTATCTCTAGCTGTACGTACTGAATTATCTTATGAATGGTCATTAGAATTCACTTAACCAGAAAGATACATCAGCCGCTCGGCACTGACAAACTCATTTGTTTGCTGAGTGTTTTTATCCACACAGATTTAAGCTCGTGGCTCATTGACTTTTTTGTATGTTTTAGCTTGTTGTAATTATTTAAGATGGATCCTTAGATTTTGGTCCCAAGAATACTTACAGTTTTAATGTATTGTAAATTGTCCCAGGTCGTGAATTCTTTTGGAATTATATTTTTGACATGTTTGGATTATTTTGTAAAACTGGAAGGTCTTCAGACTTATCATCAATGGATTTTTATACAGGAAATCATTTTTTAAACCCCTGAAATAAATTCAATAGTTGAGTTTTTAATTTTCAATCAATTTTGATGTGTTGTTTGCACTTCAATTCTGCATTTTGAAAGATGAGTTTGATTTAAAATTTATGACTGATCATAGACTGACTTTTCAAGTTTTTCCAAAGTAATCTCTTCATGGCTAAAATTTACAAAATATCCAAAAGATACCAGAATGTATAACTTAAATCTGAAAATTCGCCCTATGTTCTGTAAAAAAATTCCAATGATCGATTGACTGATTCCACCGGTATTGTATACCAAAATATTGTGTAAGATTGAGATTATTTAAAAACAAAAAAGCCCAAATTAATATAAAAGGGAGAGGGTTCTTGGTTTGTTTCAACTAAAACTAGGGAGAAACTGGCAAAAAATATATTAGTTAATTTAATTGGTTTTAACCTATTAGAAGGTAGCCATTTCAACAATTTTTTTCCCCATTACTTAAATAATGTGTTGGTAAGCTTCACACTGATACATGTACGCAAATTTTGTACTCTGTTGTCATTTGATTTCTCAAAAAGAGTGAGGAAGTGTGAGGGCTGCAGAAGTATACCGTTTATTGCAATATGCCTCGTTGCCGAACCACTACTCACTTACTGAATTTTTGGAGCTGAAGTGTTTGCATTAGTGAAAAAGCAATGAGTTTCTGGTTTCTTTGGTTAAAATTTTGAAAAGTATTTCGTCAACTCTCCAAGGGTTTTTCTTTCTTCTTTCCTCTTTCCGGTCCCAACAAATTTTTACAACTGTTCCAAAGATCGAAAGCAAAATATTTAATGGAAATAAAGATAGTCTGATTTAATTTTTGAATAAGAAAGAATCAAATTGTAAGAAGAAACTTTCATTGTCTACCGAAAAATTTATTTTGATTTTAGTATGGAACGAAACGTTAGTTTTTAAGTAACTGTTTTGTGAAAAGTAAATTTGGAAGACTGGAATTTCTTCTTGAATAATTTAACAGCCTCAAATCGTCTATATTTCAAAGGATATTTCAAGTAAGAGTGGTTGCGTTCATATAAATTCTAATGTATAATCTATAATTGGTAAAAGTCATCGTAAAATTTTTCATGAGGACTTAATTTTGTACTGACTGCGCAGTCTTTATTACTTGATTTTGTCTGGCTTATCCAAGTATTCTAGTGACTAGCAAGTTCATTTTCTCAAGTTTTGAAGGTTTTTGCAGCAAATTAGGAACAAGTTTACGAATAACATGTTTTATTGCTGCGATGCAATCTTTTTTGCTATTTAGTAGTCTCTCTTTCAAATATTGACTGTTTTATTTATAATTTATTTTATCCTATATAACAATTTGATTCTGGCTTCGATTGTAAATGATCTAATTTTATTCCAACTCTTTTTTGTAAAAAGTTTTTAGTAACAAATTAAATTAACAAGGAAGGATAAATGTAGTTGCAAAATAATCCAGGTGGAAATATGTCTGTTTTAGGAATATTTTTCTTTATTTTTCTTTTCCTTTTTTATAATTTATGAGTTTTTCTCTTCTTTTTTCTTCTCATTATGCCCACCTTATCTCTTGAGAGTTATTGTTGTGACTGTTCCTGTTTCCATTCTTGTCCTACCTCTTTAAGTTTTTCTTCTTTTTTTTGTTTTAATACAATTTTTTCCCTTTTCTGCCGTAACTGAAGTAAATTTTTTTTACATTTTAATACAGTCGGTGCCCACTTCAATTAGTCCACGTAATAGGCGCTCGCCCACCTGTGACATTTACCGAGCAGCAAGCACTCAGACATTCCCCTCACCATTTGTTAATCCAGAAATTGAGTGCGAGTCATCTATTCGTCGAAAAATCAGCATCCAGTCCAACCCATGCTGCAGCACAATTCTGGAGTCCGTTTATCAACCTGATATGCGCCGTGCTCAAAGTGGGATGAACCTTTCAAACGAAAGTCAGCGAAAGATCTCTGTGGACAGTTGTGGCTTTCCATCAGTGTCGCAGCAAAGACAAAGGAAGACAGGCCTCCTTGGTGTCAAATCTTTACAGCAGGAAGTACCAACAACCGAGCATGCACAGGTAGGTCAACAGAGACGAAGAGACTGTGAGCAGTTGAAACGATGGCCGAGCGATAATGTTTTGAACAACTACGCCAACTCTGAGCAAGCATTGCTGTTCCGCTCAAGAAAAAACAGCTACGGCTCGAAAGTATGCATGCTGCGGCAGGCTTCAGCAATTGAGCCACGGGATATCCTGCGGGCAAAAATCCGAGAAGCAAAAAGCATGGTTGATATAAATAATGAAAACTACTTGGTTAAAGACAAACCCATTTATGACCAGTTCTTTTCAAACCATGAGGTTTACCACACAGTGCATGGTGGCTACTTACACAAAAGAGTCCCGAATCAAGATCTACCCTCCAAGTACGAGCTAGCCTGTGGTAAAAATTGCTGTGTCGATCGGACACGTGACGTGTCGAAAGTTAATGCAAGTCAGTTTGAGGGATGGGCATATCCAGATTCTCTTTTGCCACACTTTGCGTCATTCAAAACGCGGAGCTGGAATGATTTGTCACGCTACTCTAAAGACTCAGGGTTTGATTCTCTGACTTTCTCTTCTCATCAAGCACCAGATGATAAATTCTCAACAACACCAGTTAATTACCCAATTAAGAACCTACAGTATTGGCAGCCAAAGAAGATGCAACGGGTAAGAGCTTTATTTTTTTTTCAGGGTAGCTTTGAACTAATCATTTGGGGAACTTGAATCTTCTTTGCTTTCAGCCAATGGACCTATTTGAAGCATGTGTCGCACTGAAAAAATGTTGTCATCAAAAGTACAACTTGACTCTGTAAATAAACCTCTAATACACTTTAAATACGGTGTCAGGCTGGCCTAATTCAATTTTGTCAACTTTCTGTCTTCTTTTGGACGTTCAGCTTTTAGAAGTTTCATCAGTTTGACACTCTATGAAACCGAATCTTTTGTTTGCCAGGAATTATTTTTATTTATTTATTAATAAGAATTAAATTATCACAGGTACGAACTCCAACAGTTTTTCTACTTTCAGGGTGTACATGATTATTATTTCTTTTACTTTCATCAAATCTATATCTGGTAAGACTGGAGATACACTTGTTGCCATTTGCAAGGGAACTACACATTTCCAATTGAATGATATCGGCGATATATATGCTAAGACAACCCTCTCTGTGGATTTATATTGTATCCTTATGTCATCAAACATATCCTGAAACTTACCTTTTACAAAATTTTGTCCCCCGACCTTAACTGTCCCCCCCATTTTGACTGTTTGTTCATGGTACTTTCTACGTTCTATCTCATATCCTACGTGTTTTTTGATGAGAGTGAACTGTAATCAATTAAATATGCATGAGAAAGTGGGAACAGATTTCTATGAAGAATGTGTGAATGAGGTATCTAACAATTCGTTAGTGCGTTAGTGCAGCTTAAAGTAATTGATTTAGGAACAGAATTTTTTTACCGATTTTGCTGGACTTTTTTTAAAAGTCCAGCACCAGAAGTCAGCTTTTTAATAAAAAGAGACAGCTTTGTTAAAAGTCAGTTCTTTCTGCTCCACTGTGATAGAAAGATATACCCTCAGGAATTCTTTTTCACTCAAAGTTATATTAATTTTTACCAGCATGAAATTTTACCTCTTTGAAAAATGAGCCGTAAGGGGGTTTGTTTTTGTTTTTTTTTTCAGTCTTCAAAGAGTTTTAAGACCTGTGCAAGAAGTTGGTGTTCATGAAACGAAACTAACTGTTTGTGCATGTGATCAAAATAATTGTTTAGAAGTTTCCCTATGAAGATGCCTTCTTTTCCCACCTGCATCTGCCAGACTTACTACTTCTTACTTGTTAGCTTTCATCACTGCATGAATTCTTAACATAACACAGCTAAATACTTCCTCTGTCAAAAGGGGCATGAGAGAAAATTTTAGATACCTACAAAGGAAATTGGTTTTTAAAATAAATCAGCATTAACAGTTGACTTGTACCCCACTCATAAATTATTTTGGCTTATAAAACCCACGAGAATTAGTGAGTGTGAAAAATTGCAGTTGTTTAGAACTAATTGTTGTTACACTGTGGAGATTTTTACAGAAAAATGACCCACACCCATTTACTGAGAGAGTTGCTTACCACCTACAATCGAGTAAATGTTAGCTTATTTTTCGTGCTAGAAAATATGGTGGACTACATGAATATTCCTGTAGAGCAGTGGAGATTTTGCAAGTTGGCAAGACTGTTTTTCCTCTATTTAAACCCATTGAAAATATCGATTTTAGGTTAGGCAAGCTGCCTCACCAATATTCGATTGTTTTACACATATTTAAGTGGTGGATAAAAAGTGTTGCCATCTGTCAAGAATCGCCACTGCTCGTATCGTATATTTTTTACAGCAAACTGCAATTTTTACCCACTATATTTTAGAGAAATTGAATTTTAAAGAATTTAAAAAATGGAAGCTTTGTTCCTCTCTGTTTCCCCCTCAATGGTCTTGCGAGCTAAATGCAGCTTAGGTATCGGAGACACCTTAAAAAAGCAACACGTATATTGAAATTGAAGAATTTGTGGGAAAGTCTGCCATTATTTGAACAATTTTTTTCTCAGGATGCCTCTCATTATGATTTACTTTATCAAGAATTTCGTTCAGATTTTGATTGCAACGCAAAATTTCATTTCAAGATAGAGATATTCATGAGCTGTATTTAAACTTAAAACATAGAGTTAAAATCTCCTAAAATTTCACTTGGTGGCACAGTTAAATAACTCTTCATGCTGATTGATACAATTTATATCGACGGTGAAACAACCAGACCATGTATCTTGGTTTACAAGGCTGTAGATTTCGTGTCACACTTTATTTTTTAAATGGAAAACTACTGAGAGTCAATGTTTGAAAATCTCCGTGATTTTTTTTCTCTTTGCGAAAAAACTCTGTGGAAACTTCAAGGAATGATATTGATTTGTTCTCCTTCAATAAATAAAATGGCGGCAGAGATTTTTAAACACCGCAAACGAGATATGTGGTCTGGTAATTTCACCGTTGATATAAGAGAAATGGGGGAATCAAGTTTTTCTCTCTGTCTCTTTCTCTCTAAATGTTACAACCTTAGAAACATTTCCATTAATTTTCCTTCATGAAAAAATTGACTATAGTAAAAATGTTAAACTTGTAGTGGGAATGTGTTCTATACTGTGCAATTAGTAAGAGAAATCTTTGTTAAACAAGTTCAAAAAAAAAATTGTCGTTCAAGCTGTTTTTGGCTCGTAGGTAATCGATATACTTTCACTGATGCCTTGCATATCTCATCTTATTTAATTGTTCAATATGAATGTAAAAATTATTGTGCCAAGTAGAAGAAAACGAATTTAAAGTTAATATGCGGAAGTGGAAGTTAATGCACTTCTAATGTTGCTCCGCATTAAAAAAGTATGCATTCAATAGTCAATTTTGATACTTAATTCTCCAACTTGTAAGTGTGTAAGCTTGTTAAACTTTATTTCACATTTCATGAATTCATCGATTTAATTTGCCCGCTTTTTAGAGGACATTCACATTCACACCTTTAGTGTCTTATTAAACTAATAATGAAAGCTCCTAAAAAGAATTTGTAGCATTCATGGTTAAAACTTATGCATACAACGAATTATTCCTTTTTACCCTTGTTGTTCATGTAAAAATATTATTATATATATTTATTATCTGTTTAATATTTCTATTATCTATATTATTTATTTTATCATCTATTTTTATATTTTTTTATTACAGCACGAACCTGGGTCAAGTTTTGGCCATCCTAGTCCTAAACAGTCGTACGAAGAATTATTATCAAATCTTCTTCACAGGTATGCCCTCTTTTTTCTTCTCTACTTCTTACAAGTATGATGGGTTGAGGGTACACAAAACCATCTCTTCGTCAGAAAGGAGGGGGAAAATGTGTATTATTGAAGAATTTTTTACAGAAGGTACTATCCCCTCAGCCTGTTCTATACCTATTTTGCAATGTATTTATTTATTTATTTATCTATTTTTTTATTTATTTATTTTTTTTTATTATTATTATTTTTTTTTTTTAGCAAAGTTGTTTGATACGGTCCTTCTCTGCTTCCCCCTTCAGGTTGATATAATTATAAAATGATCCCTCTACATTTGCCCTGAATATTCAGTTGCAAATCATTAAACAAGTCCCTATAATTTAGGGAAACAGTTCCTTAACTCTTGCAGTATTGAAGGCCTTTGTTCTTGTGGTTCAGATGCTAGAGAAAGTCAGGTAGAATTTCAAGTGGATAGTTTTTTTTTTTCAATCCACTATTGGTTTTAACTCACTGTGTTTTAATTTTGACTCAGTCATTTTTCTTAGAGGCCTTTTCAAAATAGCTCTTGTAATTTTAGCTTGACGATAATAGTTTTCCATTAAAGGTTCAGGTAGCTGATAAAATGAGGGACTGGTTTACAAGTGTCATCAGGTACTTACTAGTAGTTCTCAAGTTTAAAGATCTGGAAATGTAAAGTTGAAGAGGTGAGGTCGCTCTAGTTGGAAGGAGTTTGAATACGTAATTGTCGAAGTTTTTCTTTTTCCATTACTTTCAGTTATCCAGTCATATCTTTAATTATTTTTGTATCCATTTCAGACAAAGGCTGGAGCTTGAATCATTGAGGCGCAAGCATCAAGAGGAAATCGAGGCGTTATCACAGCAAATGGAATCGGATTACCCAATGTCTCCTCCTTCGCAGTATGCCTCACGGCCAATGGCTTTACTGTATCAAACGCTTACTCCTATTTCTGTGCCATCTTCTTCAAGTAAGTTACTTACTGTGGCGATGCGATTAGATTTAGTAAAAACTAAAAAAAAACAGGTGCTAAATTATTTTCCTGTTAACTTTAGTCATGAGTACGACCCATTATGACATGAACCATACTTCATTTGGATTCACCAATTTTTCTCTGTAAAATCACTACTCTACTTTAAAAGTAGAGGAGGAAGATTTAATGGAATTGCAGTCACAGTTTAACCCATTTAGATGGTAAAAGTAGAGCGCTGTAGAAGCAATGTGTAGATGTACGCTTTCTTTTTATAGTTACTCGTAGTAATCATCTAGTAAATTTCTGAGTCCATCTGTGAATTATGTCATGTTTTGAGGGCAGGGAAGAGGTGTGAGCTTGTGTCCATGGTTTGTGATGGGAGAGGGGTTTTATAGTGCATAAAATCACACTAATAATTGGCTAAAAATGTTTTTATAATTTTGGTAAATACATAAAAAAAAAGCCGACTTTTTACCAAAAGAGGAGGGGGATCCAACAAAGTGTGACTTATTTCCAAGGGAAGAGAAGCATTTACGAAGAGGTTTGTTAGGCAGACATGCATAATGCACGCTCAACAGGAAGGAGGTGGGTCTACTATCCTGCATTTCCTCATAACGTGGTTTTCAAACGGTGTTAATTTTGTCAACTTTTTAAATTTACCAACAATTTTGAAATGCATTTTACATATTTCATCCCAACGATTGCTATTGTTTTTTTTTGTTTTTCTTAGGAAGTGGACAAGGTAGCCTGGAGGGCTACAGCACTGCACCCCAAAGTCCCACTGAATCTTGTCCCAACTCTGCGAATGATTTTGCAACGCATACATCAAGTCAGCCAAGTGTCATTCAGTATGCGCGCGGCTCAGCATTTTATCTACAGCCTGCGGCACTCCGCTTTGTTTATGACTCTCCATCCCACTGTGCCCCTTCAGATTTGCCTGAGCATGAGCCAAGGTAATGATATGTCACAAGTTCCAGCCCACATTTATGCTTTTTTTTTTATTTATTTATTTATTTTAGTATTTAAAAGTTGAAAGTTAGGTAATTGTTGATGTTTTAAGACCTGAAAACAGGCCTCCAATTTTAGGCAATTTCAGCCTTTGTTTCATGTTAAGAGATACTGATACAAACATCTAGAACAGAAGGGTATCTCATTGATAGAAACTTCATTAATGTATTATGTATACACTCAAATTTTCAGTTTCAATTTTTTTTTTCAATGTAAACTCTCAAAATCAGAGGTTTTTGTACTCTTAGATATTTTTGTTGTTTTATATTTAAGCGTATGTAACACTTTAGATATATAAAGGTGCCTGCTGAAGATGGAGAGCTCTTCAAAAGTTAGTCGTCAAATTAGAACCAATGTTCCATTCACTTAACAAACTCCTCTTTTTTAAAATTAATTTTTGTACAAATAGAAATGGATGGCATCAATTATTCTTATGCCACAATCAACTACTTCAGGTCACCAATGGTAATCAATAAGTAATGAGTACTGAGTACTGAGTACTGCGAGACCCAATAAATCTACCGATCACTTTTTGGTGTTGCAAAGTAGTACTGCAGCTCCTTATCAAGTGTTATTCTAAGGGTGAGTGAGGGTATGTAAGATAATTTGTTAATTTATTTCCTGAAGAAATACGTGAAGTTTAACTCAGAACGCACCTTTTGAACAACCACAGAATTAATACTGTTGTAGTAGATGCTACTGAAAGTTTGAAAGCTGATACTTTTTTGGAATCTTTACGATTTTTGGTGGATCAAAAACTATTTTAAAGACCTAACTTTTAGTGAAATTGTATACCTAATTATCATCTTCAAAAAAATTTAAGGTGCAAATTGATTTTGAGGAAATAAATTCACTTCCTTCAAAAGATTTAACTTTTTTACTGGGTCATTTCTCTTTTATTTCTACTATTTAGAAATTAAAGAAGAAATTAAAAAAGAAAATACATTTCTTTCACTTTACATTATAAAGACCGTTAAATGATATCCTGCCACTCGAAATTCCTCCAAGAGGGTTGATTTTGTAGTATCAAAGGAAGGTAACACACATGTTTCTCCATGTGGGCTTGAGACAGGCCATCTGACCCCTGAACTTGAAAATTTCGAATGGCAATCCCCTTTTTTCACTGAGGACTTTCTTTCCCTTGCTTACACCCTAGAGTATTCTCAATGAGCTTGAAATAGATAAATTATCTTAATCACTGCGCATACTAGTAAAATTAGTATGAACGCTTGTTCTGTGTTTTTGAATATCAGAAATGAACAGGTTGCCCAATTTTGAAACTGTGTAAGGTGCAAATGCTATTGAAAAGAGTGGAAAGCAAGATTGCTAGGTTGTGTAAATACACTTCGATATTTTAGAATAGTAAGTGTGTAATTTTACTTCAGGGTAGCCTACTTAAATGAACTGCTATACTGTCTGCAATTATTTTAAAATTATGCATGTTATTCCCTTACTTAAAATGATTTGAGGCTGCGGAAAATTACTGTAACAGTCTGTCTATTGTACGTAGAGCACATAGTGTCATGGTATGAATCAGGCATGTTTAAGGAGGTACACTTTATATGCATTTGGAAGTCTACTGCAGGCATGTGATTTTAAGAAAATTCCAACCGGACCAATCAGGGCCAATTCCTAAGAAAAAGGATTTGCGCAAAATTCCAGCTGAATTAGAGAATTTCAACAGTCATTTATGAACAGGGTGTCTATCATCAGGAAAAACTGGTAAAACCGGAAAGTATCAGGAAAAAATCAGGAAAATCGGACGTTTTATCAGGAATTTTTCTTACGCGAATCTCCTCAGCGGAAAAGTCTTACTGCTTTTTGCCTACCGTGCCAGGTCGAGTCGTCGCGCCGTCTTTGTTTCCAATAATTTCTCACCTCGTATAGTGAAGGCATCATCAAAAATCAGGAAAATATCAGGAATTCTCAAGATGAATAAATCAGGAATTTTTTACAAAATATCAGGATTTTTCAAAATTAAATAATACTAGACACCCTGATAAAGCTCTCAATTGTCGCTGAAAAAATGACATTATTTTAAAAGGGGTAGCAACAAGCTATGTTGGTAAGATGTGTTTCTGAAGCAAAACATGCAAACTTGTCGTAAAATCTTAATTTATCTTAATTTCATAGCATGGATGGAGGATTTAGACAAAAATTAATCGTGTTTTGGTTGCAAGGTTTGCACAGATAAGCTTAAAAGAGCCATACGCAACGGGGGGTTCGCAAAAATTCGACCTGAAATAAAATTGTTTTTGTTCTTTAATCTTCCAGACGTGATTGTCACAACAGCAAAAATTGATGTGTGGTAAGAGAGGGAAACAATTGCTCAATTGGTGGAGCGAAGGGTTTATCGGTAGTGAACTGAAACACCGGGGACTTGAGAGAAGGAGTGTACACTTTTTATTGATGACCGTGCTAGCGAAGAATGCATTTTTATTTTTAGTTGTTTAAACTGTTTTTGTTGGAAATCCTTGTCTTTCCTAACAAAGCTAGTAAGCTTTACGCTAGTTTACATGTCTCCTCTGAGTTCTTGTGTGCCAAAGAGTCTAGGTGAGGGGTCTGAATTTTGACAAGAGCTTTGGTAATGTGATAAAATTTTAAAGAGTGTCTTTCTAATCCTGTTTGGAGTTGTGAACATTTGCATGTGCAATTCCCATATTTTGCAGGGGTAGCTTTTAAGCGCTCAACGATAAGTTATATCCGCAAAGCTTGTGATACAATTGATAAGCTCGTCTGCTCATTTTTTAACTTTAATATTCGCAGTTGTTGCATCTTGTGACTATTGTATGATTCTTGGTTAAATTTTGATTTAAATATGAAGAGGCTTATAAATAGAGGCACTACCATAGTCTCAGATGAAATTGCAGACTTAATTTCAGCGAGTTTAAGTTTGTTCATCATCCTTTTCCTTCCCAGTTTCATCACTAAGGTTTTTTATGTACTTGTAATCAATTTACTTGTCAAAGAGTTTAAAATTTTCCCTGTCTGAGTCAATAACAAAGGAGATTATTAGTCTTTGAAGAGCGAAGGTCTTTTTACCAAACTCTTTGGAGACAAAGGGCTCTGGATTATGAAGGCTTCTTAGCTCAAAATGAAATAAGTGTAATAATTGTAATGTGTTATTTAGGATACAGCTTGTATCATGCTGACTTCGAACATCACTTATTCTGTGTATCATGTATTATTTTGTTTAACTATTGTATCAGCTAGTCTTAGTAGTAGTTAATTGTTAAGTTTTGTCAATGCAATAATCTTCCTGACCTGATTCTTGGATTCTGCTCCCATTGATCCGAATTATACACGGCTGAATAGATTAAGATTTCTCTTAACCTGTATGATCAAAGCTTAGTGTGATGAAAGAAATTTCATATTTTTTGCAATTTTCTCGCTCCTCTCATCGTAGTTTGGACTTATCTTTTCAATGATGGTCAAGTCGAATATATCGATTAATGAGTAATCATTCCAAAATTTCACTCTGAGTATCAAGATAAAAATATATGGTGCTAAGAGTTTGTAAAATGTTCTCATATCAGTCAAGTGAGCATGCACTTGCAATGTATGAATCTTACAGGACAGGCTTACAGGACCAGTCATATTGTTGTTCCTCATAGCTCTACAGAAAACTGAACAAGAAAAAACCTCAGAAGTAAAAAGGCATTTTCACTATACTTGTTTCCATCTTCAGTCTGTCCGGTCATCCCCTGGATCCTTAGTTAGTGGCTCTTTGCAAGGCAAATTTTATAATTTTTTGCTAAGTTATCAAATCTTTGAAAATGTGAGCCATACTTTAATTTCAGTAAAAACAGTTTACTTCCATTTCCGCTTTTCATTGCTATCTTCCAACATTGGAAATCTATTTTTCAAGCTGGTTGGGGCGAATTGTCAGAATGGGGCTGTTGCATGATCAAGGCTGTGCTTTGAAAATACATAGGTTTAAAAAAGGAGGAAAGAGGAAAAGGAAAAAGGAAAAGAGACCTAAAGTTGTGGTATTGAAAAGAGCATTTCTCTTTGGCCTGAAGCCTTTGACGTTTCATGCAGCTCAACCTATGCTTTTGGCCACTGTGAATCCAATCTAATGTCGTTGCTATACGGTCCATGCCTGTGTTTACGAGATACTCTCATTACATTTTAGGAACTTAGCTCACAAACTAACGATTTCAGGTATACAGAAAAAAAAAAACAGCAAAAATAATTATTTCAAACAGCAATTACTTTGCAAGCATTGTCGAGATACATAATTTTCGGTTGCATTATAAGTGAGATAACAAAATCTGTTGACTTGAAGTTTATCCGTTTGAACTGAGGTTGGATTAATGACGACCTCAAAAGTCATTTTCTAAAATTTGATTGAGTTCAAAACTGGAAAATGTAGGTACTCTGTTTTTTATGTTCTTTCCCAAAAATCAATCAAGGAAATAACGTAACTGCCTCATTGCCACCTCAGAAAATAATGAAATCACTTTTCCTGTTCCTGATTATTCATGTTTACTTGGCAATCATAATTGTAACTAATGAGCCTATGTGATGGGACCCTAACAAGAAAAAATTATGTTTTGTAAATTTTATTTAGAATTGAGCACCCATCAATTTTCAATTTTATTCAAATTCAGCAACATCTAACTCAGACTTTTTGTTTCATTTTTTAAACCAAATACTGAGGAGTTTTTTTAAAACTGAATTTTCCTATTTTACACACCCTTAAAAGTATCATTTTTTCTTTTATTTATCAGAGTATTTTTCCTCAAGCCAATTCAATGGATCCAAAAATCAGGCCAATGTTAATGGGTTGAATGATGCTCAATCTTAAGAGTGTATTCTTGTAAAAATTGATCTTTTTTAAACCTTGCCTTTGTTCGCTCTCTGTAACTAAGAATCTTTCAGATCTTTATCATACTTCCTACATGAGGCAGAGACTTTCAATTTTACCATTTATTTTTTTGTGAAAATTTTCAAGAAGTGTAATGATAGTACTGTTTTTTTTTTGGTTTGTTTTTTTTTTTTTTTAAATTAACTCTCAAGCGCAATAATATGACTGAGAGCTAGATAAATTCAGCTGCGTTGCAGCATTCAAAAGTTTTAGCTAACAACTTATTTCTGCCTTAAAATTTTTATATTTTAAGGAACAAAATGGAGGGAACTTTTGTCAAATCATAGAGTTAATTCATAAACAACGTCAGCATGAATTTGAAAACATTCTTGAATGAATGAATAAATTGTCTGTCAATATTTTGGAATGTTGCAACATTTTCAAGCCTTTAAGGCCTTATCTCTGTCAGATAGACCAGCAGGATTGCCACTTTTTGCGGCCACTCCAAGTCTCAAGATGATGATTTTTAGTCTACAATCATGACAACCCTGCAACCGTGTATTAACCCAGTTACCTACAAGGTGAAAATGAGGGAATAGAGGGATGGATTTTCCTTCAGAGCAGTTTGTGCTTCTCCAATATGTCCTCAATTTCAAGAACATTCTTCAGCTTAAGAGTTGATTTTAGAGACACCCAGTTGCACCATCATGTTTTTTAGAACCTTGTTTTTGTCCTGAAATTTTGTAGCGGATCACAGTAGTTTAATTGCTCATACCCAGCGGGCCGATTATTGAAATTTAAACCAGCCCGATAAGACATCGAATTGCGATGTATTGCACGGTTAAGATAGGGCTATGTCTTGTCGTAAGCGGCGACATAGAGTCGATGACATTTCAATAATCGCCCTGCAGGTGCATGCCAGTAGGTTAGAGCCTCTATCGTAGGCACAACTCAGAGATTCATTCTCAAGCTTGAGAATTAATTTGAGAAAAACCAGTGCTAGCATTAAGTTTCTTGCAAAATGTTATTGAAGAATGAAGTGTAAAATCGAAAATCCCTGCTGCATGCAACGTATTCACAATTTCAGAGAGCCAATTATCATGAGTCAGAGTTCCAGAACATTTTTTGATTTTTAGTCTTGTAATACATTCCTAATCTAAATTTTTTATTGCGTAGAATGTTTCTGAGATTGGATGTGTACCAATATTTTATCATTTTAAATTTTTACAAAGAAATGAGATCTATTTGTAAGCAAATTTCAAATTTGCAACAATCTAGACAAATTCATGGATATTATTTGTATTGTGTTATTAAAACTTGAAAGAGCTTGTGACTGTGTTATCTTGCAACAGAAAATAAAATCAGTTGATTTTAGTCAAATTAATCCATTTCTGATGTGTTGTTCATTTAGTAAGAGAAGAAGATAATAATGGAAGAGTCATTGATGACCAAAAATAGGAGATATCTTTGAAATATGAAGGAGGAATTGAAAGTGCTCTGCCATTTTGGTTCCTCGCAGCGGGGCGATTATTGAACTTGATAGACAAAGCTATAGACAAAGAAGACATAGAGGGTATAAAGCAATCCTATCGGTTGAAATGGGTGGTTCTCATAGACTAAGGGGGAAAATGATAGATTAACTGTGGGGTCTCTCGTGGGTTGCCGTTAGTTAGTCTATTACCTACCTCCTTTGTCCATTGTAACCACCCGCTTCTACCAATAGGATCCCTCCAAATCCTATTTGTCCTCTTTGTCTATTGCTTTGTCTATCAATTTCAATAATCAGCCCGCAGGTAAGCCTGCCTTTAGCGCCGCTCAGTGGATCGAGTCAATCAGAGAGGTGGGACATGAAATTTTTTATCAAAACTGCAAATTTTGATGTTTAAATTGCCACATTTTAAATTTTGAGGGGTGTTTCTAGAAAAAAAATTTCACGAGGAAACCATTGGAACCATTTTTAAAATTTCAAAGGTTTGATTTAATGGAGTTTTGAGTAAAGCTTTAAGTTTCCAAATTTTGTGCGACCTCTCCCATGGACTCGATCCACCGTGCGCTGCGTCGCGGTGAAGTGGTGATTGCCTGGACACTGGACAGTCCAAACGCCCTCATGTCCATGCGTATGTAATGCAGACATCCAGGGAGCCCGAATAGTTGCACATAGGATTTAAAATAAGTGTTCGTCGCATTCGACACTAACTGAGAGCGCTTTGCTCGTTTTTCTGCTTGGACCGTAACTTAATTCCAGCGTCGTCTATTGTGCTGACGAAGTTGACTAGTACTGATTTTTATTGCGACAATCTCACTAATTTTTCGAATAATGCTTCAATTGTCTGAATATTCTTAGTGCAACATTACCGTCCTAAAATGTGTACTGCGGCCTCTACCTTCTCTGATCTATAAGAACAGGGTGTCTCCTGGTCCGTAAAGTCGAGAATTAGTACTGATTTTTTTTAGGTGATCCGGAAATACTGAAAACGTACAGAAATTCCATATGAAGGACCGGAATTTTTTGCCCCATGCCTCGAGTGTTTTTTGAAACAGCCTGGAAAATACGCATTCCGTTCCACAATGATTCTTAGGGCAGTCTTTTCTCGATAGATCGCGATTATGAAGCCAAGTGATCCTCAGACCATTAATGAGATTCGGATTTCCCGGCTGCGTCATTTTTCTCGCGACTTAGGCGTGAATTTCGAACAATTTTCGAATTTCGCCACCGGAAGGTACCCAAAAAGTATTGAATATTTCTGTTTATAAGGTACTGAATTTTTTGGAAATATAGTGAAAAAGTACTGTAAAATTTTTAAATATTTTCCCACCAGTTTTAGTGGACGCCCTATTTAGGCGACCCAAGAATCCCGATGTGGAAAATTGGCAGTTTCGAAAACGCCTTCAATTGTGGCGAGATACTTTACGCATTCTTAAGTGTACGAATAGTTGTATCGTTGCGCCTTGGCAAAGCGATGGAATAAGGTTAATATTGAAGCAGTCTCCATGCGCTGACCTTGTCGGCTTTCCGCTGCCGCTATCGCAGTTTTGACCGCATAGTTTAAGTGTGCTCAAGCTAGGATTGTACTTAGCAAATTGATGGTTTTTACAGAGGAATTAAAACACAAGAATTCCGTCGTGGAAAGTTGGCAGTTTCGGAACGCCTTCTTTTGTGGCGTGCATGATACTTCACGCATTCCTTTAATTATTCATCTCAGCAAGAAATCCGATCAGATCCTCTAGAGGATTTTTCTCGTGATTTGCGCGTGAATTCCGACAAATTTCGAATTTCGTCACTTAAATGTACCAAAAGAGTACTGAATTTCTTGGAAATGCACTGAAAAAGTACTGTAAACTTTCATAATGTTTTCAAACCAGTTTTAGTAAACGTCCCATTTTTGCGACACAAGAATTCCGATATGGAAAGTTGGCAGTTTGGAAAACGCCTTCGATTGTGGCGTGATACCTCACGCATTCCGCAGAGCACGAATAGTTGTATCGCTGCGCCTCGGCAATGCGATGGAAGGTTAATATTGAAGCAGTCTCCATGCGCTGGCCTTGTCGGTGTTCCTTTGCCGCTATCGCAGTTTTGGTCACATTGTTTAAGTGTGCTCAAGCTAGGATTGTACTTAGCAAATTGATGGTTTTTATAGAATAATTAAAAACAAGACGACGGTTCCAACGTTAAGCCGTTGGAGAGCGTTCACCGTAGCACCTCGTCAATATGTAAAAGTGGTTTCTCGCGGACGGAAGAGAGTGCTGTAAGATGCCGTTGAACTAAATGTGGAGCGTATATATAACCTAGGAAACATATATCTGTGTAAGAATTGACTTGTCATCATACCTAGAGTAAAATATAGGGGTCTTTAGTGAAGGGGTACTTTGTACCCAACCATTTGTTTTAGATCTATGACGACTAAAAATTTGAACGATCCTTGAAAGAGTCATTAAATAAAAGTACGTTGCAGGGTTTTAAAACGTATAGATATTAATTTCTCAAAGACAAGCATACAGGCATTACACAAAGTGGACAAAATAAGAGAAAAAAGGTAGAAATGGTACATAAAAAAAATTGAGAAAATAGGTATTGCTTGCCGCCACGAAAAATGACGCCGATTCCCATGGAGCAGTGCAGGCTTTTACCAATGGATACATTAGTAACATACCCGATGCAAACAAGATGTGCGCATACACGTAACTGTTGCACTAGCTCGTAAGATCAGCCATTCCATTCATCTCATGCTCCGAATTTTACGCGACGTGACACGAGAATCTCGATATGGAAAGTTGGCAGTTTCGAAAACGCCTTTAATTGTAGCGTGATACCTTACGCATTCCGGAGAGTAAGAATAGTTGTATCGCTGCGCCTTGGCAATGCGATGGAAGATTAATATTGAAGTATCCTCCACGCTGACCTTGTCGGTTTATTTTCTTGCCTCTATGGGTTACCTATGTGTGCAAGCTAAGATTGTATTTAGTAATGGATACATTTTATAGATGATTATAAATAAACATGCTATAAGAAATATAATTTAATGGGAACTCATATTAACAGTCAACTTAAATCAATTTTCGTCATTGGGGGCCCAAAATCCTAGATCCAAAATCCTTTAGAGGATCTGATCGGATTTCTCGCTGAGATGAATAATTAAAGGAATGCGTAAGTAAAGTATCACGCCACAAAAGAAGGCGTTCTGAAACTGTTAACTTTCCACGTCGGAATTCTTGTGTTTTAATTCCTCAATAAACCATCAATTTGCTGAATACAATCCTAGCTTGAGCACACTTAAACTATGCGGCCGAAACTGCGATAGCGGCAGCGGAAAGCCGACAAGGTCAGCGCATGGAGACTGCTTCAATATTAACCTTATTCCATCGCTTTGCCAAGGCGCAACGATACAACTATTCGTACACTTAAGAATGCGTAAAGTATCACGCCACAATTGAAGGCGTTTTCGAAACTGCCAATTTTCCACATCGGGATTCTTGGGTCGCCTAAATAGGGCGTCCACTAAAACTGGTGGGAAAATATTTAAAAATTTTACAGTACTTTTTCACTATATTTCCAAAAAATTCAGTACCTTATAAACAGAAATATTCAATACTTTTTGGGTACCTTCCGGTGGCGAAATTCGAAAATTGTTCGAAATTCACGCCTAAGTCGCGAGAAAAATGACGCAGCCGGGAAATTCGAATCTCATTGGTGGTCTGTGGATCACCCGGCTTCCAATCGCGATCAATCGGGAAAAGACTGCCCTAAGAATCATTGCGGAACCGATTCATCGCTATTTTCATCCGATAATATTGCAATAAATCGACGTCGAAAAAATCGGGATACATTCTCCGATCAAATCGCAACTTATCGCGATCACTGCCACTTGGACAGTGTGAATGCCCTTAAGACGTGTGCGTTGTCACTGTGACGCGCTCTTTAAAAATTCGATATCAACCTTGAGTGGAGTGATCTGAAAGTTATTGCCGGCTATCACCCGTCCTCTGATTTCTCCGGACTCTTGATAACTTGCAGTTTGTCTTTTCCGTATCGCTGGCGCCTACATTTTAATTCTCTCGTTCCGCCATTCGTTCGTTACATTTTCTGAACGAGCTGGAAAGAGAGAGACTTGTAGGTTTGCTGGAGAGAATTTCAATCTTGATTGCACTGAAACGTCCCCGACACAGTAGCGGTAAGTTGTTTCCTATCACAGTGAAGCTAGGCTGTTTTTCGCGCGGAGGTCAAAGTTGTGTCGTTTTGAAATAAAACCGGCCGACCTGGATCATCTTTTTGGTGACTAAAGTCAAAATTTTGGATTAAATTCAACTATAATCTGGTGAGTTGGCGGTTTTATCATGGTTTATGCGTGGCAGTTAGTGCCCGATACGATAGTTAGTGTTCCAATTACTTTCAAATCAAATATCTCGACATCATTCGAGTAACTCGCAAGGAATATGGAGATGAGACTATGGTTGGAACTAAGGGGGCCTGCCCCCCCGCCCCCATAAAAAAATCTACTTTGCCCCACTCAAGAAATTTGAGGGATTTCGCTCGGTAATTGGGTGACACCTTTCAATTTCGAAATTGTAATTTGACTGATTATTGGATAGATTTGAGCAAAACAGTCACATCTATGTTTCAGTGTTCCAAAATCTTATCTCTTGATTTGATTTCCCTGAAGGGCACCAAGCAATATTCCCACTTGCAATTTGTCGGCATTTTTCTTGTCCATACGAAAATTATTTAAAATTGTAAGCAAAAATATTTTTCGGTTTCCTTTCAAATAATTAAATTATTAGATGGGATTTGAAACACTGAAATGTAGACGACATGACTTTGGCGCTTAACTGTATCAAAATTTTGGTGAGAACAGCTGACATTTGCTCCTGGTACGAATTAATTTCTCAAAATTTCCTCTAGACGCCCCTCTGAGCCTAGAGAAATCTCCCAAACTCGCTTTTGGAGCTGGAAAAGTCCCACAGAATCCATCTCTTTTATAGTACACCCTTGATGAAGTGTTATTCGGGCTCCGGCTCCCCCATTAAAAGCTCCGGCTAATTCTGCCGTGCTAAAGGAAGAACGCCGTATGATCCCTCAGACGTTGCCATGTTTTCTCCATTAAAAACCCGATTTACTAGGAAAATTGTGGATATTTTTCTTCAATTTTTTCAGACAATTTTGTTCGCAATTTTATCGTAAGCGTCTGAAAATTTCGAAGAAAAAAATGCATAATTTTCTTCAAACCTATAAGTTTTATCCGGGGCGATTTGGCAACTCTTGAATGTTCATACGGCATTCTTCCTCAGCATTGCGAGTTAGATGGAAAATTTACTGAACACATTGAAAAAATCGCATAACAATCGGGATTTTTTGCAATTTGGAATCAACAAGAAGAGGAAAAATCTCAGAAATGTGCTCATAAATTAGTTGAAAAATAGGGTGGTCAACCTGATTCACCCCTCCTCTCTCTCAAAGTGCACGCATCTTCGACTGTCAGCGGATGTAATCAGCAGCGTTGCCCCAGGTCACGGTTTCAGTTATCAATCTTCTTTACTTACTATTATTTTAATTTTTTTTTCTTATTCGTGCAGTTTGACTTGCAATGGTTTCCGCAATTTCATAGGCTTTATAATGAGCCAGACAGACTAGAGGTGGCCAGAGTGCACGAATGTACAGTTTTCATTCTAATGCACATTTGATCAAATTACACTATTTTTTTAACATATTAGCTGATTAAGCAAATTCGTATACAGATTTGAGATGTCAAAGTGGGCTTATCCATGCTAAAAGGATCTACCTATGCACAAATAAATGGATCAAAAGGAGTAGTATAAGCTAAAACTCAATTGAACAAAAATTATACAGGTAAAAGATTGAAATATTTAGACTTATATACTTGTACAAAAAATATATAAAAATGTGTTAATGATGATAAAGCCCCTAGATCTACATATGGGGACTGGGGAGAGGAGGGGGAGATTTAGAGGGGGAGGGGGCAGTTTATGGGGGGAAAAGGAATTTGGGACCTTGGATATAAAAGACGAGGTATGAAAATCATTAAATTCTTCAAAAATAGAGAAAAAAGCATCGCAGCTATCAAATAACCATATATTCTCAACACGGGCCTCGGTGGCCCGGGTTAGCATTCGTGTAGGTAAAAACGGTTAGTCACCTAAGAGTTAATCATCAGATTTAATATGCATTGATTATCTTCACGTTATATATAAATATAAAAAAATCCTATCTTCCTATCCTATCATTCTTTTGCAGTAAAACTTGCGTTTCAAAATGGCTTTGAGATGGTCGCTGGAGGAGGCTTTGCGAGTGTTCAAATTACCGATGGCAGACTTGATGTATCAGGCCCAGTCTACCCACCGGGCCAACTTCAACCCTAACGAAATGCAAATCAGCACGCTTCTGAGCATCAAGACGGGCGCTTGCCCAGAAAACTGCTCGTACTGTCCCCAGTCAGCCTACTACAAAACGGAGATCAAGAAGGAGCCTCTGATGGATTTAGCGGAGGTTGTTGCCGCCGCGAAGGCAGCCAAAGAGGGTGGAAGTACCCGTTTCTGCATGGGTGCTGCTTGGCGTGGACCCACTGACAGGAATCTCCCGTTGGTCTGTGATATGGTCAAAGAGGTATGCAGTAAATATAATAATAACTAGGTATATTAATAATGCTATGATGATAAAGTCGACAAATGCGTACCTATCACCATCCCAACAACCCATAATGGAGATGTTGCATGTGTGAGGAATTCGCGATTTGACTGTTGCTTCTTTTGTAAAAGTTCGCGAGAAACACGATGGTGCCATTGGTTTTCTCTGAAATCAACTCCCAAGTTCAGGAAAAGCTCTGAAGTTGAGGCCAAAATGGAGGGATATCCCATTCTACCCTGAGAGTGAACTTCTACATCAAGATAAACTCTCCATGCAAAGATAGGGAGCAAATACAATGGCAGGGTTGCCGTGTTTTCAGTTTTGGAGTCCCTAAATAAATTGGCAACCCTGTCAACACAGAGTGGAGCGACGTGTTTACAGTGCAAACGTGCACTAGCGCCTACAAACCTAACGGGGATACTTGACGCATTGCGCAATGCTTGAAGTATCCTTGTTAGGTTTGAAGGCGCCAATGCGCTAGTCGCCTTCGCCAGCCGAGACGCGGCGCGGCGCGGCGTGCCACGGCGCCTCAAGCAGCTATTTCACAACAGAGGTGTTGCACAGTATCATACGAAATTGAAGGCGCTCCTATACGTATTAAGAATGACAGACATTCTTTAAGAGTACGAAGCTGTCCTCGCAAAATAAATCAAGATACTAAGAATTAAGAAGAAGTAAAGAATAGGTAATGTCTCCATGCGTCGAGCAATTCGTGTTTGTCGGTACGCTTATTTTTCTACCGCTGCGTTAAAGTCTCTAGTGTGATCTCTGCATTTTGTAGTTTTGGCGATCCCTTGTATGCTTTGATTTGAGGAAATTTTAAAATATCACATAGGTTGTCCAAAAAGTACCTGGACTGGTTTTCAGAGGAAGAGGGAAATCTCAACAAGTCGGAGGGAAGTTAGGACAAACCATTAAAAGATTAGAAAAAAAATGCCCTCTAAAAACGGTAGGGGGTGCCGATTTTTTGTATATTCAAACTCGGATATCTTTGTCAATTTTTGACCAAATGAATTGATCTCAGCCTTATTCGATAGCTATTGAGTTAATCTGTAAAATGAAAGCAAGACCAATTCGCTAGCTAGCTTAGATTTTGCATCACCGCACCAGTCCAGGTACTTTTTGGACACCCTATGTAATGTGCCCATACTTCAAACAGCTCCCGTTTGTTGGTGCGCCTACTTTTCTGCGCTGTATTAAAGTCTTTGCAGCGATCCGGGGGGATTTTTTTTTCCGGCGTACCCTAGTGTGTGTACACCGTCCATAAACTTTTTTTCAGTAATTTTTTTATGTTGAAAATAGAGTGCGATATCTCGGTGAATATTGAACGTAGAAGGTTGCTGTATACACTGATCTTTTTATTTTTGTCTAATCTACGAGAATCAAGCATCAAAACGCGATTCTACACGGAGAAAAAAACTTCGTGTATTGGACCCGAAGTTGAGGTCATATGGATCTCTGGAGTTTCCTGATCACGCATCCGAAAACTTGAGGTCGAGCCGCCGAAGTTCGGGTCAGACATCGAGGCACATTCGGTATATACCGGAGTACTTCAGATGTGTGACCCAACCCTTCGGTATATATCGAAGTACTTCTAGAAGTCTGCAGACCCGAACTTCGGCAACTTGATCTCAAGTTTTCAGATACGTGATCCGAAAACTTCAGAGATCCATATGACCTCAACTTCGGGTCCCACGCACGAAGTTTTTTTCTCCGTTTACGACCAGCGCAACTGGCCCATTTACCATTGTCAGGTGTTTACAGGTGAAGAAGTTGGGTCTAGAGACTTGCGTTACATTAGGACTTCTGAAGGACCGCCACGCGGTACAACTAAAAGAGGCCGGACTGGACTTCTACAACCACAACATCGACACGTCGCCGGAGTACTACAAGAAGATCATCTCGACGAGGACTTTCGAGGATCGAATCCGGACCCTGGAGCACGTGCGCAACGCCGGGATCAAGGTCTGCTGCGGCGGGATCCTCGGGATGGGCGAGAACACCGAGGACCGGATCAAGATGCTCCTGGTGTTGGCGAACCTGGAGGAGCCTCCTGAATCAGTCCCGATCAATCAGCTGATTCCGATCCCTGGGACTCCACTCGCCGATGCGGATCCCGTCGAGGGCACCGACTTCGTGCGGACCATCGCTCTCACCCGGGTCATGATGCCCAAGGCCTACATCCGTCTCTCCGCCGGCCGGGAGAACATGTCCGAGGAGATGCAGACGCTCTGTTTTTTGGCGGGAGTCAACTCTATCTTCTACGGCGAGAAGCTCCTCACGGCCAAGAACTTCCAGCCGAGCAAGGACGATCAGTTACTCAGTAAGCTCGGCTTCAAGAAGATGGAGATCGATGAGACGCCGGCCAGCAGTCAGTGTAAGGAGGCGGCCATTGGGTGATTTAGACTAGTTCTTTGACAACAATTGAATCAGTGAGAACGAAAACACACCAACTCAATCACTCGAAAATGCTCAATTTCCATTGAAGACACTTGACTTACATAAAGGTCATTGCAGTTAGCGCATCTGTTCCAACTTGGACCTTGAAAGTGTACATAAGTGCTTGTGTCTTGGCAGCAAACATATTTTTCTGAAACTAACTTCTTCACCTACTGTACAGTTTTGTGTGTGTCTTGATTATTTTAATTTTTCCGAGTTGGTGTGTTTTCGTTCTCACTGATTAAATTCAGATTACGGTTCTAGACAGGGTCATCCGAAAGTCCCGCACCAACCCTGTGACCCCTAACAATCTTGTTAAGGTTTGTGCCCTTTTTCAAGATGGTCCCTGTATTTTAGACAAACTGATTGCGGTACTGCCGTACTGAGGAAGAACGCCGTATGAACATTCGAGAGTTGTCAAATTTCTCCGAATAAAACGTGTATTTTTGAGGAAAGTTATGCGTATTTTTCCTCGAAATTTTGTGATATTTCGGATTATCTCGGGAACGAAATTGTCTGAAAAATTGGAAGAAAAATATTCAGAATTTAACGAGTGAATTTGTTGGTTATTAAGGGAAATATGGCAACGCCTGAAGGCTCATACGGAGTTTTTCGTTAGCACGGTAGTGCAGTAGACGCACGAGTCATTCAGCCAGAAAGTTGATGATGTAGCCAAGAGCTTTATGCTGATTTTTAACGCACATTGGCTACGCCACCAACTCCCTGGCTTTATTTTAGAGGTTTCCGAAAGTCATTTCTTTTGCCCTTGGACACTCACAAAATTTCAAGTCTTATTCTCAGTTTGTTCAAAAGGTACGGGAGTGATTTCTGATGCTCAGGAGCGAGGCGTGAATGACCGATTTTCAATATTTTCCCATTTGAGGCCACGGCAAAGAATTTAGATTATTAAGGTGTTCGTTGCGGACGCCCTATTAAACGATTCTTGTCAATAGGTTTAAATGTCAGATCAATCGATATGCCGCGAAACACGCCACGCTACCTCTATTGCTAGTGGTGTGGGACTTTAGGATCATCCTGTATGCGTATGGAAGCATATCGGGATGGCAAAAGTGCAAAACCTCGTATCTCTGTTCCTGACGTTGCTGATTTCCTTTGAACTAGGCAACATAATTTCACGAAAACTTCCTCGATTCTTCTCCTCTGTTGCTGCAAGGTTGGCTTGTTTTTCTTCGAGAGAATGAAAGAGGAGCGGAAATTTTGCAACACCGTGGTTTCGCACTTTGGCCATCGATATAAGATCAAAAAGACATGGGAAGAGAGTATTCCTCTTCACGCAGGCGCTTTTTGACGAACCTAACGTGAAAAAACTCGTAAATATCGCCTCACAAGCAGCAACCGAAGAAAAAAAATAACATTACTTCTCGCGAGTACTTACTACTAATACTCACTAGACCTACTTTAGGTCTAGATCCCTAGTTCGGAACAATCAAGAGCCACATAGAAAATAACAAAACTAGTATTCCTCCTAATATGAAATTGTTCAATTTGTATGGTTTGAATTGTGTGATAAAAGTGAGAATGGATAAACTTCAGATTTTTAACATACTTTTGGACGAATAACTAAACTATAATCTGTTAGTAAGAAGCTCATGAGAATGAGGAGCTTTTGAAACATTTTATAATGAAAGCCCGTGAACTTAGCTCCTCTACCTATGAATTTTAATATTTTTTCATTTTGTTCCGCAACTAATTGCTCACGTCCAAAAATCATATAATTGTTCCTTTTAATAGGCTTGTGTCTCACTAACCTTTAAGAGAGAACAATGTCAAAAATGATGCACAATAACTAAGACAATTCGATAATGTATCAATGTGACTAATTTTTATCTGTTTGTTCGTAAAATTTATGCAACCAATATTTACTTACCTACAACGTGCTTTTATTTTTACACCCCTTTCTTGAAACGTTCATGAAAATTTTAATCTGCACATTTTCAGGCAAAATTCGCCTTTGGCATTCTTCCAAACATCATTAGGTTTGATGCGAGACGAAATCAAGCTTTTAGACAAATTAGAGTCCATACAAAAGAGGAAAACAGGTAAACGGGTAAAAATTCCACCTTCTGCCTCATTAGAGATCGAGTGTGTTTGGAGGAAAATCCATAAGAGATCATTTGATCTTCAGATGAATACGTATATAAACCAAAGGTTTAACTCTTTGAATTAGGTACAACCGCCAAATTCATACATTATTATGAATATTATTTTTAAAATACTAATTAACGAAGACATTATTGTCCGTTTGAAACTAGAGAAAGGCTCCGTGTGATGACAGGATTGAAATGAAAGAACCCAAAAATATGCAAAATAATAAACAAAATGGCTGCCAAAAGTGATGCAAGAGGTTGCATTAATATTCCTCGCATGTCATATCAGAAAAAAAGAGGAACACATTTTATGTGTCAAAGTAAGAAATGTGCTGCCGTGCCAAAAACGCCGTGAGAGCGTTAAAATGTTGCCAGATTTCCCTAATCGAAAAATGTGTTGTTAAGGAAAGTCATGAATAATGCCCCCTGAAATTTTAAGATAGGCACACTCGCTGTCAGCAGTAATTTTTAAAATCGAACTTAAAACAGTGGGTAAAGGAGGGGAAAAATTACAAGAATAAAAATGCATCGATTAGGGAACCTTTTATTGGTATCAAAATTGTGTCAGATTATGAAAATTATTGAGATGTACTGATCTAAAATGCAGAGGAACAATGGATAAGTGGACCTTCGGATGGTAGGGACACCCACGACCTCGACCAAGAAGGTCAAAGCTGGTCTGATGAGGTCGACTGGTGAAGCTTACAGCTGGTTGGTGTCCTCCCTTGTAGCAAAGGTTCGTGAAAAACTTGTAAAAAAATTGAGAAACTTGTGAAATAAAGATGCACAACACATACAAAACTCGGAAAAAAGATCCCAGTTGATAAATTAGGAATCATTTTTCGTGTTTTACCAGTCAAAATTTTGAAAATTCACTCGTAAATAAATGGTAAATTTTACGAGTTTAGAATGGACGTATTTCTATACCAAAGAGACCTATGTGGAGGTGAGAAATATGGGGTGTGCTCGTTAGTTCTCTTTGCTTATTAGTTAATGAGAATAATTCTGCGCCAGTGACGTCAGCGGCAACGAACGAGCTCCGGAACGACAGGAGGGTCGTTGGCGGGACTCTTTAACTCATGAGCCCTGTCCACAACGCTCTCTTGCCATGCCCGCGGCTCATGAATTCCGCATTCAGTTGGCACATAGGTCTCTTTGATAGAATGTAAAATCCCGCTTTTCCAATTATTCAAAAGGAATCACGCCCACTTTTACATTGCTTCTTATGCAGCTTTCTAGAGCACACCCCATATTTCTCACCTCCACATAGGTCTGTTTGGTAGAAATACGTCCAAATGTAAAAACTGAAAATTGAAAAAAACTGCTTTCTTTTACAAATATTTTACGAGTTGGTGCGATTCTCAAGTTTTTTACGATATTTTTACAACTTTTTCATGAGCCTTTGCTACAAGGGCTGTGGCGATTCTTGAAAATTAGCCCCACTGTTTTTCCTCCATTTAAACGTATGTAAAACAATCGATTCTTGATGAGGCGGTTTCCCTCATCTAAAATCCGTATTATAAATGGAGCGAAAACAGGGTTGCCAACTCAGAAAATCGCCACCGTTCTGCCGTGCTAAGGAAAAATGCCGTATGAACCTTCAGGTGTTGCCAAATTTCCTTTGATAAAACACGAATTTCTCGGTAAAAATATGAATATTTTTCTCCCAATTTTTCGGATAATTTTGTTTGCAACTTCACTCAAAGTTCCTGAAAGTTTCAGGCAAAAATATTCATTAATTTCCTCGAAAATAAACATTTTAGTGAAGGAAATTTGGCAACTCTCGATTGTTCATACGGCGTTTTTCCTTAACACGGCAGCATTGGCGTTCGCGGTGGCGGTCACCGCGATGATCTTGACAGGCTCAAGGCTTGATGGGCTCAAAAATCAGCTGTCTTGCCGAAAACCCTCATAGGTTGGGGTTCTCCTTCTGATCGTGCTGGTCGGATCCAGAGTAGGTCTCGTGGGGTCTCTCTCACGTAATCAACCCCTCAAATTGTCGCTACTTTCCGAAGGGAACGAATCGGTCAAGATGGAGACGAGGCGGGGCTGTTTTGGGCGTCGTTTTTCAGGTAGATGCCAGATGCAGAGGCGTCCTCCAAACAAACTATGTGACATTTTTTGAAAAAATTAAGGTTAGTATTGAACATTAAAAATAGAGCCCAAGAGGAAAGCAAGTTGAGCATGCAATTTGAATTCCGGGCCGAGTGGCACCCCCTACTTCTACGAGTCATCTCTGATTGGCTGATTCGACTGGTGCATGCCCATTTTCTGGAGTCCTTACGGGGGTCATTTTTCATCGATAATATCTCAAAAGCAAGGAAATATTTATACGGTGGAGATTTCAGAAACAATCCTCCAGGTTTTTTTTGAAGAGATTGATGAGTAGAACATAATTTTTTTTTTTTTTTAGACAAACCGAACAGTTCCACCTGGAATTTTGTTTTTCATGACACCAAATGTCATATTTTAAGTTGAAAAAACGTAATTCCAGGTTAAACTTTTCGGTGTGGTTGAGAAAAAATTGTCATGTATTACCCATCAATCTCTTCAGAAAAATCTGGAGAATCGCTTTCTGAAATTTTTGACGCGTAAATTTTTCCTTGTTTTCGAATTATATTCGATGAAAAATTATGATGTTACTTTCTTTAAGGGCTCCAGAAAGTGAGCACCAGGCGAATCAGCCAATCAGAGACGACTCGTAAAAGTAGGGGGTGACACTTAGCCCGGAATTCAAATTGCTGCTCTTGATTTCTCTTTGATAGAGTCAGTCTTTAAGTCTAACACCGAGAAAAAGTGATATGATTTATGTAGAAATAATCTTGAACTTTCCATCGACAAGATTTCCTCTTGAATGGATTGACGGGTGCTGCGGACCTCGTTCTGTATGCTCACAATGTTTTTCTATGGTGCTTCGTTCCGTTTGCTAGAACACGCTATCCGGGGCTCTAAAATATTCAAAAGGAACTCAAATTGGCACTTAGTTCCTTTTAGTAAAAATATACGTCCATGTACATATAAGCATGTATCTCCTTTATTTATAAGAAGATCAAGCCGTGCTAGCAGTATTGGTTCAAATCTTTTGTCAATCCAGGAATAAAGGTAGGCAAATTAAGCCTCCTGCCGGCTGATTATTGAAATTGATAGACAAAGCGATAGACAAAGAAGACATAGGGAGTATGGAACGATCCTATTAGTTGAACAAGTGGTTCTCCTAGACTAAGGGGGAAAATGATAGACCAACTGTAGCGCCCTTTGTCGGTTACCGTTAGTTAGTCTATGGCTTATCTACCCTCTTCCCCCCCCCTCCACCAATGGAAGCAGTGCCCCATTTTCCTTCTATCTTGTATGTTATCGCTTTATCCATCAATTTCAATAATCAGCCCGCTGGCAAGGTCTTGTTGAAGTGTAAGTACCTCAGTATTCATCCTTTTGTGACTTGATATTCATGCCATCACCAGTCCAGTTCAGTCGGGTACTCTCCGGTCAAGCAGGCAGTGCAGTGTCCGACACCATCCTTTTCTCGTGGGACAAGCTGCCGCCTCACTGCTATTTTCAAACCTTCCACAGACAGGTATGCCAAGCTATCAGCCCCTGAAAAGTTCAAGATCACCTAGAGATAATAAAAATGCGCAAATGGTGCGTACAGATGACATAAGACAGGCTGACAAGTAGCAGAACGCATCGGGATGAATCGCATAATCTTAATTGAGGGGCTTCGAGGCCGAGACGCTTAAGTGCAGTTTTTAAAAAAAAATTGACATAATAATGATTTTAAGTAAAACCAGTTTTAATGCATTTTCTATGAACAAATCACTGTGTGTTTTAATTTTGATTTTATTTCAGTAACTTGGATGTACGTGTTGTAGATTCAAAAACTGAAGACGCTCTCGCTTTACGAAGACTAAACTGAGTTGATTGTGGCGCCTTGATGCAACTATACGAGCTCCACGGATGCGCGTGTTGCATATTCAAAAATTGAAGGCGCTCCCACTTTTTCCTCTTTTACAGAGATGCATAGGAACCGAATGACAGACGGTTGAATTGTTCTTCAAAAATATAATATGAGAGCGGAAATTTTGAAACACCGTAAACGAGGTACGCGGTTTTGGCGTTTCATTATCGTTATGCGTGAGCTATTTTTCTTCCGGAGGAGGGCAAAGCTAAATCAACTTTTATCAAAAGTCGTCGACTGATCCCTCACTGAGCAAAATCTTACCAGTGTGCTTCGCCAGCTGAACGTTATCCAGCTTATTTGCTATGAGCTCTTCGCGTGTTGGAATATTTATTCCCATGTAACACGGGTAATGGAGTGGTGGAGATGCTATCCGGACGTGAACCTGAAATAGTAAAAAAAGAACGAAACTAACTTTACTATTTCGCTCTACAGACAGGATGCATCGAAATCTTAAATTCTTTGTAATTTTTATTATAATATCATCGAATCGAATAAACATTGGATTTAATGACTTAACGAACTAAAAATTTAGAAAATTCAAAGTTTCCATACGACTTCCTTTAAATCGCAAAGGTGAGGGGGGGGGGTGTTATTAATATCGATTCTGTAACTCTTGAGTTTTTTGTTTTACCCATAGTTCTCCTGTTTAATGCCCTGTGGTTTGAAATGTAGCTCTAACCGTGTAGTGATGGTTGTGATGATCGATAAATGGCATTGGGTATTGATGACTTCAAATGTAGGGATACTATATGGGATGATATTCTGTTTGGGGTTTCTCTGCCTTAAAGCCAAAGAATTACTGCTGCCGAAACAAAAGTTAGGGGCTATATAGACGTACCTTCCGTTCCGGGCTCAGAGGACGAACGTTCCGGGAGCTGGAGCCGTAGCTTCGATTGCTCCGGGTGCTTCGCCCGGAACTTTCGGCCTCTGAGTCCGGAACGCGGACGGTATGTCTATCTAGCCCGTAAGTACGGCTCCCACGGCCGGAGTTTTTTTTCAGTGTCAGAATAGCCTCTAGTGCCAGTATAAGCGTTCATTATAAATCAAACTCTGGCAGAGAGTTCCATTTTGTAGGTGTAGTGTGCACGTAGGAGAAGGCGAGATAGGTTTAATCCTAAAATAAATAAAATCATACAACTTTGCTCAACTGGCGCAATGTCGGGACTCGATTTTCTAGTGAGCCCGAGAGAGTATATTGATACATCTTAAGAATCATCTTCAAATACAATTACGCCCTCTTATAAGTAAGTGGCGATAAAGTAAATGATGATTACATTATAAGTACGGATTGAGATAAGGTGTTTTCTCTTTTGGACTCACCTCAGTAGCGCCTGCATCTCGTAGTAATTTGATGATGGGACCAATAGTATTACCCCTCACTATTGAATCATCGATAAGAATGAGCCTTTTTCCGGCCACATTTTCTGAGAGAGCACCAAATTTTTTGGCCACTCCAAGTTGCCTTAATCGAGCGCTCGGCTGGATAAAGGTTCTTCCCACGTACCTGTTTTTGCAAAGCACCTCGGCAAACGGTATACCTGACTGTTAAAATAATAAGAATTGGAGGATCAAATTGTTTTGAAGATGTTAGAATTAATAATAGAATTAATTTGTTCCAACATGCCAAAATTTTTTTTTTTATAATATAGAGATAAGTTTGTTAAAAAATACAAGGTGGAACAGGGGAGGACAGGGATACCTCTTCTGCCCTTAAATTACTCTTAGTTATTAATATTTAAAGTACTTTTAGTATCTAATAAACTATACCTGATTAAGATATCAATACATGCAATAAGCTAAAATAAAAATATGTTTCAATAGACTCTTTTTCTGGCCCGAAAATTTCAGCGAATAATGTTGAAAGAACGAAAACAAAAAAATGTTAACGAAATTGAATGCTAAAATGATTAGACCTACTTTATAGGAAAGTACAGTAAGGAGGAAGATTTGCAACGTCCTAAACCGAGATAAGTGGTTTGTTACTTTTACTGTATAAAGGTTCAGATTATATAGATAAAGATGAATCCTCTTTTAGTAGTTCAAGTGCCGTTGCATGAACGCAAATAATTAAGACAGCTTATGGCTCCAAAAAGTTATGTTAAGAGACTCTCTAGGTACAGTCAATGATTAGTTTTAAAGCTCGGGACATTTCAGCATGGAAAAAAGAGAGGGCGGAGATGATATTGATATTTACAGTTAATTATTTTAGTACCCCAATAAATTAGGTTACTAACCCCGTTGTTGCAGTACTACCACAATTAATCGAAAATGTCACATCATCCAACACTTTGGGGCAGTATCACAATTTTAGAGGATAACCCCTAACACTAATACCTCCTTGAGAGTATTTATTTTCAACTAAAAAAGTAGGGATTTATTTTTTCAAAATGGAACATTAATTTAACTTACCTGACGAGAAAAACCATGAGCAGCCGCAGTTCCTGATTCAGGAACTGAGCTGACAATATCAGCCTCTATGCAAGCTTCTTTTGCCAATTCTCTGCCGCACTGCATACGAACAGAGTAGACCATTTGACCTGAAATGATGCAGGTCACCATGTATCAAGAGTTTTAAATTAGATAATTACGATAAATTTCCAGGATTAATTTTCCATTTTGCGGACAGACATTTTAGGAAATCAGCACATTAATGCCCTGGTAAAAATTGGCAGTAGAATCTGTGTTCCAAAATACCATAGACCTACAGCCAGTTGTAAGATTTCCAATAGCTTCTATAGCCGGCAACACAATTTCTTATAGCCTTTTATATCCGATAGCGATTAAGCAACAGCCTGGCGATAAAGTGTGCGCTAAAAGTTACTAATTACGGATGCTAGGACTTAGTGAGTTTTTGGACTACCCCTCTCTTTTATGGCCGCAGTATCTTGATTTATTTTGCGAGGAAAGCTCTGTACTTTTGAAGGATGCCTGCCATTCCTGATATGTTGGAGCGCCTTCAATTTCGTATGATACTGTGCAATACCTCTGGTGTGAAATAGTTGCTTCAAGCGCCGCGGTACGCTGCGGCGCGGCGGGCGGGCAGCCAGCGCTGAACGCGCATTGGCGCCTACAAACCTAACAGGGATACTTCACGCATTGCGCAATGCGTGAAGTATCCCTGTTAGGTTTGTAGGCGCCAATGCGCCGCTGCTTCGCTTTGTGTTATGCTCTAATATTTAATCTCGTGGAGTCAGCGTTTTTCAACTCATGACTTTGAAATGTTTGCACACGCTGTATGGATTATTCTCATTTTAATTGATGAAAAAAAAATATGCAGTAAAGGAAAATATATTGTGCGGTTTGTAAATATTAAGGTGATTCTGCACAAACTTAAAGATTTACAAAGCACACGAATTTCTACACAATTTCTTATAGCCTTTTATAGCCGATGGCGAAAAAGCAACAGCCAGGTGATAAAGTGTAAAAACCGGTGATAGGAACTACAGCCCGGTTGTATAATTTTTTATCGCTTCATGTAGCCCGGCCGTATGATTTTTTCCACTTTCTACAGCCAGCTATATGATTTTTTATAGCCTTCTTCAGTCGGCTATAAGAACTCCTATGGTATTTTGAAACGCAGCTCCTATCGCCAATTTTTACCAGGGTGTATGTATAAGGGATGTAACTATCTGAGGAAAGGACCATTTCCATTTTTTCCGTAACAGCTAATCGTATTGAGCGTGTGACAATGATTACAACCACACTATCATCCATGCAAGGTTCGTCTTAGGAAAAGTTAAATAAAGAGTCAATGTCTCTGTAATTCCTGTAAATCTTCTTTGCAGATTTGAAATAAAAAAAGTACAAAATAAAGAAACTTGTCGGGAAATATTTTCGATTTTTAGGATTTTTTCCGGCATCACTCACCTCAATTTAGCCTTCAAAATCGCCGGCTAGGCAACGTAATCACCCGAGAGCACGTATAAATGTATTCTCCATTCGAGGAACCTACCATAATTCCGTGCTATAATTTTATATAATTTTTAAGTACCTATTGTTTTTTTTTTTTTTTTTTTTTTTTTTTTCTTTAGGTGACCAGGGCAACCTGGAATAGGTAACCACTTGACAGGGCCTCAGCTAAGCCGAATCAGGCCGTAAAGCTTCGGAACCCTCTCAGTTCAATCAGCTGCCTCAATGTTGTCGAGAAATAGAAAACTTAAGGTGATTCGATGGACGCCATATTTTGTGTCAGAACGGCATGCGATATATCCCATCAATTGGTTCCATTTTTTCAGCTACTTGTCATTTTCCTCCAATTTTGAGATCGCAATTCTGTTGTCAGGAGATTAAAGCACTTACTAATTTTAATGTCCGTATGGGGGACTGTACTCAGTACTGTCACAGGTTTAGCAAGCCTGCGGACCCCAGCTGGTAGCCCCTGCCTTAAAGGGGGGTGGAGGTGGTCACCGGCTTCATGGCGTATGAACCACTCATCAGAGGGGCAGACAGGGCTCATAGCTGTGGTGAAAGCAGCCTGTCTAGGAGACGGTACTCCAAAATCAAACCCTGGTCCTCCAGGTTGGGGGTTGGGGCATCGGGCTAACTCCCCGATACCCGGAAAAAACTTAATGTTAAAAAGCCTAACAAAGATAGCCTCGGTGATAATGGAAAAAAACGGATTTTGCGACACAAACTACGGAAAAGGACAATGGTTTTTGGGACATGGAATGTACAGGGCATTTCTAATAAATTGACAGAGGTTGTATCGGAGGTAAAAAAGTATAATGTAGATGTCGCCGTGTTAACAGAAACGAAAAAGAAAGGCACAGGATCAGAAAACTTAGGATGTTATGATCTGTTCTATAGTGGTGTCAGTAAAGATCAACGCGCACAGCAAGGAGTCGCCATACTTATCCGGAAAAGTTTGCGTCCGTCTATAACTACTTGGGAAGCAGTAGACCAGCGGATCATCAGAATGCATCTTACACTGCATGGTCACAAGGTGGCCCTGTTAGGAGTATATGGTGTGAATGATGATGCTCCCGTCAATCTAAAGGATCAGTTCTTTGAGCAACTCAACGACGAGGTTCTGAGGGTTGGAAGGACAAGGGAGGTCATTATCATGGGAGATTTGAATGGTAGAACCGGACGAAGGAATGGTTCTAAAGTTGTTGGACCTTTCGGTGAAGAGGCGATGAATGACAACGGTGCACGCATTATTGATATGTGTGAACAAAACGAGTTGAAAATACTGAACGGATTCTACCAACATCGAGATATCCATAAGTACACGTGGGTTCAGCAAACTCGGGGGCTGAAGTCAATCATCGACTACGCGGTCACCAGGCAAACGAGTACCATGAAGGTTCAACAAGTAAGAGTTTGCCGGGGGTTCTCCTGTGGTAGTGATCACCATTTTCTCAAGGCGGAGATTGCATTTCCGGTTAAGTATGGGCTGCAGAGGAATACCTTGCAACATCAGAAGTGCCAGCCACAAGGAACGAAGATCGAACAAGTGCACTACAACATCGATAGCTTACAGCATGAAAGCGTGAAAGCGCTCTACAGGAAGCGGCTGGATGAGAAACTGGGAGTAGAAACTTTCGATACTGCAGAAGAGTTGTACCAGTTCATCAAAAGTTGCATACATTCAGCTGCGAAGGAAGCCCTGGGTATGTGTAATGAGAGCAAGGATGTACAGAAACCCTACTGGTGGGACAAAGAGGTAGAGGAGGTAATTGAAGAAAAGCGTAGGAAGTACCATGACTATCTGGCTTCTAGGACTGCAGACACCCGCGGCGCGTATAGGAAAGCCCAGGCGAGGGTTCGTCTTTTAATCACCAGGAAGAAAAACGAGTCTTGGGAGACCAACTGCTCAAGGATTGACACATACCTGGGGGGAAGGAAGAGTGCTGAGAGCTGGAAGCTGATCAAAGGCCTAAGAAGGGACATGAAACGGGACATTATATCTCCGATAACAATCTCACAGCTTGACGAACATTTTAATAAATTATTGACGGAAGGACGACCAGAGTTTCAAACGGGGAATGCTGAAAATATAGTCGAGGATCACTCAATGGAAATTCGAGTTGAGGAGGTGGTCAAAGCAATCAGGGAATTGATGAATGGAAGAGCTCCTGGGCCAGGAAACATTCCAGCCGAGTTAATTAAATGTGGGACTGGCAAGTTGGTTAACCATCTCAGGGATTTGCTGCAGAAGTGCATTGACGGTGATGACATCCCGAAAGAATGGAAAGAGGCCTGGATAACAGCGTCGCATAAAAAAGGAAGGAAGGATGACTGTGGGAACTACAGAGGGTTAGCGGTGACAGGAACGATAAGTAAAATTTATGGAAAAGTGTTGAAAGCGAAGATCGAAGAGGAGTGGACCCCGTTCGAGGCGGAGGAGCAAGCAGGTTTTAGGGCTGGTCGGTCTACCGCTGATCATCTGTTCTGTGTTACCCAGTTAACCGAAAAGAAGAGAATTGTTGGCCAGGAGCTTCATTTAGTGTTTTTGGATATTGAAAAGGCTTATGATAGTATTCCTCTTGTGAAACTCTGGGAAGTCCTAGAAGAAACTGGTTTTAGTAAAGGACTTATTGGGGCAGTCAAGCAGTTTTATCGGGGGGCTTTTGCTAGAATTAAGTGCCAAGGAAGGCTTTCAGACGGTTTTTTTGTCACCAAGGGGCTTAAGCAGGGATGTTGTCTGTCACCGACGCTGTTTAAGATATATCTAGAGCACGTTCTGAAGGAATGGAAAAGAAAGTGTGCCGGCATGGGCGTCCCTCTAAATGACCAAGAAACACTGTTCACGCTATGCTTTGCTGACGACCAGGTAGTCATAAGTCAAGATCACGATGACGCGGAGTATATGACCCGGAAGTTGGTGGAGGAGTACCGCAAATGGGGCCTCGAGGTTAGTGTCCGTAAGACAAAAAAGATGTCAGTCGGAGGTGCTCAGCAAAGCATAGTCCTGGAGGATGGTCAACATATAGAAAGTTGCGAACAATACAAGTACCTGGGGGTGAACCTGACTTCGGATGGGAAGCTGGATCAGGCCATTCGGGACCGTAATCTTCTAGGAAGGAAAGCCATCGCCATGCTTAATGGGATCCTTTGGGACCAAAGGATTTCCAAAGACAACAAGAAGAGGATTTATAACTCGGTTGTCAAGCCTATTATCACCTATGGCAGTGAAGTGTGGCAGTTGAAGAAGCGGACCCAAGAAATGCTCAAGGCGACCGAGATGGATTTCTGGCGAAGATCGGCTGGAATCTCGAGGAGAGAACGTGTCAGGAATGAACGTGTCCGAGAGATAATGGGCGTTGAGGGGACGATTGTGCACGATATCATGACCAAGCAATTGGTATGGTATGGGCATGTGCAGAGAATGGCTGATACCAGGTTGCCGAAGAAGGTGTTGGAGTGGGTCCCCCCAGGTAGGCGACGGAGAGGGCGTCCAGCCAAACGGTGGGTAGAGGGCATCCATGAAGAGATGGAGAGATGCCACCTTCCGGAGGATCTCTACCATGACAGATTCCTGTGGAGAATAGGCGTCGCAGAGCGCCCTAGCGCGCCGTAAAAGCGGCTCATACATACATACTAATTTTAACAAAGAAATTCAACGTAATAAAGGTGTGGTTTTTTTAGAGAGAAAATATAGCATTCGAGTGCATAGTTTCGCGATACCAGTATAGAATGCGATGTTTTTTCTCTAAAAAAAAACCACGCCTTTATTACGTTGAATTTCTTTGTTAAAATTGGTGAGTGCTTTAGTCTCCTGACAACAGAATTGCGATCTCAAAATTGGAGAAAAATGACAAGTAGCTGAAAAAATGAAACCAATTGATGCGATATATAGCATGCCTTTCTGACACAAAATATGATGTCCATCGAATCACCTTAAATTCGGAAGAGATTAAGGAACTATGAAAGAATTTACCTTCGAACACTGAGTCGGATCTGGCAAAGTACACATATTCGAAAATACAAAAAGCGGGCGGCTTATTATCTGGCCTCTCGACAGTTGATATGGTCTTAATCCCTGTTCTTGAAAGTTCGACGATTTCACCTGGATAAACTTCTCTCACATATCGAGCTCCAATCGACAGGAACCCGCATGACTCTGAGGATATAACCCAACCCTCTTCCCCAACATTTTCTGAAACATGTGAAACAAAATACGTAAATGCCAAGTATAAATAAACGCCGAACCCATAAATGATCACATCCATCAAAGTACCTATATCCAATGATTAAACAATTTAAAACGCGGGTAACAAGGCTAATTTACACGAATAGAACCAACATATTTCGGCTGAAAACTCAGCCTTATTTCTTAGCTGGATAAAATAGTAATAAGAAAAATGGTCAAAATCTAAAATAGTATACCTCAATTTTATTAATTTAACTAAATCTGGGTTTGAACTAAATTCTGTGCAAAATTCTTCGGTAAAATCCAATTTTTAAGCATCCAAATTCGAGTTTGAAATTTATTTCCGCTATAAGGCTTCATATAATTTAGAAACTTTAAACATGTTTTTCTCTAAATACCTAGCAAAAAGTACACTTAAGCGCCGTGTCCTCCAAGTTCCTCATTTTGGCCGAGTTTATTGTAACGGAACCAACCCACATTTTCGAAAAAATTGAGTTGAGACTGTTTTTAAGTTTCACTAACTATACATTTTCTCCTGCCAAAAACTCAAAGTCGGGAAAAAATTTAGTCTGCGAGAAGAAGAGTAAAATTTTATTTTATACATTGAGTCTTACGGAAGAATGAGACTCCAAACCTCTTTTTCTCAGTTTCAACTTCATGAGGGTTGGTTCCTCTCTGTTAAATAGCGGCCCATTCCATTGAAAGTTCAGATGATGAAAGTATGCACTTACCATCTTTACAATTTAGAGGAAGGATTTTCCCAATGCACAGTGGTCTGTTTCCGTAGGGATCCCTCACTCCGTAGATTCTGTCCTTCTCCATCAAAACAAGCGAATAAGAGAGAGGTGATAGCGACATAAGGTGTCTGATGCGAGCTGGCCAATCAACTCCATTTCTCTCTCCGTCTGGAGGGTTTAGGCACAAAGCCTGTGTGATCAGTTCACTGTCGGAGTGTGTAGAAAGCCCTACTCCTCGCTCTAATACCTATCCAAGTTGAAAGCGAGAACAAATTAGAATGCAGTTCTTTTTAAGTCCAAAAAATTGCAGAAGCTTGTCATCGATCGGTCCCATTGAACTAAAAAACACCCAAAAATTTAGTCCAAAATTTGAATACCGATGGCTGGGATCGAAAAATGCGCATCTCCGGGACAAAGTTTAAAATCATCGATCATATCTTACTATTATTAATTTTGAAAGATATACTGACCAAAATATATCCATGAATTTCTCCATAAAATTTCGATGAATAAGTGAAGGAAATTGCGGAGAATTCCAAGAAAAACTGTTGATTGGGTTTTTTGTAAAAAATAGTACATAAGCGAAGACTTGAAACGCCGCTTTTCGTTCCGTCGTTAACAGTGGAACGAACCATTAGAAGAAGCTGGACTTACAATTTTTTACTAAGCAAACCTGCAAATTTCGATAATCAATTCATCTCACTACACTGTATTGGGAAATTTTAAGAGAAAAACAACGGAGCCTCTTTTAAAGCTCTACGTTATGTATTCATGTAAATGTAAATTTTAAAGTCACCACATCATGTTCAACCTTTCCCATTAACTCACTCCACTTTGAATTGGAGTCAGGTATGTCGCGTAGTCGCGTTGTGTTTTGCGCACAGCCGCAAACACACATTTTTTTCCTATCAGTGTTTGAATAAATGTAATTCAAGAGCAGCAATATAATTATACAAATATTTTACAGAGTCACGTCATTTTGGTGTAAGTGTCAAACTTTTCTCAAAATTCGGGCTGGTGAATCTTGATGAGATTTTGTTGGTAAAATGGTTAATTACTTAAAATTTAAGAACAAGGACCCAGCGGATTTAATTTGGATAAAGATTCTAAAGATAATTTTATTATTAAAATACCTAACAGAGCTCCACCCATCCAAAGGGTAACGAGAGAAAAATAAGCGAGTTGAGCTTCGTAGTCAAGCGAAGTGAGTTCTAAAAATATATCGGGGTGTTAGTTTCGCCTTCAAATACAACTTCTGCAATAAGAGCAACAACACTTCTCATCTGAACAAAAATCTGATAGACAGCGCCACCGTCGCTGATAACTTGTTTTTGTTTACATTCTTATCTCTTGTTATCAGTATTATCAATTTCAGTGTATCACTCCTGCTTAGAATATGAATAAAATAAGCTATCGACGTGTCTTGTTTTCTGATCACTGTACAGGATTTATATTACAGACTTGTGAGTGTAATCGTAAACTGTGATACACTATTTGTTCTTTTATTTACAAGCCAAGCAAGGAAATGTGTAGGTATTGTGTTCAAGCTGTAAGATTTCCTCCTTGATTTGACTCCTTGAGTTATGGTGTTCAGGTATGTTAAATTTCACTTTGTTTACATCTTGTACCTTCATTGGACTGCTTGCAAAGTGATCAAATTAAAAGAATGATATTTTATAAATATGTATGTCGGTACGCGTCTGGGTATAGCTTCTGGAATGGGTTGAACTGATAAGGTTTGCCATCTTCTGTATGCATTCTGCTTCCTCTTACCCAAATTTTGCATTCAACTCATAAATTGATTACCATCTGAAGCAAGTATAGCCATGCTCTAACCAGTTTTAAATGAATAAATTGTTTCATTAAACACATAACTTATGTTGTCAACTGCAGCCCTGACGATGACACATTCTCCTCATTATTGTGGAACTTCCCCCATTTTTGAGCCATTCCAAAGATCATTAGAGTTAATTTCAAAACCGTAATGGTAGAAGCTAAGTTTCAATGAATTTAAAACATTACTTGTTCTGAAGTTAATTCATTTTCTGATTGGGCTACAAGCCGATGCGAGTTTTTGGAACTTTTACAGGAGCGAGCTGTCCTCTCATTAGCTTATCCTGTCCAAAATTACTTGCAGTCTTTCTAAAATTGATGTTATTGACTGGTTGAGATTGAGAAGATATAGGCACTTTTTTGAAAAAAGCCATCTGACTTGATTTTCCTGTTTTGGCTACCTATTGATGGACTTTCCATGCAGTCCAAGTTCCGAACGACACCCAATTAGGAAACCACAAGAAAGTGTTCCTCTACACCAACGTTTAATAAAGAAGAATGACGGTTTGATTCATGAATGTTCCCATAAATTAAGAAGGTGGGATTCCGTCCGGCCTTTCAAACAATTTTTCAAGTCCGGATTTTTCCTTTTTAGGACTTGAAATCGCTCAAGATAAATCATTTCAAATTTTTCCTAATCACATATTTTAGGATGATATTTTCTCACTCGACTCAAAGAGGGAGAGTGAGAAATTAGAACATACCTTCCTTCGCAGTTTTTCTTTATTGATAATTTCTCCATTATGTGCCACACACAAAACTCCATGGGCTGTGTGAACTACAAATGGCTGGCAGTTAACCTCTTCGGATGCTGCACTTGTCGAATATCTTGTGTGTCCGACGCCTAAACTCCCTGAGAAATAATCATACAAATATGTTGTCAATTTTTAATGCACATTGAGGATTTTGTGAGACACCGAGCTTGAGAGCAAGCGAAGGCGCCTTCAGTTTCTAATGTATGCAAAACGGACATCCAGAAAGTATGCATAATTGCATTCAGGCGTTATTGGTAAATTTCTCAAAGGCTCCAGCTTGCTTATAGAGTCTTTCTTTTTTTTGCAATGCAACCATTTTTCCCAGCCTGTTTTGTCCATACATCGTGTATAGAAATGATAGTTACGTCTATAGACTAGGTTCAACCTATTTTCAATGGGTAAAACTTTGTATGAGAAGCATGAGCGATTTGATTAAATTGATGCCTCACCTTTTAGCTGCCGGATTGATTCATCGTTGAAGATATTATTTATCATTCCCATGCCTTTTTTCACGTGAAAATTTTTTGCATTGTTACCTTCACTAGTTACTATGCCAGCACTTTCTTGGCCTCTGAAACAAATTTATCAATCCAGTTGAAAACATTTTCCTACTTCTTGAAATTACATGTCGACGGTGTCAGTCCGCAACCATGCATATCGGTTTGCGACGTTGCAGACTTCCTGTCATACTTTATTTTTTAAACGGAAAACTACTCAACGGCAATTCATTAAAACTGCCGTGATTTTTTTCTCTGTGCGAAGAAAATTCTGCAAAAAATTTAAGGAATGATGTCAATTTGTCTCCTTTGAAAAAAATAATATACCTGGAAACGGAGATTTACAAACACCGCAAAAGAGATGTACGTGGTTACGGACTTAAGCCGTCGATATGTTGAATAGAATGAATTATCGTAGAGAAATTCAACGAACTGATACAATCGTAATGATCCTGTCCAAAAATTTCTTAAAAGCGAAGAAAATAAAATGGCATCGCTAAATTAGAAATGCTTCCTTTTTTGAAGTGTAGCATAGATTGAATGATAGCGGACTTCAGAAGATTTCCATCTCTTTTCGACGCTCCGCAAACTCAGATGGAAGAAATTTCAAAATCTATGTGGTTTCACACACAAACGGCTACATTTAATTTGACGATTTCAACCAAAAACAGCTTAACTGCAAGCGTTGCCCAATCCTCTCGCATGTTTTTCTTTTTCTACGAAAAAACTGAGTAACGCTCTGACTTGAAAATAAACACAAGAATTATTTTCTTAATTTCTGAGGGGCATTTCCCATCAAGTTTCAAAGCTTTATTGTCTCGTTCTCTTCTTCTTGAAAAAGTATACTTGATTGGTAATTTGGCACTGTTAAATGGACGTATTTCTGCCAAACGAAAGTAGGTATGTGCATTATGACATGAGCCCTGTCATGCATATCTTCTTATGGGTCTTAGGACCTATATGTTAATGCACATAATTCCGTTTGGCAGAAACACGTCCAAATGCAGTTTGGTCGAAGACTGACCCTGGCAAAATCCGCGTCCAGCCAAGAAAGTAATTTACATTTAAATATGGAAACAATGCTTCAAAGCAGCTGACCATTGCCAATCGGAATGCATAGGGAGGGGGCGGCGGCAAGGGAAATGGTTTTTAAATAGGGTTTTTGTTTTTTCTTAAATTGAAAGAAATCAGGTTTAATTTTTTTTTTTTTTTTTTAAAAAAAAATATATTTCAAGAAAACTTCCTTTTCAAAAGAAAATCATTTTTGATTTCAATGGGATTTTCTTCAATTCAATTGAAGTGTTTTCCAATTTTAATGAAATTAAATGTATCGTTGATGACGCTTTACATCTCCTGGAGTAGAAAAATGGAAGGAAAGAAGAGAATAGTTTTTCTATAACATGGAATAAGGTATTTTCCAATCTTCGGAAATCTTGGAAGCGCTCTAGGCCGTTGTTTGCTTTGCTACCGCTTATCTACGTTTAGGATGGGTTGCGGTAATCTTATCTACCCAAGTTGTTTTTAATTTATAATGTAAAGTTTAAAGTTGAATTAACGAAAAGAAAGAAAAAACAGGAAAAAAGAAAAAAAGAGAAAAATTACCTATGCTGTAATGCGACCAGCCCAAGACAAATGACCTGTGCAACATCTATGTGCGTTGGCCAATCTCCTGCTGCAATACAACCAAACACACCACATTCGTGGGTCATGCCCGTCAGCATATTGTTGTTCTTGTTGGTCTCTTCTTTTGCCATCATTGTCCTGTAACATAGTGGAGAAAAACTTATTGCTTGCTTCGTTTCACCATTTGACGTGACGAAACCAAAAAGTGCAAACTGCCGAAAGTGCTTCAAAAATTTTTCGATCTTTTCATTCATGACCCGATACGGCCCGGATTTGTGGGCAACGGAAAAGAGCTGCCGCACAGTGGATCGAGGCAATATGAGACGTCGGACAAAATTTGAAAACTTTAAACGCTTATAACTCCGTCTATACAGAATTTTGAAGTTATAAAAGTGGTTCCATTGGTTTTCTCGTGAAATTTTTCTCTAGAAGCACTTTCTAAAATCCAAAATTCGACAAATTCAACATCAAAATTTGCACTTTTAGTAAACAAATTTTTGTCCGACCTCTCTCATCGACTCGATCCACTGTGTGCCGTTCCCAGCTTGTCTGAAACGAGACTGCGGTGGGGAGGAGGGGTTTTTGTCAGAAGTGGGGGTCTGGGGGCCCTTCCCCGGACATTCTTGAAATTTCAACTGCCCACGGAAGCAAAGGCTCTTTTCAATAAAAAAAATTTAGACCTTAATCTTCACACTTTTCCCACATATTTACAGCCGACCGTTTCTTTAATACGAACGCATCAGATCTTTCCCGCTTGCTCATGCTTTCAACAATTTTCTACTATCTATCGAATATTCGATATCAGTGTGACGATGTAAGCATCGAAACTGTTCTTCTCATGACTACAACAATAAATTTAGCATCGGATTGTATCCTCGCTTTTTTTATTCATAATCAGTTGTGATAAGACAAAACTGACAAGCTCTCGGTTTGGCCTTTTCACACGTGGTCAGCGTCGTCAGCGGTAAACGATCCTTTCGCCTTTGCGGAAACCGGTTGCGAGGCATGAATGCTCGACTATCGATTTCCCCATTTGAAGCTACGGTAAAGAATCGATTATTAAGGTGTTCGTTGCGAACAATCTGTCAATCGATCCATTTCCATAAGTTTAAATGGTAGACCAATTGATACATCGCAAAGTACGCCACGCCGCGCCACTGCGGAAACGTGCGCGGGCAGTGCTGTTCGTGCCCGCCAAGGACGGTCAATGCCCAGCGCGAGCATTTACTGCCGTGCTAAGGAAGGAAACCGTATGAACATTCGAGAGTTACCAAATTTCACTCGATAAAACCTGTATTTTTGACGAAATTCATGCATATTTGTCCTTGAAATGTTCAGATATTTTAGATTAAATTGCGTACACAATGGAGTTGTTGCATGTGTGAGAAATTTGCGATTTGACTGTTGATTCTTGAGTAAAAGTTCGCGAGAAACACGATTGTGCCACTGGTTTTCTCTGAAATCAACTCCCAAGCTCAAAAAAAGCTCTCAAGTTGAGGCCAAAATGGAGGGGATATCCCACCCTACCCTGAGAGTCCACGTCTATATCAAGACAGACTTTCCATGCAAAGATAGGGAGCAAATACATTAGCAGGGTTGCCGCGTGTTTTCAGTTTTGGAGTCCCCAAATAAAGTGGCAGCCCTGTCAATGTATTTGCTCCCTATCTTTGCATGGAAAGTTTGTCTTGATATAGACGTGGCCTCTCAAGGTAGGGTGGGATATCCCCTCCATTTCGGCCTCAACTTGAGAGCTTTTTTTGAGCGTGGGAGTTGATTTCAGAGAAAACCAGTGGCACCATCGTGTTTCTCACAAACTTGTACATAAGAATCAACAGTCAAATCGCTAATTCCTCACACATGCAACATCTCCATTGTTTGAGAATTTTGGGGGAAAAATATTAAAAATTTTCCCACTTAAGTAGATTTTTATGAAAGGGAACTTGGCAACGTCTAAAGGCTTATACGGCGTTCTTTCTTAGCACGGCAGTGAAGGTGGATCCTCGGCTTTTTCGCAGTACATTAAGGGTACTGGGTACGAATGATATATTTCAAATTTTAATCTTCAGGCGGATTATTTTGGGAAAATCGAAATAAAAGAACCCTCGATTTGATTAAAAAATTAGGCGGGCACTGATGACGTAGCTAGGCCACGGAAACGGCGTTTACTGATTGGCTGAACTCATCTTTAAGCATCACCATACCACGTCAACTCGATCGTCTGCTTTTCATTTTCATCGGTTTTTTTGCCCCTCAGAAATATGTCGATGAACTTTTAAATAAGCTTATTTTTCTCACAGAAGTTTACATAATCCAAACTTTATTACAACCCTGCAAGAATCCCTTTCCTTTGCCTCATTTAACCTACAAGTTGCAAAAAAAGGGCGATAAAAAATCACAATAATTTGTGGTAAGGTGATAAGGGAGAAAGAGAGACACAATACCCCGAACGCAGACAACAATAAAAACACACTAATATACAAAAAACAAATGGGTACACAAAAGGCTAGAGGAGACATAAAACAACCAGGACGTTTCGGGCCAATTACATGCCCATTCTAAACTGGAACAGAAGCTATAAAATGTAAAAATTAAAACGATAAAATGAGTATGCAACTGACCGAGATCAGTGCAAATCAGTGCTTTAAAACACATGAGAAGTTTGCACTGATTCCTACCTCGGTCAGTTGCATGCTCATTTTCTCGTTTTAATTTTTACATTTTTTAGTTTCTGCTCCAGTTGAGAATGGGCATGTAATTGGCCCGAATCATCCTGGTTGTTTTATGTCTCCTCTAGCGTTGTATACCTATTTATTTTTTGTATTTTAGTGTGTTTTTTTTATTGTTTGTGGTAAGGTGAACGCTTCGCTTCTATGCAAATCGAACGTTGAAGCATAAGGGCGAGTTTTTATCAATTCTTAACTTACCTAATAAGTGGCATAACATGTGTGTGAAGAAGCTGATTATAGATGTGTAAAGGCGTTACGGCAAGTAAAATAATAATGAGCAGACTTACTTGATGAGAAGGGTCCCAATTCGTTCTAATATATTGGTTGCTAATAATATATCTACCCCCTGCGAAGTTTTTAATATAATTTTGTAACGTTTTTCTCGTGAAGTGAAACTTCCCTGTATATACCCAAGGAATTAAGTTCTCCTTTGATTCCGGGCTCGAGATTTTAATTTCAGAAGTCAAAATTTGCGTCGAGTACTGAATCTGGGCGCGAATGAAGAGCACAGGTCGCGAATTAAATCATTACTGCCCGAGAGTAAATGACAATATGGCTCCTTTTTTTTTATCTGAGGGTCCGTTTAAGCGTTGAGGATTGTCATTTGAGCAAGGGAATGTAAAACTTGGTAAAAGTCAGCCAGATGTTGCCAAGATTGCGCAACTGCCTCTTTTATTTAATGGAAATAAGTATTTTAACTCAAAATAACACTTCTTCTATGAAATTTAAATAAAATTTACAGAAACGTCCCCAATAAAAATTTCTTGGAGCAAGAAAATTAGATACATTTGAGGACTTATAATTATGTAACAATGGCGGATGTGAAAAATTACCTTTTCGAAACACATTCAAAAAACTGTTTTTGCATCAAGAAAATCTTGAGGAAATACTTGAGATGTGATCTTCGAGATCTATACAATATCCCAGAGCCAAACATATTAAATTTTTTGTGAACAAAACAGTTTTTTAAGCGTGTTTCGAAAAGGTAACTTTTCACATCCGCCATTGTTACATTTAAGGCCTCATTTACAGAGAGAGATATCAGACGCAGTCTTGGCAGTGACTAAATGGCGCTGACCAAGTTTTGAATTCCTACTCGTCACTTGTCATTGTAATAAAAGTGGTCCAGTAACACTCGTTTTTTAATTCATATTCAGAAAGCACGGAGTGAGCTTAGCTTCTTGGAATTTTTCCAGATTTTTTAAAACCCTGACTGGTAAAGAAACTCCGCTCTGAAAATGCCTAAATAGGATCCGTTTGAAACGATATTTTTGGCCGGCACCGACGACGTAGCCAGGGTGGCGTCTGCTGATTGGCTGTATTCACCTTCAGGCATTATCGTTTTTCTACGTCAACGCGACTGTCGGATTTTGTTTAGCCTTAGAGTCCCTTTATAGAGAGAGTTGAGACAACTCGGCTTGAGGATGTCACAAACGGGATTAAAGATTACACAAATCGGACGTTTGCTGTAACCTTTGATCAACCCATTCCCGGATTCCTATATCCGTTCCCGCTCTCATTTCATTTGTTCCTTGCCGTACCTCCTATTCCCCGGTCCATTCTACATAATAATCTTTGCAATCGGTGAAACTGTAATCTTTATTCCCGTTTATGACACTGTAAAAGCCTAAAATAAGGGAAACAATCAGAAATGGATTCGCATTGTCTTTACTCTGAGTATAAAGGGATTCTAATTAGCCTTTTCACCCCGAAGAATTTTTTTTTTTTTCAAACTTTTTAATCATTTTTTTGGTTTTACATGAAATTTTACCTCCGAGTAACCATCGTACAACGCTGCAAAAATTCCTCGCCCTTGTCCCATTCTTGAGCTTCCGAATCAGAGGAGTCACCCTGTGAATCAGAATGCAAGCACTCTGAGGGTATTATCATGGTTGGTTCCTCCATCGTGCGTCATCGGATCAGATTCAGTGGCGTGGCGTGATTTGCGATATATAGATTGATCTGCCATTTAAACCTATGGAAAAGGATCGACGAACAGAACGTTTGCAACGACAGCTTAATAATCGATTCTTCACCACAGCTTCAAATGGAGATATATCGATAATCGATCATTCACGCCTCGTCACTGATCGGATTTCAAAAGTCGCACAGGTACGTCATGTGGAAATTCGGATGTCGCCAAGTTTCCCAGAATAAAGTGCGAGTTTTCTTTGAGAGACTTGACTTTTTGTCGCTCCTCTCCCTCTGACGCAGTAGCGATTTCAGCAAGTTGGCAACACTGTTAATACTTTATGTAAATCCATTGAATGTATAAATTTTAGGTGAGACAGGCTGCCTCACCTAGAATCGATTGTTTATAATACAATAAAGTGGAGAAAAACGGTGTTGCCGAATTGGAAGAATCGCCACTGCTCTAACATGGAGGGGAATCATAGTTTCCACATGAGCCTCGAAGAGCAAATAGTCACGCG